TTACCTCCAATCTGATTTTCCATTTTTGTATTATGACCATATTTCTTAATTTTTTGTATTTCTTCAATATAGCAATTGTTGGTGGAACTATACATGGTTGACATTTGTTTTCTCACTATTTCATCCGAGTGACACACATCCAACACTTTTTCCAATCCTACGTTGTCTTCCTTTAGTAATTTTTATTTTATTTTGTTGTCGATCATTCCGCAAAGAGTCGTCCTCTAATAAGTGTATCTACCAGTTTTCCAAACTCACACAACAATGCTAATAATAGTTCTTTTACATATTCATCGATGCTTTCACCAGTCTTCTGATTCCTTGAAAAGAACATATGCTGATCAAATACCTTGTTCTGTTTTGGAATAAAATATTCATCAAATTTACTAATAACTGTACCGTAATTAGCTGCATCATTAGTTTTTTTAAATTCGAAACTATTATAAATTGGTAAGATTTCAGGACTAAGACAGTGTAACATTAAAGTAATTTTTCGTTTTTCTTCGTATTTTTGTTGGTCAGATGCGATTAAGTATATATCAAACCTTTGCTTAAATGATTTCCATTTCTCTGCTATATTGCTTCCAGCCAGGTCAAAAAAAGTTGGTAAATTTAAGTTTTCTGTCTTTCTACCTTGCCCCAGCCTCGTGTTTTTGTTTTTGTTTATTATTATTCTTTGATATTTATTTATTTATTTAATTTGAAAACATTACAAACCGACTGCGCCATGTATTACTTTATCTATATCTATACCTGTGATAACACTCATGTTATCAAAAAAGCTGTGACGGGTCAACCGTTTAAGAGGTTAAAATACTATTAGTAATAACATGATTTTAAAAGTACACTACGTTGTTATAAATAATAAAAGTTTTACTGTAAAAGTGCAATTTAAATAGTTTTAGTTTATTCTCAATAATAATAAATACATCCAGGAGTCATATGTAATAAAACAATACCTACTATATAAAATTAAGTCGTTTTTTTTTTTGTTCGGGATAAACTCTGAAACTACTAATTGGATCGTCGTGCAGTTTTTTTTTAAATTAAAGAGGACATCACAGAGAAGGTTTTAGGCGTAAATTTAGTCCAATAAAGTTAATAAATAATTAGTTATTAGTTATCTATATATATATATATATATATATATATATATATATATATATATATAAATAGAGCCAAAAATGTATAATATTTCATCAATTGAGAACGGCTGGGCCGATTTAGCTCAAATTTTTTTTAATTATTCGTAATTGCCAGGAGAAGGTTTTTACGAAAAATTTTTTTGGAAAAGTGCTATTGTTTAATAAATCATAGTTTAATTTAATAATTTTTGACCCGGTCGATAACTGCACAATTGAAAATGAATTATTAAATAAAACTATTAAAAAATTATTAAAAAACTATAAAAAAACTATTAATTTTATTTTTGGTAGTAAATGACGGGTATTGCATAAATATTAAACAAATAAGATCCCGCATCAGGTGTCAAAACAAATAAGAATGTTAGTTCGAAAAATTATTATGCATATCGGTTGATGATTAGACGCGATCAGGACAAAATTATTCAACGATATCATGAGCTTCGTCAACAATTCATGGTTGAAACGTATGTAAAGATAGAGAGCGAACGATTTTGATATTTGCGATTCAATAAAAAAAAAACTGCGTGTAGAAGATTCTCAAAACAATTGTTAGATATTGGAGATGGAAAAGTTACTACAGATGAAACGGAATGTATAAAATTACCGACCGATTTCTGCACAATCATTTATTCGCAAGATGCTCTCATTGACTAGATATTTTCCAATGTACACAGACAATACACAAATCATGAGTGGCTGGCAGAAAGGGCAATTTTAGTAGTAAAAAATGTGGACGTCAACGAATTGAATCTCAAGATAAACATTTGTTACCAGGAGACACGGTGTCATACAAATCTATAGATATAGTTTGCTATGCTACTGAAGCTGTAAATTATCTAACAGAGTTTTTAAACTCATTGGACTTACCAGGCATGCCACCGCATAATTTACAATTGAAAGTTTGTTCTCCGGTTATTTTGCTTCATAATTTGACCTACCACGGTTGTACAACGGCACGCGATAAGTTGTTAAAAAATTAATGAAAAATGTTATCGAAGTCATAATTTTAAATGGCAAATTCCGAGGTGAAAATATATTATTACCGCGAATCTCTATTATACCCACAGATGTGCCAATACAATTTAAACGCCTTAAAGTTCCAATTAGATTGGCATTTGCAATGACTATCAATAAGTTTCAAAGCCAAAAAATGTCTGTAACTTAGATTTGAGCACATCATATTTTTCACACGGATAATTATACGTGGTGTGCTATCGAGCCATCCAATTTTTGTTGGCGAAAGATGGGATAACAAAAAATATTGTACATTCTGTTGCATTAAGGGATAGATATTGTTTTTTACTAATACTGTCATAATTAGCGATATATATAATTTTAATGGATCAATTTTAATAAATTATTAAAAAAATAAATGTTTGATGTTTTTTCATTTTTATATTTCGTCACCATTCATAGCACTCCATATCTCTTCCTTACATCCTTATCCTTACCCACATTCTTACATGCCTATATTTAATTAGTTATTTTTTTCTAGCAAAATATTCTCTAGAAATAATTTTTATGACAATACAACGTTTATTTGGTCAGCTAGTTTATTATAATTATTACAAATGACAAGTCACAAATCACAATTACTATACATAAATTACGTATGATTATGTATGATTTAATCTATTATAAGAGTATGTAAATAGAAACAAGTTGAGACAGTATAAATGCGTTGAAAAAAACCGCGTACTGTCGTAATGATGTACTAACTATATTATTATAATTATTGTTATTAATTTTATTATGCCGCGGCACAGCAGCATAGCCTGATCATGTTTTAGTATAGTGCGCTGTAAGTACTGTCGATTATAAAATGTACTGCGCGTGCATTCGCGTGCGTGCGTCAAGTACGACGAAATTATAAAGATTAAATTTTAGTTCCTTCACAAATTACTAAATAATTAAAATATTTTTGATCTCAAAAATGATACCGATTCAAAAAAGTAATAACTACAGTAATAACAGTATACTGACGTTGATTATTTTTTGTATTTTCATAAGTAAAAAAAAATATTCATAAAAAATCGATTTGCGTCTAAGAGATAAATTTGAACCCTAATAATTAAAAAAATTAATTGTATATAAAAAATCGGCCAACGTAGGTATACCAAACAACACGTCTAGATTATATATTCTAAGTTACAGAATCCTAACTAAATAACATAAACCAGTAGACAGGAACTGAAATGGCCAAATTTCAATATTTAAACGCAATTTACTGACAAAAAAATACACCAACATTTTTTTAAATAATTTTTAGTTTTATCTTGAACCTTTATTTTATTTAACTATAGGTAAACACAATTCAAAAATTAAATAAAAAATAAAATTATTGGATATTCCCTCTAAGAGTACACCAGGCGGCAGACGAAAACTGGTCGTGACCGCGCATGCTATTCCCCCACTATCGGTTATCAGTGGTGCTGTTATTACATTCGGCCCCACCACTAATTATAATCATGATGTATAATAGTTTATATGCAATATTATTTACCTTGATTATAATATACACGTCAGCTTGCGATAACGTCGTAGTCGACGGTGTATGATTTATAACGGCGCGCGGCGATAAGAATCGACCGGAAACAATTATTGTCATAGATAATATTATTTATTAATATAATACTAGCTTCTGTGTGCCTTGCTACGGGTGAAAATCGCTTAATATTTATTAATCAATAATATGAATTATTAATACTAATAATATCAATTATTAATAATCAAAACATTATTATGTAGGTATAATGTATCATGCAATACTACCACGGTTACTACTTGTGATAATTATTAACTTTTGATAATATACGGGTGGAAAATTGATACGCCTTCGGCGTCAAAGGCGTTCGCTATCTAGGAGACCCCCACCTAATTGTTTTCTTAAAAATACTACGGCACCATACTTACGGTACTATAGTGACAATCGATGCATGGTGTCAAACGTATAAAAACCAATATAATAAATATACAAAACATTTATATGTACATAAAAAAAATGAAATAGCAGATGGCAAATCGCAGTGTAATTGAAAATAATCAAACATAATAATAGTACTGTTGCAAAGTTAAGTGTCTTCTCAACAATAGTTAAATATGTAAATTATCACCATATTTAATAGAATGGAATAGAATTTAAAAAGTGGTATAAATATGCATATAGATTATGATATTTCAATTACAGAATAAAATATACATTTATGATTACAAAAGCATTATATGTGTCTTCTTCCATAACTTAACTTACCGAAGGGACACTTTTATGAAAAGTATCTTAGATACAACAATTTATAAGTATCATAAACGCTAGAGAACTTGACATTTTTTTTAGACATGAAATTATCAAAGTAAAAAAACTTTCAAATACAGTACAGTCGGTTCAAAGTAAGAAGACCTAATGCATAAAAAGTATTTTTTCAATAATAAATAATGAATATATATACAAAGCGAGTCTGTAGACAAAAAACTATAAAAATGGAGTAAGACCTTCCTTGATGTTAAATGAAAAAAAAAAAATTGAGCGATAAGTGAATACTCTATAATAGGTGTGTATACATAAATGTTGGCGTTTGTTACGTTTTACACTATAATCATTCTCAGTGAAAAACGCATCCAAGAAAGACCACGTGGAGGTCGCCAACCCCTTTCTCACATTCAGAGAACATAAAAGTACTCATCGACAATATTTAAAAAAAATATACAGAATGAATTTATAAAAACATAAATAATTTATGAAAGACAGAGCGTGGAAGTTTCTTGTAATCATAGCATATTTGTGCTTTTAAGCTTAAAAAATATGTGAAGATAATGTATACAAATATGAAACATAACATAATCAAAGAAAATATTTTTATCATTATATAAAGTCATATCAGTATGATACGGTTTAAATAAATAAACTATACCAAGATTTTTCTTATAATATTAGGAGAAAAGTGTAATAATAACCAAGCTCTTGGGTACAACAGTACTACACTGGTGTTTGAGCATTCGTTAATTCATTAATCTGCAACCCACTATGAGCAAAATAAACAATATATAGTTTAAGATATTTTACAAAGACATTTATATCATAGAGGAACTTGAGCGTTAAATATTGTATAAATACATACCAAGTTTTCTTTATTTTATAGCTGGGTTTGATTTGAATATTATCATTAGCACCAATAACACGTTGAATTCTATTCCATTCCAAAGAATAAAGTGCAACGAAAACATTCAACAGCTCTCTCCCTATATTATTTGGAAAAATTAATCAAATTGAATGTATTTAACATAATTTAAAGACATAAATGAGTCATAGTCGAACGAAAGGCAACAGTACTACACTCATGTTCGAGCACTTGTTAATTAATTACTCTGCGAAACACTATGAGCCAAGTAAACAATACAGTTCCAGATATTTAAAAAAAAAACACTTGTATCATAATGGAATAAGAGTGTTAAAAATTATAATATCACATAAGTTTTAATTTATATTCATTTCCTTTCATCCAAGTGTAAAAACTGATACTGTAAGATTTATTTATACAAACCGAAAATATAACATTCAACATATATAATTGAAAGAATGAGTTGAAAAATGCATGGCATACCATGTTTTCTTTAGTTTATAGTTGTGTTTGTTTTTATTAGTTAATCATTAGTACCGAAGTAGTAACTGCATTATTCCTTAACAAAGAAAATGTTTAATGAAAACATACAACAGACATCTCCCTATATAATGTGGAAATATAAATCAAATCGCATGTATTTAAAACAAATATATAATAATATAACATGATTTAAAGACGCAATATCAATGAAAACATCCAATAGATATCTTCTAATATTTTTTAGTAAAACATTTAAAAATAAATGTGTAATTAATAAATATATTAAAAACACATTTAAAGCATATAGTACGTAGAAGGTAAAAATCACAATTGATTCACAGTCGAACGATGGATTTAATAAACATATGTGTCAACAATAGAATTATAAAAAGTATTGCATATAATTTGATTTTTAATTTTTATAACTGTTTGAAGTAATAAAAAAAATGATTTACAAAAAAATACTATAAGACTCATTTACTAAAACAAATATATTATTTTAAAATATAATACATACCATGTTTACTTCATTATTTTATAGCTGTGTGTGCATTTTATAATATCATTACAGCATTTCACATCAAATCAATCTGGTAAACAAAATATATTTTATATATTGTATTAATATGTAATATAATATATTACATACATTGCAGGTGTATGTAATGAAAACATCCGATTACCTATATCTCCTCATATTTCTCGGTAAAACAAAAGCTCTGTTCTAATATATTTTGGAAAAACGAATAGTAATTAATGTAAAATGTAATGTAGTACGAAAAAGATATTTAAAAAAAAGGTAGAGAACCAACATACTCGGTACATTTATTTCATAACGAATTGGAAAAATAAATCAATTTGAATGTATTTAACGTGTTTAAAAAAAACAAATTTCCAATCATTTAACGTAATATAAAGACACGATTAAATCGTAGTCGAACGATAGACCTAATAAACATAGGCGTGAACAACAGAATTCTAAAAAGTATTGTATATATACTTTATATATATCCGATTGTGTTTATAAAAATATCATTGACGTCAATCACGTTGCTTTTTATTTTTTGGTAAGACGAATAAAAATTTATGTAATCAACAAATTTTAAAAACATGTACAGTGGAAAGAAAAAAGGTAAAACTTACCGGGTTTTCTTATTTACATTACATCACAAAAGTTTTAATTTCCTTTCGTCCAAGTGTAACGACTGATGTTGTAACACTCATAACTAAAACCGAAAAAAATAACATTCAATAAGCGGTGGAACGAAAAAGTTTCAAAATGTAATAAATACCGAGTACTCGTTGTTTTATAGCTGTGAACGTTTTGAACAGTATCGTTAGCACCGAAGACCCTTTGAATTCAATTCCTTTCCATTCAAAAAAAGTATAAATAAATCAAACAACAGCTATCTCCCTATATCGTTTGGCAAAACAAATCGTATTGAACGTACTTAACGCTGATAAAAAAACAAACTATATTTTAAACGCATTATGTTTTCTTCGTTTCACAGCCGTGTGTAAGCGTTCAACAATAACGTTACACATCAAATCAACATGAGTAAAGAAAAACGGATAAATAATTTTCGGTAAAACAAATCGAATATGTAATAACATGTATTAAATAATACGATTGAAGCGATGAAAACGATTTCACAAAAAAAAAGTTTGAAACGAAAAGAAAAAAACGGACTTGACGGACGGCGGAAAATGAATAGAAAAGAAAACACCGCGAGCGGGATCAACACACTCCCGTCGATAAGACACGGCGGCGGCGAAAATCGGACGCGACGGACGGAAAACGAAAACAGATCCGCGGGAGCGGAAACGACGCCCGTACGAATCGACGGCGGCAGCGGAAAATCCTGCAAAGAAGCCGGGCGGCTATGGCTCAGAATCAAACCTGGACCTACGGGGACCTATCGGGACCTATGCCTACGACCTGCCTACCTATCGAGTTGGGAACCATGAGAAAGATTGGGGCATTTAAACCGTTCGACGGGGACGTAAGGTAAACGGAAGACCGATCGGTGACGTCACGTGCGGGCGAAACGTCACGGCGGCGCGAGGGACACAGATACAGAACGCTCCGATTGGGCTGGTGCTTAATGGTCGGACATCTTGGATTTTCATCCGGTCGCATCGGGAAAACGGTGGGTCAGAAAATCGAACGGACCGCCGAAATGGAAAGAGGAGACAAAAGTCTACGGGAAACGGTCGACGGAGAAAGGAAAAAACGTCCGCGGGATTTAAAAGTTTTTCCGACCAATCACCGGTCGGGGAATTATTTTAATATAATAGATAGATAATATAATATTATCATATTATCTATAATTATTGTCGATCAATTAATTTTGGGGGGGTCGTTCAGCGGGCATGCGCAAACCGGTGTGCTCTTAAGTTGAATAGACTATAGGTGTACGATATAACGTACAAGATGGTCTCGATACACATAGAATTATCCTCAAATTAATAATAATAATAATATGTTACAGTGTTATCATTACAGTTCATAAGTGCACCGACAAATTAAAGTCCGACTTTTAATAGATCAAAAGTAGTAGATCAAATTTTACCAATCAAATTAAATTTAATATATGTTTATATTTGATGAATATAAAATCAAAGTTGAAAAATACAAAATATAAATTTAATGGAAAAAAAGATGTTTGATGTATATAGGCGCTAACATAATAAATTTAACTAAGAAAATCATTAAACTTTAGAAAACCATAATAAACTTATATTTGTTTATTTTAGTTAAATCATTAATTTTCATATTATACATTTATTATATAAATTTAAATTTAATTTATATTTTTTTTTTTAAGTAGGTACCCATAATTTGACTATATTAGTCGCAGGCCATGTGGAAAAACAGTCTTTTTGTACAATAAATTACTCTTAAAATTCCTAATTGCTGTTAATCTGTATGCAACAAGCCTAAAAAAAAATGCAGGCCATTTTGAAAAATAATAAGTAGTTTGCAAACAGGCTACCCTATTGTGAAGATTCTAGAATTTTTGAATAGATAGAAACTAATTTTGCAACCCAAAAGCTATACAGACAGAATTTGGTGGTTCACCTATCTTATTTTCAAGTTAGGACAAATAAAAATTGCACTAATTTTTAACTATCATACGTTAATAAAATTTTATTAACAATCATTTATGTCAAATATTGAAAAATTGTTTAATTTATAATCATAAGAATATATTTATATTAATTTTATTTTTTAAATACATCATTTATTTATTTAAATAAACAGTCACAGATAACTACTAAATAATTATTGTTGTAACATTATTAATAAATTAGGTATCATTACTATGAACATTACCTATCATATAATCGCATTTATCCAAACAAAATTAGTTCCATAAATAATTTAAAAGTGCACTTATCAATTTACATAGAATTCTCATTGAAGTCATTATTTTTAATATCAATCAATTATAAGTGTTTAAATTATTTAATTAGACTTTAGTCTTAATCAATCGTTACAAAATATCACATACAATTATATTTTTTTTTGATTTAAGTCATGGTAATTTGTTTTTACCAACTAACATAAATACAAACTAGAACGAAGATAAAGAAATCAAGAATAAACATAAAAATTTTATATACCATTTATTGAAAATGCAGTGGTTAGATGCGTTATTAGCGTCAGTAGCGATTTTTTTAGTACTTTCACTGCGTAAAACATTTGGACGAATTATAGAACTATTGGAAACAACTGCAAAGCAACCACAAAAACCATAATATTTGTTCTTGTAAGTAAATTTCTATTTAATTTATCAAATACTTGCAAGTTAATACATTATTTATTAGGTTTTTATATTTTAATAGGTATCTACTTACGTACTTCGAAACGAGTCGAATAGATATACAAAAAATTTAATTTATTTAAAATGTTGTTAGATCACGTGTTTATATAAGTCGCATACTTAAATATTATCTGTCATTTAATACATAAGAAATGTATTAAATATATAGATATAAGTATAATTAATCATGAGTAGTAAGTATTAGCTACTTATAATTATTGGTTAATCTGGGATTGGATAATTGTGTCGAAGATTTTTAAATTACTGAAATTTAATTAAATTAAGTAACACTACTTATTATTTTTATCTAAAAAATTATTGTATTATAGGAAGTTATTGAAAAGTGTTTATTTGTATCAAATTTAAAACATAAATACCGTTTATCAAATATTTAACCAAAATTGTAATTATAACTATTATAAATACATTGCTATTAAGTGACTAAATATAAAATACTAGATATTTTTATTTCATATTATATACCCGGTATTTAATATATTAATATATTATACCTATTAAAATAAATATAAAATAAAACTGGACAAGTGCCAAGTTAATTAATTTTTTTAAATCGTTAACTTGGATAATGTTAAAAAATGTAAGTTAAGTTAAAAGTTACTTCTATGTAGTATTAACTTGTAGGTTAAAGTTGCAAACTGGTTAAAAAAATGAATACAATAATTTTAGTTAATAATAAGTTAGATTCTCTTTTTTTTGTTTACTAAATAATTTTTTATTTATATTAGGTAAGATTTATTGATGTACGTTATTTAGATCCCTTTTAAAATACAAAAAGAGTATTGTACTTAACACTTCCACAGTTAAAATTCTGACTAATTTTATTAAAAAAAAATAATTTATTAAAAAAAAAATATGTTTTGTACATGTACTTTTTTAATCTTAGGTATTTAAATTACGAAAAACCATTTTTTTTTAACTTAATTGATGGAAAAAATATTTGACTCGTTTTGTTAACAGATACTAAAAATAAAAATAAATGTTTCATTACGCACTGTCAAACCGGGTTACTTGGTACACTTTTAAACTTCAAATTTATGCTGAATGCTAAATTTTCAAAATATAATATCATGTATAAGGACCGAAAATTCTGATCTTGACTTTGACTATAAGTTTAGTACGTTATTGTTCCCCTAACCTCTCATAATACTTTTTAAAAGTAAAAGTATACCTATCCTAAGTTGCTTTCAATAGTTATTGGGAAACTTGGGACATTAATCTATTTCTGCTTAGAAACTAAGTTTGCCTTTTTCTATTTTAAGTTGGAACTGTATTATTGTTTTTTTAAACATTTGAAATAACATTATATTTAATTGGTATAACAAATTGTTACCTTATAACTTAACTATAATTTTATAACTTTATTTCCAGCCTTGTAAATACCAATACTTCATAAGTATACACAGGTAACAATTTAATAATACCAATTTAATACTTTTCTAGATTATATAATAAATAGGCAATGAATACTAATAAAGCTACTCGTACTAACATTTAATAGTATAGCTTTCAAAAACTAAGAGTAAAACTTATAGTACTCATAAAATTATTGAAATCTGGTAATAAAATTATATAGTAGTAAAACTAAAATTAATTATTATAATTTCTTTAATAGTTTGTTTGAAACGGCTATTTGAAGAACTGTCGGTAGTTTTTAATATTATTCCCACGCTCATTTCTATCAAGGAATACATTTGCATAGTTAATATTATTTTCTTATTGAGAGTAGGATAAGCTAAAATTATGTACCTAAAAATTATTAAAATTGTATAAATTATCAAAGACTAAAGATATAACAAATAGAACAAATATATATAAATTATTTTATAAATTATTCACAATAGGATTAATAAAAATAAAACATAAATTATAATAAACTTCTAAATTATCTAACAAATTAATCAACGTTAAATATTTTTAAAGTAAAATGTATTAAATTAAGTATAAAGATAATATTACTATGGTTTTTTTATGATTTCTTGGGTCTTATACATAAATATTTAGTTTCTTTGGGTCATAATAATTTGTTGTTATTTCAATCTTCGAGCATTTAAAGCGATCTTTCGAATATTAGCCAAACATCCAGCTGAAGCTTCCTGCACATCAGGATCTCGCGATGCAATAGTTTCCATCAAAAACTAAAACAAAGAATAAAATTATAATTGATTTTCATAAGACATTTCTATGCAAACATTTTGCTGAATTTTCCGTGTTGTTATAAGTCATTTTTATTTGTTTATAATTAATATTTCTAACTCGGAGTTAAAACAAAACATAAAACGGGTATCTAACTAAATGTATACGTTTATTGTTTATTTAATCTAATATTAATAAAAATAGTGTTCAAATGATGTCGATAATTCTTAGTTAATTTTTTTTTTTTAAATATTTTTCAAATTATAGGAAATCCCAAAACTATTCGTCATTATTTGTCTACCAAAATGTATTCAACATGTCCGAACCTTGTAGTCGTTATCAAATTAAATATATAAAAATGAAACAGTGCCGTAACCAGTGTTGTGCTTCGATAAAAAAAAAATTATCTTGATATAGATAAGATATCTGGATTTGAAATTATCTAGATATAGATAGATAAAATAATTTTTATCTAGATATTTATATAAGGCACCAACATTTTCATTCGTTTGTAGGTGAACTCTTTTGGTCTTGGGTAATGATTGTATTATGTAACGATCCATTTCAAAATATAAAATTTTCACCAATAAAATGAAATTGAAAGTCATAGACAAAATTATAAAAATATGAAGACGGTCTGACGATAAACACTGAACACGTTGTGGATGAGAGTTCACTGCGTACAGAACAAGTTTTTAATAAATAACGGACGTTTCACGCCTAATATTTATTTTGTTGTACAATAATATTATGTAGACACATCAAAGTACGAATTCATAGAATTGGGGTCCGGTAATGACAATTATTTAGAGCACATAATTACATAAACAATGGACATAATTTATATATAAATATTGAATTTAAGGCGGTCGAATAATGATGGAAAACGATTAATTTCTGTGTAGGTACAGCATAATGCGTATTGTAATATTGCTATTTTCTTATCAACAATTATTTCTGTATTTTAATATTTATAAACCATCTACCGCACAGTTGCAATAATAACTAGTTTAGATCTATGGTGCGTTATCTCTGGTTCTAATATTCTTGTAAATGCTCTTTCGGCGTTCGTAATACCACAGAACAATAGTAATATGGGCATGAGACTTCCCCGTATGGGCCATACTATAAAATTATAAATAATTCTCACCTCCCATGCATATTATGTAGGTAATATATGTCTATATACATAATACATTGTAATTGTTCATAATTAGTAATAAATGCTATGTAAAACTATTTTAGAACCAATTTTTGCAAGTAAACATACAAATGAAATTTCTTATTTGTTATTTATTTTATATTGAATGATAAAATTGTAGATTAGTTATTACTAACGATTAGATACAGATTTTGTGAATTATCTAGATAAATTTATCTAGATGACTATGATTTTTATCTAGATAAGATAACGATATGAAGTTTTTGTCTAGATAACATATCTAAATAAATTTATCTAAAGCACATCACTCGCCGTAACTGCCCTCCGCGGCGCTCTTAGCGAATTTTATTTCAGCGCTTATTTTATATGGTAAAACCAATTTTAATTTAATTCAAACGCACCCCCTTAATTTGCTGTGCCCTTGGCAATTGTCCATTTCGCCAACTTCTAATTACGACACTTAAATGAAATAATAATTGTAGTTGAACGAGTAACAAGTTAAAGCAGGGTCGTATTTAAGATTTCTCCGTCTAGAAACAACAACATTTTGCCGGCCTTCTTCCCTGAAGTGTATAACCGAAAATAAATGTCTCCAACTATTTATTAAAAAGCTGTTTGCAATCTATTTTCCCCATTTTGGTACACATAATATTAAATTACAAATTTTGTAAATAATATTAAATCTAAAATAACAACTGGGTTATAATTACATAAATAAAGTTATACAAAATTGTCTTTTATAAGACTGATAAATATATAAGACTGAATATCCTTAAATACTCGTCATTTAGTACCTTTCGGTTTGAATATCCCATTTCCATAAAAATCAACGTTAAACCAATATCTATATCTCAATAAAATATCGTGTTAAATAAAATACTCATAAATAGATATACATTTTTTACGTTACTAAATAATTTAGGTAAATTATTTTATAATATAACATTTATTTTTTTATATAATTTTATTTATTCATAAATAATTTCAATTGAGAATGCGAAAAAATCGATTGGGTTTTATTTAGAATCACCGTATATTATTGCCGCAGCCTTAAATAATTCAGAGGGACTATTGCCTCCCCGAATCACCCCTTGAATATGACTATAAATTAAAGTATAATTTAATGAAATATAATACACTCATATGATACAAGTCATGCGGTGATTATTTAAATAAGTATTGTTATCGTACGGGAACGACACCGCACGATTCCATAGCCACGCAATTAGCTGCGTCTCCGGACAGGCCATGCAAGGCAAACGTTACGTTTTCTTTGACTAATTGGGAATTAGAATGTATATATTTGGAGATGGGCAGCACCACGTCTAGTCGGCCGAACGTGTGACAATTTCGTTCCAACAAGCAGCACGAGCCAATGGCACGTGATAAATGGGCTTGGAGGTCCGCGTTGTTCTGCAAACGAAAAAATGCTCTCAGCAGCTGAATGTAACGTTGTAAATTTAATTTACCGTCATCATCTATTGCATTACCGTGTGCACTAAACTAGACAGCCTCTGAACAATATCGTAATCGGTGAGGATCGCCAAATTTTCCGATTTCTTGGCTAAAATCCCGATGACGGCGCACGCAGCCGCCAGAACTCTGGTGTCGTGCGATTTTAATAAATCGACTAGCATTACCAATCCAGTTACCAGAGAACGCATTATATCACTGGACTCCTTTAAAAATGTAATTATGTAATAATATAATAATACATAAAAAAAGGGCAAAACCCCTAGGTAAGGCGAGACTCTACGGTTGGCTGATACACAAGGATGGGTAAATGTTATTGCTATTCAATTTAGAGCGAAAGAGATCGAGTGGATTATTTTATATTTCTAGTTATTGATGATATTACAGTAGAACCAAATTTCTTAGTAAAGTAAGTTCAACTTTTAATGTTCTAACTCAGAGGCGTACCCAGGAATTTTTTAGAGGGGGTCCAAAGTTTTAATTTTATCTGTTCTCTAATTATAATTAATTATAATTAGAGTTTAATTTAATACCAATAAATTATTGTTAATAATCATAATAATAGTCACAATAGTTATGCACAAAGGTTTACTACAATAGATAGGTACTATAATTTGAAATCAATTTTTATTTGGTAGTAAAATGTTATAAAAAAATACATTATTTAATCAACAATAATAAATAATATAAAAAAAGCAGTATAAATTAAACATGGTTTATACATTGTAGGTAAATTATATAATCTATAAACTTTGTACATTGAAGATAATGGGAAATTAAAATACACTGTTTACTATTAAACCATTGAGTATGTAGAAATTTCAATAGGGTGTCCGGACACCCCCTCCCTTGATTACACCAATGTTCTAACTTATGCCTACAAATAGCTCGAATTTCTTAAAAATACTTCAAAACTATGAAATCTCTAAAATTATAATTTAAGTGCTTATTTAATGTTTCGAGTCAATATGATTAATATTTATAGGATAAAACTAAATAATACCATATAATGGAAATGTATTGAAATTAGTGATGGAATAATCGAATGATATTAATAATCCAAATAATGATAATAGACATATTTATCAAAAGCAAATTAATTTAATTATTCGAAAAAATTACGTGTTTAAGTCGACTGTCCATCAGTATTGTAATATTATTTATTTTATTTTTATCATTGGTATAATTCCCGATATCAGTAATCGTCACACTAATTGATTTAATACATATACATTTTTGGATTGAAAATCCATTTCACCTTCACGCTTATAGATAATCATTTGATTATTTATACAACCAGTTCAAGCAGTTAAATCATGAATCATTCAATTATTTTGATTTCGTTTACAAATCATTCGATTATTTTTATTTTGTTTACTAGTCATTCGATTATTTGATTATTTATTTTTCGATTACTAATCATTCGATTATTCCCATCAATAATAGAAATATTCGATTTCCTCAACAATTCATTATGTCACGCTCATATAAACTTTCCAGTAAATATTTTTTCGCCATAAAAAACAACTCATAAAAAATCCCGAATCTAACTTTAAGCCTTAAGTATAGAATTTGTATGTTTTATCAATTTTAAACTACAAAAATGTAATATTCGCGATTTTTTATGAAACCAAAATTATTTTATTGACATTTTCGAAAATAACTAAAAAAACATGACATCTTTAACCATCTATAAATAGTTGAAAAAAATCTTTTTAAATTTAACCATCTATAACAAACGGTGATTAAGGTATTCCATGAAAGTTTCAAGTCTCTATGATTATTATTTTTTGAGTTAAGATTAAAACAATTATTGAATTTGTTCGAAAGCCGATGTGTCATATATGTCGGTTTTTTTTTAAACTTTTCATCGGTTGCTTGCAATTATTAAGAAAACTGTTGGGAAATTTATAAAATTAACCCTTCTCTTCTCACTAAAGAACAAACTAAATACTATTTCCTATAAGAAATCTCTGATGATTATGATGATTGAAGCAATCGTTATAGACGATCTTATTTACACAGAACAAAAAAAAAAAAAAAATAATAAAAAATAGTTGGTGACAAAATAACTGACGATTTATAGCATCGAGTGTTCAATTTTTTTGCCCGTTTTTCCCAACTATTCTGAAAGAAAATAATTGATAAACTAAATAATGATCCCTTGAATATTCAAACTAGAAATGATTTCCTATATTTTACTTTTTATATGGTTATGATCGGAAACACCTTGATCGAAGTCGTTTATGCAACACAAAAAAAAAAACCAAAATCGTAGTAAAACCAATATATTTCTCGTTTCAATTAGAGTCTAAAATATGGGTGATATAAAATACAGACTTGGGTAAAATACTTTTTAAAAGTATTTAGAATAAATACTCGAATACTTACAAAAAATAGTAGTCCGAATATGTATTCAAATACATTATTTAGAATACTTCAAACATATTCCGAATACTTTTAAAATACTTCTAGTTTTCATACTATAAAAATAATAGATATCCACTCAACAGAAATATTTGAAATTGTAGACTAAATATATGTTATTTTATTGTATTTTTATATTACATAACTGTTATAGTTTATGGTTTACAACAATAATAAATACCTGATATTAGCTTATACAAGGTACGACGGAGAAGTAATAAAATCATTTAAAAAAGAGATGATTTAACGGTATTCGAAATACAGTATTCAGAATACTCGTTATAAGTATTCAAAATACTTTATTGGATACTTTCAAAAAAAGTATTTAAAAAGTATTCTGAATACAGTATTCCGAATATTGTATTCGGAATACTACCCAAGTCTAATAAAATATAAAAATATGATATATATAAATTAACAATTCACGTATTATAAGTGTAAATTAAATTGTAAATTATTAAGTTTAAAATATATCGTATAAGACTAAAATATACAATTCTTTTATTTTATACTTATTTACGTGGAAATGTGCATTTTTGTACAATCGGCTAAAATCTAATAAAACAGTATTATTATTTTTTTTGCGTGATTTAATTGATCAATGTACTTCATACTTATGTTCAAAGTTTAATTATTTTTACGAAAAAAAAAAAAATAAAAAAAAATAAACCGTTCATATCTCCACGACAATTTTTCATGACCTGCACGATGCAACACGTATAAGTATACGCACTAACCTTTGTATTTCTAAGCAACGTGACCAACGTATGTCCCGCTGTGGATTGAACAATGGTCGAATCGCATTTCATCATAGACCATACTAGACGTATACCATCGTTGTTTATCACTTGTTCCATGCATTGCGGGTCGGACGCGCAGTTGTCGATCACGCGGCATACATTTACGAGAATCCTCTCGTGACCGGTATCTTGCAATAGTCTTATGATGGGAATCAAACCGTCTGCAGCTCTAAGTGCGACTTTATTTCGTCCAATTTTAGTGCATTCCGCCAACGATGCCACTGTGTTTGCAACGACCTAGGAAATATAACAACAGCCGCTCTAAATATAATTCCTGTGTAAATAACGTCAGACTCGTCTTATCTCACTTCTTCGCTATCAGAGTCCAATAGTTTTACCAAGACATGTATACCGTTTATATCTTCTAAACGTTTTACGTTGTCCTGGTTCATTAGACATTTCCAAATTGCACCGGTCGCGGATACCATTAATTTCGTTTCAGTCCTGTGCGATTCCACTTTAACGATATTTACCAAGGAATTTAGGCCCCCCAGTTCTTTGATCATTCTTCTGCTTTCGGGGTCCTCAGCACACTATATATCATCAATTTCAAAAAATAAGTTGTTGCCTGTAATAAAGTAATCAGAGCAGCAGAGGACGTTAAGGGTGACAATCCTCTACTTGGCCTTTAAGCCGCTAAGAATTCGTACAGTTAAAAAAAAAAAATTAATCATATTGAAATTGAACGTTACTTATTAGATTATTTAATTTTTTAGCTCATTTGCGACCACATCTACATTTTTTTTTTTTTGTATATTATCAATTTGTTAAATTGTTTTCTCCTTATGTGTCAAATTATTTAAGAACTGAATTAAAGTTATGGAGAGAAAATCTTTAGCATAATACTCTAGACAAGACTTGAAACAAAAAAAAAGTTCGTGTATTCTCATGACGAAAAATCGATCCTTCCTTCCTCCATGATCTAGCACTAATTATCTGTCCGGTAAATATGATCGATGTGAGTAAAACACTCACATTGAACGTTATCGTAGCCGCGTTCTCCATCATTTCGATTTCTGAACTTTTTAACAGTTTTAATGTGTCTACCAACATACCTTGTTCCTTGATAGCTGTACGAAAAACCGGCTGCAAAAATTCAGGCAAATATATTTAAACTGTGAGGCAAGGAATAATTTGTTTTTGTTATGAAATAAATATCCTATCCACCTGTGTTGCACAATTAACGATAATTCCCATAATATAACTGACAACATCCTCGTGCACTGAGGTCAATAGTTTTGCCAATACCGGTATGATTCCGGATTGTCGCATCACATCTTTATTTTTATCCGATTTAGACATAAACCATAATGCTTTTGAACAGTTACGCAACAAGCTGAATGATTTTTGTTGAATTGCTGGTAGCATTTCACTTTCAGTTTTCAGCACTTGAAGAGGTACATCCATGTAGTTCACCTGCGACAATGCAAACGATTATTTAGTATGAATAAAAATATTTTGTTTCATTTACCATTAATTTAATACCACCGGCTTTGCGAATGAATTTTCTGCCCTTTCTTATTTTCGCCACGTTAGCTAGAGTCTCGGCCGAGAGAATTTGTAAGTCAATTGATCGGTCTGCCAATAGTTTAACTAAAATCGGAATAGCACCCAAATTCGTCAAATTTCTTCTAGTGCCCAACAAAAATGACATTTCATTTAGTATAGCCAGAGCACCGTGCTAAATATAAAACATTCATAGCAAAAGTTATAAGCATTACAATGAATTAATTATTTTCCAGAGTAATTATTATTGTCTATGATTTGATTTTAAAAGAATCAAGTAAAACCTATTATGAATGAGTAAAAATAATAATTATGCTTATTTATGATATCAAATTATTTAGATTTTTAGAACCTTTCAATATTTATTATTTAATCAACAATATTCAAAATACCTATAGCTGTATTTTTAGTTAGCAAATAAACCATCTTCATCAAACAGAATTTTAATAAATAGTTATACAAGCGATGTTGAAACGATAAGTAAATAAGAAGATTATATACTTTATACAAGTATTACCAAAATAAATAAATCTTTTATACAAAATATTATTTTAAATTATTTCATAATTTTTTTGGATTTATTTCGCTATTTTGTCTTGGTGCCAAATTTGGGACATCATGCATTGATGACTTGACTTTGTATGCTTTATAAATTATTTTATACCTAGTATTCGAAGTATTCATACAGTTAATTTATTCATTATAGGTTAAAATTCGACTCCATTCTATTCATATGTACATAGTATACCTGATGACAGTAAATAAATTAATTTAATATTATGTCCTTTATTTATTATTACTACCTAGGGGCGTATTTTAGGGGGGACGAAGGGGGCGAACGTATTTAAGGAATCGATTATATGAGATTCACATTTTAAATTTTTAATGTGGATCATCTTATAACGAAATAAAATTACGCGTGGCTGTGAATAATGAATTGGGCTTTTTGTCGGGTCCATACTTAGTGAAAAATCAATTATAACACAAAAGTCAATTCTAAGTGGATCCGGCATTAGATTAAAAAAAAACCACAAACATTAAAGATTCATCTGATTTAAATACTTCCAACAATTTTACTTGTAAATTTTGAGCCTGAATTAAAGGAAAAATTTGAGTCACCCCCTCCCTAGAAGTAAGTCTAAATACGTCCCTGCTGCTATCCTTAACTGCACTTGTAGTTAAGTAATCCAAAATCACTGTGATACATAAAACATAAAAAAAATCATTGATAATGGTTGATAATGTATGATGTACCAAATATGGCATAAATACAAATGTTTATAATCATTGATAGTGCATAGTGTGCCAAATATGGCACTTACAAATATATTGATAAGTGACTATGCATGGTGTGCCTTATTTGGCACACAATAAACTTTACCTTATAACTTCCAAACTTTTAACTTGAAATTTTTTTACTATTTTCCCTATAATCAGGGAAATATTTTAATGAAGTAAATTTTTTTCCAATCAAAAATAAAAAAATCATGTAGAAAGGGGTTAATGATTTTCTATATTTTTAAATTACTCATTACTTAGTAAAAAATAATCTTTAAGAATCCAATTAATTATATTTTAATATACTTATTTAATACATAATATAAATGAAATATGTTGTATAGCTTTTGAATTATAGCACATACATTGTCTAACAATATATATATATATATATATATATATAATTTAGCCAAATAACAATAGTTTGAATTATTTTAAGCGTAATTTAATATTAGTTTATTTCAATAATTTGAATTTTATTTGTCATTTTCATTCAAACTTGATCCATAATTCGTGTAACACATCATGCATTTACAATCATAAACATTTTAATCAATATGAGCCAGTTGGATGTAGTACAGTAACTTCAAAATAATTAAAAATATATACACAGAAATAATTACTTGAAATAATTTATTTTAATTTATATAATTACTTTGCATTCGTTGTGTTCAGTTTCTAATAAATTGATCAGAAGCTCGGTTCCACCAGTAGCAATCACAATACTTTGCGTTGATTCGTCTCGTAGATTGTAGTCTACTAATGCAGCCAATGCGATTGCCGTAGCTGTTTGATTGCCCACCTGTAGTAGTAAGTATAATGCAATAACAAGATTGAACGGGGAATAATATACGATAGTATATAATTTAAACTAATTATATATGCGCATAGTTATTATAAGTAGTTTTATTACATGTATGTATTTAATCAATCTCTGGATGCTTTCTATTTCAGCTGCGTCATCAGATAAAGATGTTGGATTATACCATCTGTCTTCTTCAAACTCACTCAACGTCATACTATAACTTGAACTATCATCCGATTGTGGTGGTTCTTCGACCATTAAAGTGTTCAAACAACTCGGGACCTAAAATTAAAAGTTAAAATTATAAATTAAAATCAATAATGAGTTATTAAATAATAAACTTATATAGTCTATGTTTATTATTATTTTTTTTTAATTTTGTTACATTCATTTAAAATGATAACGTTATAAACAATTAAGATTAGTTATAATGGATTAAAATAATAAACATTAACTGAACCTATAATAGTATTAACAATCATTAAATAAAAATGTATTGTATAAATTATGTTTTGATGAAAGGTGAAAATGCAATTAATCTCATCTAATTATATCTAATTAGATATGAGAATACAACATATGTACATATAACTATGAGTAAATTACCTTCATATATCTATTTAATATTTTAAACAATATTTATATAATACTGCCGAAGTTCTGTCACAGGATGGCCTTTTAAATTCATGCAATTTTAGTTATCATATACAATATTATTATTATTATTATTGTATAAGTATAAATTATTTTTAAATGCTTTTAATTTATTGCTTATAATATTGTTCGCTTATTTATCATACTCACTTATGCTTATTGTATTATATACGTACAGATAGTAAAATTTTCTAAATTAATAAATAAAAAAAATTATAATATAGCAAAAATTTTATATTTTGTTTATTTAATATTTAAATAAATAATAATTATAATCTTCACCTATAAAATTATACAAAATAAAACAAAATATAAATCTATGGCCTCTCTTCATAGAGCTATCCAGAAAATACATTTACTCACTCTAGTATACTCACTCAACTTCATATAGGTTACATCCAAATTTTCTATTGCTACTTAACGATTAAAAGTGACTCTCCTCCAATATGTCCAAATTGCGGTATTCAGATAATAGTTAACACATAATGACAGAATTTCGCTCATCAGAAGTGGCGTAAATGTAAAAGAAGAACTATTTGAGTCTCTCAAAATTCAATCTTAATCGCAGTTACCATTGAATTTATAAAAAAAAAGTGGAATTCCAAAATGAAATATAGTAAATTACATTAGGGATGGGCAAAAAACATCGATGTTTTGGGTCGATTTATCGATGTTTTAACATTGATGATTTACTCGTATTTTTAATTAATCGATTAAATATCAATATTTATGTTCGAAAAGTAGATTTTTTTTTGTTAGTATTATTTTAGTATGCAGTATAAAAAAAATAAAAAACGCATTTTTTTTAAGAAACGGATTTTTATCTCAATTAGTATATTTTCCAATGTAGCAAAGAAAATATGCAAATACATGAACCTACGAGACCTAATTATAAGTATTTAATATGTTTTTAAAAATATAAGTTAAACAATAGTATTTTAACTCTTAGATTTATTATTTAATCAAGAAAATAGTATACTGTATAGATGATAAGGTGTGCAACAGATGAGTTGTCATCTAGAGGGAATTAGAGGGAACTAGAGGGAAAAAACATTTTTTCGATATTCTTAAACATCGTTGGTTTTTCACCGATACATCAAACACATCGATATTTTAAAAATATATGTATTGATACATCGAATATCGATATTCAAATAATTTTGCCCATCCTTAAATCACATTTCTAACAGTTAGTTTTAATTTTCATTGTATCGTACATTTATTGTGTAATTCTTCTGTACATATTAAAAAAAAAAGTGTAGTAATTATGTGAAGGTTTAACTTTAATGTTTATTTTGTTTTATATAAATAATATGACATCAAGTAGTTCCAATGATACCGCGAATTATGTTAAATAAAAAATAAAAATAAATTCAAACCCAAATTCTTATACTAAATACATATTTATAACAAAAATAATAAATTGCAATATGCTATTTATTATAAATAATAGAATAAATAAAAAAACAATTGGACTAAAAATAATATGGCACAATAATTAAACGTGATACTTTTCCAAAACAATGATTAATGGATCATTGACCCTAAGTGTATGTACAAGGCCGGATTAAGGGGAGGTATAGCCGGGATGGTAGCCCCTGGGCCCTCTCGAGTACCCAAGTGAAAGGGGCCCAAACAATTTTAAGCCAATACACATTTTTTATTATACTAAAATTAGTAGTTTTATAGACATAAATTTTATATACCTATTAATTTTATAATTTTATAATGCAATTGACAATTTGTGATATAGTTAAAAAAATGTATCGTTTTGTGAGCGTAGTGAGCGGCTTTATAAAGCATGTTTTATTAAGAGGGCCCATATAAATATTCAGCCCCAGGGCCCAATAGATGCTTAATCCGGCCTTGTGTATGTAATATTATATTTTATTCGTAATTGTATACTTGAATACCAACTATTGTAATGTATTTTATTTTGTGTGAAAAATGATTTATTAGTAGCTTTTTGTTAAATGAAAAACAAAACAATGTACTTCAAAGATCCTTTTACTTCTAAAGATTTCTCGTACTCAACTGTAACCACAAATAATACAATAATTGCTTAACAACTCAAGAACGTGCTTTCGAAATATGTTATTAAATGAAGAGCCTCTTTCAATACGATAGACGTAGCTCATTCTCGAACATAAAACATTATATATATTATAGACATTAAGTACCAGTACACTAAGTATGATATAATTATTATTAGGATTACATCTAAATTATATAAATAATATTTTTCTATTTTGATGGAGTACTCACTAACAATAAAAAAAATACTTTTTTTTTTTTAATTTAAAACCTATAATTTATAAATACAATTGGTTTTTAAAATAAAAACTATCAACATATTTCAAGCGACCTAACAATATTATGGTATTTGTTATTGATAATTGCAAATTATTATCATAATCATACAAAGTGCTGAGTAATCAAGATATATTTTTATTTTATAAATTACGATATATAATATACATATATATATATATTGTAACATATTAACATTTTATTAGTTAATTAATGGTCGTATTTTAAAGCTTGTAGACATTTATAATAACTATGCTCCATGCGTTTGACTCAACGGTTGACCTCGATTCTTCAATGGTTACTTCATCAAGGTTCACATGTTATATGCTAGTTCTTGTTCCATAAACAGTCAAAATTCCAAGAAATCAATTCAGGGTTCCTTTAAATGTTGATTATATGTTGGAGTTCGATTCAAAATATTATTTAAGAACGTCAAACACTAAAATAAGAAAATGAAAATACGTTCATTGGCTTAAATGGTACCAAATGATGCGCAATCGGGTATGTTGCAAGGGTTAACTATTTAACATTCGGATCCATGGCCGTAGACCATAGCCTTAAGAAAGAACAATTTTTAGAAAATTTAAATGAAAATAAACTGCTGTTGTTCCGATATTATAAACCTGATTTGTAAAAATCGGAAATTGAATATATTATCTATGACAATGTGTAGCGCACCATTTATACTGTGCATTATGAAACTATCTTTATACTAATAATGTAAAATACGAGTACGTGATAAAATAGATTCGAATTTAGTATTATACGGATGGTAAATACTTTTTTTACTATTATTACAGCTTACATATTTAAACACGGAACCAGTAACATCTAACAGCAATATATCGAATCATTCGAATCCAACTATTGTACTTCGCTGGAGAGTTTTTTTTAATCGAATTCAACAAATATAGCATTATACAATTTTGCCATTAGCTATTACGAAACCATGAAGAACTTAAGAATAATAAAGAATGTATTGGAACCTAAAGTGTTTAAACAAACATATTGCGCAGTACCTACGCATTTTTTTTATCGGCTTGTTACTGGCTAGGGACATATATTTTAACCAGTCTTTAAATTTGTATATTGCTGTAGCTGTAGTAATGTACATGCATACGAGTATGTGATTCATATTTGATTAAAAAATGTTTCTAACATAGAGTTAAGCGTAGAATGTATTTATTTTACTCTTTTACCATTATATATTTTCCCTTCTAATTTTTACTCATGATTCGATCAGAAGGATATTACGATCACCACATTTTTTATTTATTGAAATAAGTATATTGTTTATTATACAGTTATGTCTTATGCGTAAGATTTCCTCTCAAATAACTCAACGTTCGGTTGCCCAAGAAACCAAATGTGACATTATTTTGTTTAACTTAAACTAAATCAATTTTAACTTTGTTGTTGATCAAGGGTATTAAATAAGCATTTTATTCAATAATTTTTTTAATTGTTTTCGTTTTAATCATTAAAAGCAATAAAAGTTCTTAATACAATAAATATATACCTATGTCACGTCTATTAGTGAACATCCACTTCATGAAATTTATCCATTTAGTGAAATTGACATTTTTTTACAGTTGTATGTATATATATATGGTTTAACGATCCATTATAGATTTATTTTAAGATTATTTTATTTAGATTTAGATAATTCTATTATAACATATTTCGAATATCAAATAATGTTGTAGGCATATAGACAAATCATACTGACTATAGGGTTAACAATATATTTGTACTATCATCTATGTCTATCACATCTAATTAGTTATTACCTGTATATATTAATTTTTAAAACAATTGTAATAATGAACATAAAATTAATCTGCGAAAAACATCAAATCATTCAACCAATTTAAATCAGTAAACTCAGGATAATCTTGAGATTTGTCCAACAAAAATAAACGTACTTCTTCCAGTAATTCAATAAATCGATGAAGAACTTAACCGCGACTCAACCATCGAACACTATTATATATAAAAAGGCCAGAATATTGCGACTCGACCTCTTCTAATAATTTGGTAAACTGTCGGTTGTTTAGAGCTCGAGATGTTATGAAATTGACAATTTTTGTAACAGTTTCCGTTACTTTTTGAAGGAATTTCATACTATTTTTTGCACACAACAGTTCTTGGTGTATAATACAATGAAAGTTAATGATAGGATGCGAAATTCCATTGGAAAAAAGTTTAATAAATCCATTTTATTTACTAACTATATTTAGAACACCGTCAGTAGTTATTGAAACAATACTTTGGATACTGATTTTTAAATTTATATACTCTTTATGTATTTCATTCATAATATCACGACCAGTTATTTTAGTAGAAATTGTTATTAATTTTATTAATTCTTCTTTCATAATATTGACACTAATAAATCGAACAAAAACTGCTAAACGAGCCTGAGAAGTTACATCTGTATTTTCATCAAGACAAGCCGAAAAAAAAGTCTGTTGAAGCTAAATCAGTTTGAAGCTGATTTGATATATCATCACTCATACATAAAATTCGTTCTTTAACAGTATTTCTACTAATAGGTAAATCTTGAATACGTTTTATTGTTTCATTTTTATTCGCAAAAATCATAAAATAAAGTATTTGATGTCATTAAAAAAAACTTATTTTATGTATTCTCCATCGGAAACTGGTTTACCATGCTCTGCAATACAGTGAGATACAGAAAAAAATAGCAGCTGTTAAATTATTATTTGGTTTAAACGCAGCTTTGAAATTATATGATTGATTTTTAAAACGTTTCAATTTTTGCGAAATTAATTCCAACTTTTCTTCAGTTGATAAAGAAAATATGTCCGTATTAATTGTTTCAAAACGTCTTTTTTACATTAAAACTGTGACTAATTACATAAACAACATAACGCTTTATTATTTTTTTGAACTACCCCATAATCAATGGTCCATTGTTCGTGAAATGATCTACCCCTTTTACTTTTTGACATCATTTATTAAAAAATATAATCTTTGAATATTATAAAAATAACGCTCACTAATAATGAAAACTGCCAAAACGATACATTCATATTAACCAAAGACAACTATAAAATTTAACACATGAAACACATTCGATTCGACGAATGAGTAATGACTAACGCTAGCCGTGGACCATTTTTACACGTTATATCAGTTTTATAAATATATACCTAATAAAGTACTCATAAAATAAGATTTTCTTATTAAAAATAATAAAATTAATAGTTGTTGAGCAGTGTAGATATTCAATTTAATGCGTGTAGGTATAATACCATAAACTTATTATTTCATTTTTGTAATCTCAATTTATTTTAGTCTACGTCCTACGACCCGTGGTTTTTGATGACCAATTTTTACACAGTTGCGTGTGTCACTAAAATAGTGTGTGTGCATGTCACACTGTGACACGCGTGTCATAGGTTCGCCATCTCTGATATAGACACTAAATTTCTCTTTTAATGTAAAATAAAAAAAAAAGTCATGATAATTTATTTCTATGTGCATATTAAAACCGTAATTAAACATATTTATATGAATATCATTGGAAATAGTTATTGAAGCGTTTCAGACGTTAAACGACTGTCTTCTGTTTTTATTGTTAGGAAACGAACATGATTACGAACTGAATAATTTGCAATTATAAATATAAATTTTTGTCTAATAAAACATGGTTTGTATGATAATACACAAATACAGTATATACAATGATAATTATATTATTAATTTATGTATAACATATTAATATATCATTTTAATAATAAATATAACCGAAAACGATGCGAATAATCTATTTTAAATTAGTGCGGGTGATCAAATAATTATTAAAAATGTAATAGGTATATTTAATTAATTAGTTTACATTTAACTAAATCAAGAAAAGAAAATGTACGTAGATAAATAAATGTGAGGGATATTAAAAATAAATTAAAATCTAATCAGGTCAGTTATAAAAATGCACGTATAAGTAAAATAGATAAGTTCAAATAACACTATATAACAACACAAAATAAAATATATAAATAAATAAATGGTTATCCTGGAGTATTATGATATTTGTAAAGTACGACCGGTTTCGAATTGAAAATTCATCACCAAGTATACGTATACACAAAGTCAATAAAATAACATTCGAGTCACGATTTTATCGACTTTGTATCCAGTTGTTAATTATTCTTAAATAAATATTATTTGAAATCTTATTATTAATAAAGTATTCTTATTAATGTTTACTTATTCCTAAAGTTAATAAAATTATATTTGAGTCACGAATTTATCGACTGTGTTCAGTTAATTATTTTTATCTAACCCAATGATAAATTTTGAATTCGAAACCGGTCATTGTTAAAAAAATATAAAAATAATACAAATATAATAATATTTCAGGATAAGCATTTATTTATTTATTTAATTATTTATGTGTATGAACTATTATTTTATTTATTTATATAGTAATTCTTGAGTTAATAGTTATTTACTAATTTTCTATTCTTATTATTTTATTAAAATAAAATGCAAAAAAATGACAAAAATATTATGATTCGGATATATATTACTTGCAGATGTATCAACAATATAAAATGTGTACACATTTGATTATCATACTAGAAACTAAGAACTACATGTGTTTTTGAAAAAAAATGTTTTCGTTCGAAGTTATTATTACCCAACATGTTCAAAAATAATTTTTAGTAATTTTACTTTTAAATAGCTAAATAAAATCGGGTAATGGTAATTGAAATCCAACCGGAGGAAATAAACTAGTTTTCTTGACAAATTAAAATACATTCGAAGGAACTTAAAACGTAATTCAATCTGTCGAGGATTTTAAGCTATTGATTTATTACAGTTGACTGTGTAGTAAAAATAATTATTTTTATGGCCATCGAACATTAACATTTAATTTAACAGATAATAATATTATTTTTTTCGCGGTTCGTAATTAAAATAATACGATTTAATATTTATATAACATACGCTTACCTCAACTACATTATTATCTTCAGCTAATATTACATCCTTTTCTTCTCGTTTGTCTTTGGCTGATCCTTCTCTGTGAGTTTCAATATTATTCTTATTTTCATTCATTATTATTTTTTTATTTTTGTTGTTTGGAATGTAAACCAAAATAAATACAACATAAAAATGATGTATAGAAACCAACGGGTTTTATTCACAAAGTAAAATATCTGATAAGTAGGCCAAATATCGATCAAACTTTGTTTACCATATTTTAATTGCGAGTACTGATAGTACAAAAGTGATAGTTTTTATTATATATCTAGAATAGAAGTGGATTATGATTTAAGTTTAATACTCAATAATTGTGATGAAAACTATTTTGATGGAGGCATACTCCAACCAACTAACGAGAAAAAGATTTCCTTGAATTCATTACAAACAACTAAAAATAATTAGTCTTAGTTTTTTAACTTTAAATACCTCTATAATAAATAATCAAATAACATACATTTACATAATATAAACAATATTATGCGATAGTACAATAAGTAATTTATGTATTATAATAAAATTATTATTTTATTTCATTTTCAAACAATAAGTTGCAAAATGTGATAAAAAGTTATTTGCGATCTATCAAAATAGTAAGCAAGTACTTATTGTCAATATGATAACATTTGTATATTTGTAGGGTGACCATATTTACGGAAAAAATAAAACAGGACAAATATGTTCACTAAAAAAAAAAAAAAAAAAAAGACCACGTTTTAATATATATAACTTCTATATTATATGCAATAAAAATAATTATTAATTAGTTTAATATTTTAATAAAACATCGATTTGCATTCTTTTTTTGATGTGAGATTGAAAAAAATTACTTAAAATATTTTTTATTTTTATTGAGTTGATGTCGATTGTTCATAATTTTCTTCATTACATCCTTTGACATAATATTTTTTCGATGAACTAATTGCATTAATAGTTTTGGTTATGTTAACAAAAAATCATAAAAATCATTACAGGAATTTTTTTTAAAATTTATTTTACGAATTATTATTGCTTTGACAGTTAGTACGAGAAAACAATTTTTTCCGTCCGTCCATAAAGTATTTGTGATTGAAATGTATTTCTGTTACTGCGTCAGTTAATCTGCAAAGGTACAGTGAATGTATATTTACTTTTAAGCATTTTAAAAAAACAATAAAAGTAATAACATTAACGACTCGCAACAATTTAAATAGAAAGAATTGATACACAGTGACTATAACATTAATAACAAAAGATCGGTGCAATGTACACACGTTACTACACGACTTTGTTCGATTTTTCGATTAATATACCTAATATACCTATAATACCGAATATCGTTGATTATAAATAGTACTGTATATTGGTAAACTATTCGTATTTAATATCGATTTCGTCAGAAATCTCGTATATGAATTCGTAGTACATATATATATGTATTAACTATATTATATTTCTTATTTTTTTTCTTTTACTCTCAGTTTACAATTTTTATGGAAGTAACGGTTTTAAAACGGGACAAAAAGCGTCCTGTTCAAAGTTTGTCGGGACAATGAGACATAATGATAAAAAAGGGACAATCCCGTTTTAAACGAGACGTATGTTCACTCTATATATTTGCACACTTATTTCATATCTTGATATTAATAATTATTATAATATTGATATTTAAAATAATTTTAAATTCGTATAATTCTTTCAAGTGGTATAGGGGGGAATTTAATGGTCATTTACGGAAAACGGGAAAATATGTTCAATGAAAATATTTTAGAAATGTATTTAATGTTATTAGAGATATTAGATTAGAGATGAGAACATGAGAAACCTGTATAAGTAGAATACAAATTAAATACGGTTTGTGCGTTTAACTTATGAACGCGCGCTCATTAGTAATTTATTATGGCTATTATTGACTATCAGTATCAACTTATAATAATATCATAACGATGAATAACGCACAGAATATCGGCCCCACCTTGCCGTGTACACCGAAACCCTCAAAACGAAATTTGTCAGCCTCATCAATTTCACCAAATCAAAAATGACAAAAAAAACCAGTCTATATTTCACCAAACCATTTTGGCCCATTTGCTTCTTATGACAACAATGATGTAATAACAACCATGACTTTAACCAACCTCAAGGATGATCCAGTGAACTTGTCTCACGCTAAACGAGACATAGGGCTTCAGGGCTTCCGGCGTCACCTATCCATGTCAAAAACATTTTAAACTACTCCGCCTTCAATAAGGTATTAATCAACATCACCGATTAAAATTGTTTTACCTGTAGGTCAACGCCATTACGCATCATCATACAACTAGCAGGTCGCCAAAATGTTAATACAATTATTGATCAATTACACAAAACTAATACTACTCGTAGTTTTCATTCTTATACCCCCCGTTACCTTAGTAGATATAAAGGATCATAATCAGAAACCTACACTTTTCCACCTTAAGTAATGACATTATCAATGCTTTATCTGAGTTGGGACACTCAGTTAAACACATATATAACGTCAATATAAAAACAAATGTCATTTACCCTTATCCTTTGTGGATATTTAAACACAAGTCAATAATAAAGACGTCCACAAAATCAAATTTCTATTCAATACTAAAGTCTCGATTGAGAAACCACATAAGAAGAAACGTGGTACTCTACAGTATCACAACTGTCAATTCTACTAAAACACACTAAATAATTTCCACCATGAACCTAAATACGTAAAGTGTGGTGATAACCATCCCACAAACGAGTGTTCCAAAGACCGTCACAGTTCTGCCAAATGTGCCCTTTGCAATGAGGAACACATAACTGACTACAAAGGATATCCAGTTTACAAAGCTGCTCTAAAAAAAAAAAAAAACAGTTCCAAATCACTCCAGCCAGACTCTGTTCAACGCCCAGTCTAAAACCAAATCTTATGCGGAAATCACCAAAAATCAAAACTCATACACAGAACACAAAATTGCCGATATTCTTTTAAGTTTTATATCTAATCTAAAATCACTAATTTATTAATTGTGTTAATCTCTTCCGTCAATAGTCTTAAACGCTTTTACAACTAACATCAATAGATTAAGGATGTTGATGACTTTTGCATATTTTTCCTTTGATTCAATACAATGCTATCCGAGCTAAAAATTTGTTTCGTGCTCACTTGATGCAGAATATTCTAATTTTATTTTGCATTTTATTTTTATTTTTAGGCATTTTTAGCTATAAATGCATTTTTTTTGTTTTTTAACGTGATTATTTTTCAACATTTTTAAGCCATTTTTTCATCTCATAGGTAATTTTTTGTAGTATTTTTTTTAACAATGTGGGGCATTTTTCCTAATTTTAGATTTTAGAGCAATTGTTAAACTCAAGTATGGAAACAAATTAAATTTATTGTTGTAATTAAATTTATCGCGTTCCAATAAGATTTACTGTTTTAGACTTTGAGTATTTATATTGATATATATTGATATTCAAATGTAAATGTATACTATAGCTTATTAATACTACAATTTATAATTCACATTTTAAATTACTATAATTACTGTTACTATTAATGACTATTACACTCATTATCATACCCATATCTTTAATAAAAATTATTATTTATAAATACATTTTTTTCACTTATTTAATTAGTTTTTTAGATCATTTATAGAAATTTTTTGAAGTTTTTTGGGTATTTTGTATTTTTTTATGAAATTTTTATGTGTTTTTTGGGTCATCAACATCCTAACTCTAAACATCAATATTTAAATTAAAAATAATCTAATTATATCCATTATCAATGTCAGTTTTAAAATCAAATAACAAATAAAAATGTAGACATCATTATATAATTATAATTAATTTAGATTATAAAACTCTCAAACTTGTAATAGCACTGAGCATGTTGAAACATTTTAATTTACAATAAATAAAAATAAATAAAAGAACTTATAGAACGATGGTTTTCCTCATGTCAAATTACTTTTAAACATTACTATGAAATATATTTTTTATTATTATTTTACGTTTTCAAACTACAACGATTAATGTAGAATTTAATATCGACTGATTTATTGAAATAAATACCAACGCAGGTATATTTGTACTGCACTTAAGATAATTTATAACAAAACACAAAGCATATACTCTGTTATACTTCATGTAGAAATGGAAACTGATATAATAAATATTATGATTTATGACTCACAAAATGTGGATATAAACTAAAGAATTTGAGTTGTCATTCTCCCTTATAAATGCCAATAGAATATGAACTTTTAACGAATATATTATAAGATAACATATAAAGCGTTATAATGTAATGTACTCGAATTAAAGTGTAAATTAAATTTAAAAAAAAAACTCCTCTGAGCACTAAAAAACAATTATTAGCAAATGGTTATATTGTTGTTTTGTTTATTTCCTGTCCGGTACCAATTATACCAACATTATCCATAGTTGCACGACTATTTCGTCACAGTAACGATGGCTATAGCAAAAATATACGAATGATTATGAACTACCTGTCGACAGCAGTATTAAAACTGCACTCAAATCATATACATTCACTTGTGCGTATTATATTGGGCTACACATTCATTCCGTTGGTCCTACGGATTGGTGCAATTTGCTTTACCATATGTTCAGTAAAATCATACAGTTTTGGTGTTATGTATAAAATAAGAGTAGTATGAATGTTTATGTGTTTACCTCTTACTGAATAACTTTTTTTTTTTTATCAAATTAATTTAAAACATTTTTCTTTATATCGTGAACTTGATACATTTCGGAGACTTCAATGCTTGAATAAAGGTAAAAACATTTAAAAGTATTTTATGAAATTTAACTTAATTAACATTATCTGTGACTTCTAATAATAATATATTAAAATAAGTAATTACACATTCAATTTAACATTTTATACAAACGTTATTAAAACAGTTATTGTATGATATATTGTTTAATTTCTTTACGAAAAATATACATTTATTAAATTGATAAAATTGTTAGGTACAGTTGACAATTGTTTGAAATCTCATTTAATATGTACAGTTAGAAATTTGATAAATTTAAAAATTAATTAATTATTTTTACTATAAAGTGTAATTATTAAGTACCATTTAAAAATTACGAAACATAAAAACGGTTGACATTTTATTCTAATATTATAATTAATAAATATTATCATTCATTAAAACTGATAATTTGGTAGGCCTAACCTAAAACCCGACATATCGAAGTCTCAAATTATAAATCACCTACTTTTATATCTAATTACTCTACTCGTAAACGATAAGTTTTGTAAAGATTTACGCATAGGTATACATATATATGTGTATGGATATGTAGATTATTTAATTATTAACAAAAAATAATATTTAATTAAACCTTAAAATTAAATATATTCATCCTTTACTTCCACTTTATTATATAATGAGGTTTTCATGTTCTAAAACATTTTTTGTGTATGAAATAGAAAAAAAAATTTATTATATTCTGTAAATTATTATAGATTTGTAACAATAATTTATCTTATAGTTATAACATTTTACACATATTTATGTTACACGTATGATGAGACTTATTGTAATTCAAAATTGTCATTTACAATTTATTTTTTATTTTTAAGTGTACAAATAATTAGTTGAAAATATTTACAATAACCATAATAGTAACAATATACACCATTTTTAAATTATGTAAAATAACATTATTATTTCAGAGTTAAGTTAAGTTAAGCATTTGTTTTATATTAAAAATATTATAAAGTATTGTAAATGAGTATTTAAATAAGTCAATAATCAATTATAGTATGCTTTTTTTTAGTTACATATTCTGTCGAAAATAGTGTTAAATATTAAATGTTTTTTTAAATGTTGAAGGGTTAATCATAAATTCATAGATATACGGTACAAATAATGCACTATAAGACCTCAATCAACAAAGTAATAACTAGTAATTCTCAGTTAACATAGTTTCCAGTTATTAGCAACCTACTAGTTTTACCTTATAACATCACATTATAGTTTTACTTTCACATAAATAAAAAATTGTTTTCATAATAATTGTGATTTGCTTATGATTTGCTGAATAATTTATTAATTATATATATTATTTATTAATAATTTTAAACATTTTATTGAAGTTAAACGATAAAATAACAAGATTTATAAGAAAAAATAGATATTCTTCGGCATATTTAATTTTTCTTATAAATCTTGTTATTTTATCGTTTAACTTCAATAAAATGTTTAAAATTATTAATAAATAATATATATAATTAATAAATTATTCAGCAAATCATAAGCAAATCACAATTATTATGAAAACAATTTTTTATTTAACTTTTTTAGTTAACTTTATATCTTAATAACTAGATAATGAGTTGGATATATAATCAAATACATTTAAGTGTGTATTATATTAATAAATATTGTACTACATTATTGTCAATTAATTTGTATTAATACTAATAATGTAGGATGTCATTGGAAATCATGTTATAAATTACAAAAATGTGTTACATTACAATTAATTCTTAACTTAAATTGGTCATAAAGCAGCTAACAAATACTATTGGGCTTAGCGAGACTGTTTCACGGTCATGCCTGATTAGTATGTTTGCGTTGACTGTCTTACAAGTTCACAACACACAACATTTTATTTTAATGCCTTTTTATATTTTATACTTTTTGTACATATTTTTCAGTTACTAAAAATACTTATGTTTATGTCGTATTAAAAAAACATGGTTATATACATAAAAAATGTGTATCGAAAACATTTAATGACTTATTCAATAATTACATTTTTGTAACATATGTAAATTAATTTATTGTTTATTTATAACTTTAGGTCATTTTCCTTGATTATGTAATAAGTTATGCATTGAGTAGGTATGTGTAAGTCCATTCTCTAGTTATAAATAATAATATTCATTACAAAATAATTGTCTTATTTATGCCTATCACCTAATAATATACATAACTTTTAAAAGTATTATATACTGGTTTAAAAATAAACTATATCGTTGGTATTGTTATGTTTACCTTAATTATATTACTAAACAAAACCCCTTATAATGTATTATAAGAAAATCAAAATAGACTGAAAGCTTAAAGTTAGATAAATATATTGCCAGTACTATAATATGTATAAGTTATTTGAATAAAAATACGAACCATGTTATTGACATGCCTTAACAGTCATTCAGAAATTAAATTTTCAGGAATAAGAATTAAAAAGAATACATAACTGATAATCCAACATTATTTTAACTGACGTCAGGATAGTGCTAGATGAAGCATAATACTATGATTATGTATTTGTGTAATATCGAAGTAGTTAAATTACAACCCATCGTATGCTAAAACTGCTGAGTAACTCTGAAATTCGGTTGATTTTGATCGAAACTGATTATTTTCTACAATTATAATTAGTTTATAAAAAAATATTCTCTATTATAACATAATAGCACAACGGGAAACCATACCGACAAAATAACACTCAATCGTGTGACGTGTATACGTCAAGTTATTTTCAAAACCGAAGTTTGAAATAAATAATAACCATGTATGAATATGATATTAATATATATATATAATTTTGAAGATAAAACTTAACTACAGACAAAAGTATAAACGTAATTACATTTACTATCAGTTACATAAGTTATAACTGGTTTTAAAAAGTATCCTTAACTTAAATTTTAAAATTATTCAATGCATTCATTGACTTTTAGTATTTTATTTGATTATCTTTTAATATAACCCTTTTTTAAACAGAATAATAATTATTATCCTAATATTTCATAAAATAACAAATCTGAATATAGGTGTTTATTATTTTATTTTTTTTTTTTTGAAGGTAGAATCAACCTTCTTAAATATTATTGAGGTTTAAATAATGTACAATTAAGAGGTATATGCCCTATACTTGATTCGTAGTTATTACAATATGGTCTTTGGAGGGGGTAATTATCCAATATTCCCCCCTAATTTACAGACCTGAATCTGAAACGCAACACAGATTATTAGGTACTTTAAAAGTAATTTTTCAAGTTCCTTAACAATTAAATGTTACTGTACACTCAGTTCTAAGATCAGTAACAAATTTTGAAATTTTTTTGGGAATGTCGATTTTGGTTAAAAATAATTGATGAAATATATATGGTGGTTCAACACTGAATTTAAGACAACAATGCAATACTTATTATGAATAATACTGAGCTAAAATGTGTGAAGCGAAACAATTACCAAAATCTGAAACCAACCCGGTTGATCTAGATTAAAGGAAATGTAAGAGTATATAAGCGTACCAATTCACATGAGTATAGTCTGAAATAAAACATAGTATATTATTTAATTTCTGAATGCAATATTATTATTAAGTTATTATAATTCTAGAGGGAAGTTGCTTCATTTCGCCCGATTGGGTTCGTTACCAATTTTTCTCGAGTGAATCATCGTTTTCAAATTATCGAAAAATAAATATCTATGTTTAATAATGGAAATGGTTAATCTAAATAACGCAAAATAACTAACGTCACATAAGTTGATCCTAAATAATTTATCATTTCAAACTATAGTAGAATATGAAAAAATTTAATATTTTTTTAGAAGAAAACAACGTGTGACCTTGGTAATAAGATTGTTTTACGAAAATTTTATTGTCTAAGAACTTTTAATAATACAGTATGCTGGACAAACAAAATATGTAATCACTAATAGATCAATGAATCAGGCTTCGGGTACATAATATGATTACATATACAATGTTAGACATACAGTATTCGATAATATAACTTCAATATCACATATGATATCAGAATATAATCGTATATAAAAATAAAGATCTTCAATAATTAATTTATGTGATTTAAAAAAAAAACTCATAAAAAAATAATTAATGGTTTAATTGTCAAAATAATAACTATCAGAGAGAATGGTAGACAATGATAAGAATGGTAAGATGCACACGCATAATGCTAATAATACAATGTTTACATTATTTTTACTTCTACCTGTGAGAAAGAGTAATTTCTAAATTTTGCACAAGTTTATTTGCTATAAACTTTGCTATAATTTCCATTATAAGTATTATTTGTAAAAGATATAGTTATATATAGTATAATTTTTATTTTTGTTAACATTTTTAACGGGGACATTCTGACAACGAATTTGAAAGCAATTATTACTAGATTATAAAGAATTAAAATCAAAACTCCATTAAACATTTTTATTATGTTTAAGAAATATATCAAAAGGCATCTTAATAAATTGCGCAAATCAAAAAAAATGTTGAGTCCACTTATCATTTTTAAAAAATATATTACCAAACATATTTATAGTTTCTGTTTTTAGGTTATCGGTCTATTTGTCTGAATAGGTATAGAAACGAGTAAACGGGAGGTCTGTGACAAAAATACTGACCAAAATTTTATAAAAGTTTATACGGAATCTTAAAAAAAAAAAATTGACACCGATGTTAACTAAAGAGATCAATCAATATTGGCACAAAGGGCACAATAAAAAATGTGAACGATGTAGATTTTGTATGAGATATGAGAATTTAATAGCCATTATATGATGTTATAGTTGAATTGCTACTTTTGAAATCATATTCTAAGGATGGTTTTATCACGTATCTGGCTATTGCAAAGTGCACATATTGAATATATATGCTATATCCGATGTGATATTATGATTAATAACAGTCTATTGGAATACTTAAAATATATTGGAATATAATTTATGTAATAAATATATAATGAAAACAAATTATTGTAAAACAATTATCAGAATCTTACATAAATTTTTATCTGATAAAAATTCTAATCTTATATAAACTATGAATATATTTTTTTTTTACATAACAATACAATTTGGTATATTAAACATAAGTGAGAATAAGTGAATTACAATGTCATGTAGATTTGAGTGGAAAAGTTGCCCACTGGCGACACTCCAATAATATAAAACTAGATTTGAAATTAGGAAATAAGTTGTTTAAATACATTTAACTGCAATAATCATCTAATAATTAGCTAATCAAAATAATAAATGATTTATTTGAAAGATCATTTAATATTCTATAAGGTTTTTTTGTAATTAAAATTGACTTCAAATTTATGTAACAAACTTCAATATTGACGAGTTAAATACGTAAATAGTAAATTTATTTATACATTATAGTTACCTGTTTAATTAAAATTAGCATAAGACTATTAATTTATTTGATTTACTTTTGCGAATATATATTAAGTACTTGCAAATATTATTATTGTAAAATTCAAGGCACTCTACTATTATATAATTTATTTTTTTATACATTTGAGTGGAATAGGTATTGCCAAAATCAAGTATCAATGTAAATAAATATTGAAAGTGAATATACTTTAGACATTTTTTAATGCATATAATTCATTAAGCATACAATATTTTAATAAAACTCAACGAAAATCACAAAAATATACATAATTTTTGTAAATTAAAATTTATAAAACTTTCAGTTTTAATATTTAAGGCTTGAAAATTGAATTCAAGATTCTACACAATTGTATAACTAACTGAGTGTGAAATAATATTAGTGTGATAAACTTAATATTAAATTCATAACTGTTAGATAAAATGACTACTCAAATTTAATATTCGTAGTAAAACGTTATGTTGAAAAAAATCTTTTTTCGTCATTATAACGTTAATGGGATGATAAAAAGAGAAAATAATTTTACATTAATAAAATTTGAAGTGTTGAACTCGTTCTAGAAAAATAATAAATTTAAATATAATCAGTGCTCTAATTTTAATGTTCGGTAATAATGAGAGTAGTATAGAATTGAATAAATCTATTCTGTTATTTTATTCTATTGTTTCTATTGACTTTTCATAAAAAATCGAAATAGGTAAACCGATTAATAATATTGTGAAAAATAAACAATAAATACATAATGTGAATTATTTTGCTAATTTCACTAATAGTAACTCAATTATGAAACGTTTTAAATGTTTATGAATTGTGTTTTAGTCAAATATTTTTAAAACGGTCGGTAACCATCTCAGTCGTATAATTGTTCAATTTTTATTGTATATAAAAAAAAGAAATTATTTAAAATAGTAATTTGTAAAATACAATACAGATGTAACTAAAAGAACCAATACCTAGAACAAACCCTATTTTACCCATATCTTTAAATATATTACAACTATATTATATTATATTTTCCTTCAAGTCGAGTCAAGTATAGTAATTTTTTCAAGAAAATTTTTTCTATGTAAATACTTTGAGTAAAGTAAAAATATAGATATATGACGATTGAAGTCTCAAGAATATTTTGATAAAATTATAATTAAAAAACACTAGGAATCAAGATCAGTTTAAAGTTGATCTTCAAAATTATCACCTTTACGGTGGAGTGTTTTTCAATTTAAAACATTTTAATGAAAATTCAAAACATTCATTTTATATTTTTTTAATTAATTTTTTTTAATCTTTGAATGGTTGTAATTATAATACGAGCGTCGTAGTTTATTGTCCGTTATATTGTTGTATACGCAATTTTTATGAGTAAAGTATAGGATTAAAAAATACTAAAAAATAATAAAGTTATTAATTTTAAACTTACTATAATTTAAAGACTAAATCACTATAAACTGTCATCTAAAAATGCAAAATATTGCAATACATACCGATCCCATATAAAAATGACATGTACCTAAACCTCGACCTTGCTGATATGTTCTACTCGTCCATATATATATATATGGTTTAACGATCCATTATAGATTTATTTTAAGATTATTTTATTTAGATTTAGATAATTCTATTATAACATATTTCGAATATCAAATAATTATATATGAACCACGAAAAGTTCACTTTTAAAAGCGTCATACATCAATGAATAATATATTATAAATTAATGTTATCTTATACGCATAAAAAAATGGGTTACATAATTAATTAATCAATTTTAGTTTCTTTTCATTCAAAAATAGAAACAAATATACCGTGTTATTTTTTTGGAACTAGAATAATTTTAATATCATATTATTGAATAACTTCGAAAAATACTACCAGGAAAAAATTATTAATGAAGAACAAAAAAAATGTCAATAAATAAACCATAACTAATGCGTACACATGGGAATATTTCATTTTTTCGGTCATTGAAACAAAAATAAAATTGGCTATAACCTCCATATTTGAAGTACCTAGAGAAACTTCAAGGTTCACTATACTATACAATTTAACATCACATTTTTATTGAGCTCCAGGGATCACGGAAGTATCAAAATATTTGTTTGAAAACTTCATGGTGAATTCAATGTACTGCTTCATAAAATTGAACGTTAACTATACGTGCGAAATATGTATGTTATACCTTGAGATAAACAATAGTCAACAATATAGCTAAGAGTATTGTACTGTGATTTATAATTTTTAAATGGATCTAAGAGTTTTAATTATAAATGTTGATAACCTATTTCAGGAAAGTTCGATGCAAAACATGTAAATAAAAAAAACTGTGTGGTGTAAACTATAATCGTGATTTTTATAAGTTCTGTTGATAAAAATAATCGTTTTTTAGATAAAATTAACCTTTAAGTTTAAAAGAAAATCCATAAATTATATTTGATATCTGATACTTGTAATTTATAATAATCACAATACGAGTATTAAGACATAGAATTATAATAAGTTAAGTTTTTTTATTTCTCCCATTGATTAATGTTTACTTATAATCTAAAAATGATTGTGTCAGTAAACATATATCAAATGATTAATCAGAAAGTAAATAAAGAAATAAAGATTTATTCCTTACAAAAAAATGTTATAAAATATGGCCAATATGTATAAGTATAATGGTATATATTATGAACAACACAATTATGATAACCATTTCAAATTTTTTTTATTTTTTGCATTTACACAACTTGTAAATGTATAAAATGTAATTTATTTATTTTGTTATTATAATTATTAATATTTTTTTGTCATATTTATAGTATCTGAACTTTTTTTTATGAAAAATATAATATATTTTATATATTATATTTAGTTATATTATAACTACCAATTATTTTTCTAAACTTTCAGCTTTTAGATTTCGTGACTGTGGTAATTGATGTGTTTAATAGTTTATATTAAAATACAAATAGGAAATCATTTTTGTTTTGAAACTGGTGTGTTTCCAATCTTTGTATATCTGAAAACACAAAATTATGACTCCGGCTATTACATTAGAATACATTTCTTTGATTTTACAAATTGATTATTTATAATTTATTGTTCGGATATTTTCTGTTAAAACAAGATTAACTGTATTTTTGGATTGTACACATAATCACTAAAAATGTAATAAGTCTTATGCTTTTACATACAATTAAAATCTATCTTTCACACTGTGAGTGAAAACACGCCCTAACTTATCCTTAACTTGATACATTTTTTTTTTGTTATGTTTGAATTTGAACCAACAATGCAAACTATGACGTTTTTGCAATACTTTCTCTACTTACTTGAGTTTATATTCTTCACTAAAGTATTGCAAAAATCAAAATCAGTAAATGTATAAAATTTAATTATAGATTACTTTTAATGCCTCCTTTGAGAAACAACATTAAACTTTTTCAGTTAAAACAATGGAAAACTAGTTTTATTATTTTTCACAAAATTAAGAGTAAAAGACAAATATTTTAATATTAAACAAGTAATAAATATTCTATAATATTTATATAATATATTCATAAAAAATATAATAGATTTCTCTAAAAATCGTTAAAAAGCTATTATATTTTATCAAATTGAGTGATAAAATAATAAATACCTATCTAGTTTATTATATTCGAAACTTAATTTTTGAATTGTGATTTAATTTTTTCAATAAGATATTTTTGATTAATTATTCAAACTTATTTTGAAGAGTTAAATTTACAATGTAGAGGCTGAGTCCTATCAAGTACCACCCTCCCTCCCTCATTAAATGTTCCAAAGAACCACATCCTTAATTGGAACTATGCGTTTCCAATTGCAAAACAATGCACTAGCTAGCCTTCAACTACGTATCTTCTTTTACTTGACCTTGATGTATTTCACGGCTTGTTTTTTTTATATAAAATAAGCGGAAAAAAAAGTACCGAAACAAATGTATAAAACACGAATAACAATTGATATAATAAATAACGTTAACAATTAAAACTCCTATTAAAATATAATCCCAGAAGCGTTAAACCAAGTCAGTTACAATTGTTATAAAAATTACTAACATATTTAGATACAAATTTAGAATTAAGTAGGTATGTAATTTTTTTCATTCGCCGGACATTGTCAAGACTAATTATATTGTTAAATCTAAAAAAAGTACGTAGTAATCGAGAAGCATATTTAATTTATAATCAAGTCTCACCCAAAATAAATTAATACATTTATTTTGCATTACAAACATATTAATGGTATTAACTTGTATCTAGGACTCATATACTCGTATCTTCTTTTTAAGCATGATTATGGTAATTAAATTATAATTTGATTATGGTATTAAATAGGTTAATAAAAATGAAATTGCTGCTATTATATGTTAAAACAATTCAATCTAAATGTGTGTTTTAATTTTGTGTCACTTTTAGTTCATAATTAAAAGTTTTTTTATAATAATATATGCTATAATATAATAATAATATAAGAAATGTAAATATAAAATGTTTAGTTTTTATATTTACAGCCCAAAATATAATAAATCAATTATGGAAATTTGCGGTGTAATCGATATAAAAGTACCGTCCAAAGGAAGAAAATTCGGTTCGTGGAAGGTACGTTTGTATTCAATTATATTGCTTATGTATTTATGTATATGTATTTGACATCGCACTGATAACAATAATAATTTCTTCTAACTTAATGATTTTCTTTAAGTTCAATTCGAATTAGTCCAGTATGTTTTCCCAATGGAAAAATCTTAGTGGTTATTCATTTTTTTGCTCTATTATAATTTTATAGTAGGTATAGTAGGTAAAAACTACATATGTATGTATTAGTTTAAGGTAAAATTTGAATATTAAAAAAATTTGCATATATGAAACCACCTCTACAAAAACAAGTCATATAAGACATATCGGCATTAATTTATCACTGCGTTAGTTATACTCATCTGAAACCGCATGACAGTGTAAATTAAACAATGTAACTAGAAAGAGCTAAATATAATTAAATGTATACCAGCTGCTATACCTGTATACTATGTATGCTGTATATACATTACTTTTTTAAAAATTTACATGAGCTTTAATTATAAAACGCAACTATCAGATTTTCACTCCTGATTCTTTAAAATGTCCATACAAATTTATTTCTTAAAATTGCTATTTTATAATTTTACAAAAATTAAAAATGCAAAAGTTAATTTTCTAAACCGATTAAGGGATATTATGTGTAGTGCCGGATCAAGGAAAAAATTGACGCTCGGGTAAACAAAACTGCCCTTATGTAGGTGAAAGTATGGGGTATGCATGATGCCAACACAAAACAAAATGTTTAAATACAAATAAAAAAGTATACTTTTATATAAAATTGTATTTCTGAAAAATTATAAATTTAAAAATAATTTTTTTTAGCGTTTTATGCGATAAAATTGATTATGTCTCCATAATTTATTTGCCTTAAAATTTTATTTTCTATGAATGCAATAGAGAAGTTGATAAGTTTTGTTTTCTCAGTAGTAGATCGTAGGTATGTTTTTATCAATTTTAGTTTACTAAATCTTCGTTCACACAAAGCCTAAGTAATTGGCATTATAAGAAATATTTGGTAAACAACTAAAATATTTGAATATACATATTGAAGTTTATTTTTATAAATAAAAAAGCTTCTTTAAACTTTTATAATGTTGTAATCATAATTTTAAAGCTTTTCAATTATGAAATTAATTCAAATTTGTTGAGATCATTTTTATATTTATTGTATAAATCGACTAAATAAATCTATCTTTTCAAGTTTTCCACAGACAATAAACTATTATTGGATATAGCTACCTAATAAAACCATAATAAAAAGCGCGTTATTACCATAGCTGCAACTAGGGGGAGGCTTAAGGGATATTAGATTCCTAAATATTTAATATTACTCTTACTAAGCTATTACTACTAGCCATCTATTATTAAAAATAATGAATCTCAGAATTTTTTGTTTGAGATTGATATCAAATCTAACCATAGACGTCTATAATCTTTTAACACAAAAAAATATTAAGTCGTTACTCCGTATATTATGGTTTTGTTTTACTTAGGAATATTGAAAATCAAAATTTGGTTCACAAAATGGCGTTTTTTCATCTTCTTACTAATATTTGAACTGAATACTGAATAGTAAGTAGCGACAAATTGTGTCTGTAAGTAAATTATTAAATGGAGCGGAGTGTAACCTTTGTGGGTCTGTGTTATTTTAGTACTCATAACCCCTCCATAAAATTTGAACTCTAAATACGCCTATGGTTACTTTATACTAATTACTTGTTGAAAAAGTTGTATCTAGAAATTTAAATAATTTAAATAAAAATTAATTAAAATTTAAATAAAAATATCTAGAAACGGTCAATGATTAATTGGAACTGAAGTCATTTTTGACTGAAAACATTTATGTTGGTATTAAAATTTAATAATTATTTTAAACATTTGTAAAACATAAAAGAAATTTTGGGGGAGGGGTCCAGATACCCTGGACTCCGTCTAGTTACGACATAGAGGCATGTTGACATCGGCGTTCAACGTGTTAAGTAATTAGTTACTGTGGAATACCTGTTATATATATTTTTTTAAATTTGTTATAATTTATACATATTTTATGTTCATGACTTTTTCATTTTTCATTAACTTTAAGAGCGCCCTTATTACAACAGCGTCTAGGACAAACACACCCAATTTCCCGTTCCTAGATCCGACACTGATTATGTGTTTCATGTAATCTTTTACTATAAAATTAAACTGAAACAAAGAAAAAAAAATTGAAAAATGAAATAAGATTTACAGAGACATTAATATATAAAAAATACACTAGCATACTAGATAACCATGAATATACAATATGGTATTTAATTTTAATTAATATTTTTATGAACATAATATTAAGGCATGGAAAAGCCAATGGTGCGAAGTTCTCAATAAAGAAAATAGCATGATCATCAACATAGGACCTAGTAAGGGAAACATCATATCCTGTTTAGCAGTACCCAATAATGCAATAATTTACCGAATTAAATCCAGGTAATTATACTCGTAAAATATTTAAATAATACATACCAACTATTGCCACGCTGTAATTTTAAGATAAACTACTTGAAAATCAATAAGAAATCTTTTTTAAAGTACTAAAAATCAGTTTTGAAGTCATGAATGAAATCCAAAACGTAAAACATTTGGAACTGACCTCGGTACATGTGATTATTTAAATTAGTTCAACCATAACCTAGGTAATTTAATAATAAACAATTGAGACTCCACGGTTAGGTGTGATACAGGGAGGAATGAACTATTTCAAGTTCCTATAATCAGCACACATTTTATCAAAATGTTTGCAAACTATGAAATTTTCATAAAATGGGTTTATAATAAATTCTTAGTAAACTTTTCTAGTCGCTATAATTAATATCAAAATAATACCTAATATTGTATAATCAAAATATCATTTTCTAATGTTCATAATACTTTTTTGCGATTTTCCGGTAAATATACTGATTTTTTGTGATGTATATTTTTTTATTTATATAATCTTTTGAAAAATTTGTACATATACAATAGAATACAATAGAATTGAATGTGAAAATACTACGACGGTCCCGAGTTCAAGAGTCGATATCGTTAAATGTTGTTTTTTATTTTCGTTTTTCTCAATTACTCATATTATCATATTATAAGCTCTGAAATCAGTAAATTAAATATGTTCAGCAGTATCGTAAGATATATCAGTGAAATTATTTCATAAATAATTAGGTAGCTTATGGCTCACATACAGTGGCAGATAGGCCCACCGGGAATTCGGGATTTTCCCGGTAGGCCCCACCCCATATTTATATATAGGGGCCCTTAGCTCTTTCACCGAGTTCTGTACTTAATTGAAGATATATTTGTAAATTTTAATTACTATCAAGATTTATTTATTTTTATTATAATATAAATTTTCAACATTAAACACTCTAAATAACTAATACTAATTAACTAGTAATTACAAGTACTATGAGCAATTTGTAAATTATTATACAGTGAGTTCCGCTTAATGTGATCACTTTGATGCAGGTCATTTTGATTCTATTAACCGGTTGAATCTAAAAAAAATTTAAAATCTATGTTTTCTAAATTTTGTAAATTCGGATGTGCTGTACAGTTATCAAGAAGTAGTAAAATACGTCTTGCTTTTTTATTTCTCTGTTCCATTTTCGTAAAAATTCGGTAAAAATTAGACTAGTCATCCAAGCGTTTGAATTAGCGTAATAATCGACGGGCAATGTTTTAACGCCTCGAAAACAGCGTGGATTTTTACTTTTACCAACAATTAAAGGACGTCTTTTATCCGTACCTGACATGTTGCAAACCAGCAGAATCGTAAGTCTTTGCATTTGTTTTTTACATCTATTAACCGTAGTCCCTTTAAAATCAAAAGTAGAATCTGGTAGAGCTCGATAATACAAACCAGTTTCGTCTGAATTATATACGTCATCAGGTGCATAATTAGACGATGCAATACAATTCTTTAAGTAATCTTCTGCAGCTTGAAAATCTGCATCTTTTTTTTCTCCACATGTTTTTTTAAAAACAATATTGTTTCTGTTTTTCCAACGAGTCAATTACCCGATAGTTGGACTAAAATTGTCTACACCTAATTGCAAAGCTAAATTTATAGATTTTTCTTGTAAAATAGAATTACTCACCGGTACATTTAAATTTCTAGCTTGCTGAAACCATCGTAATAAAGATTCTTCTACATCAACATTTTATCCATTTCGTTTTCGTTTTCGAGAAAGAGGCAAATTTTGTTCTTCATGTTCAACAATTTCCTTACGATTTTTTAAAATTTTGTTTAACGTTGGTTGAGGAATTTTCAGAGCTAATGCGGCTTCTCTTTGAGAACATTTATCCAATTTATCAAAACGAACGAGTATAACTTTTTTTTCTTTTATAGTTAAATCATTTCGTTTGGTCGACATTTCAAAAAATACGTCTGATCATGAACAATAAACCGAATAAACTAAATGACACAAGTACACGACGCCGCGACGTACAAAGATAATTAATTGACATAATGTACAACGATATACAATAATACTGATAAATTCAAAAATAAAATGGTTTTTATAAATTAATCAGTTTGAGATACCATAAAAACGATAAGATTGTTCATAAAAGTGATTCAATTATCCAGTACTTAGTGATTCTAATAAAAGGTCGATTTAATATTAGTAGCATACAATTTGGTTTGGGATTTTCATTTTTGATTCTAATAAACGATTGATTCTATAAGCCAGTGATCACATTAAGTGGAACTCACTGTATATATTATATTGTAATATAATAATATGTTGCGAGCGGCTTATTTTTTATGGGCCCTAGCCTATTTAGGCCCTTCCAATTCCTTCCCGGTAAAAAAAATGTATGCCTATCCGCCACTGCTCACATAAGTATAAACTATAATAATAATACTATACAGATCTAAATCCATAATTTATAAACAAAATCCGTAAATTGTTTGGATTTCAAGTCTTAAACTTATGAATGATGTCATTAGGCCATTTAGATTTGAGTATTATTAGTACATAGCTTGATATTTTCACTAGGACTAAAGCTTACGGGTTTGGAATATTTTACGCGGGAGAAAAAGAACAACAACCTTATATTTTTCTTGCTGGAAAATCGGAAACAGAATCGCAAAAATGGATGCAATCTATCAGAGATGTTTTAAAATCACCAAAATATCCAAGTAAGTGGAGTATGAATAAATAATTTTATTTTTTTTTACATTATTGTTTTCATTTGATATCCCATGATAGTTTTTCTAGCCAATTGATCGAAAAATTATAGTTTTTAACATAGATTTAAAAGAAATCATGGTGTACATACCACTTTCAAACAATTGTAAGCGAAAATAAGTGTTCATATTGAATATCATATATTATCATAACTCATATGTATCATGTAGTAAAATAATTATCTAAGATAATTATTAATACATCTGCAGTATAATCACACAATAAGAAGCACTTATATTTTTTTATTTTTTCTAAATATTCTTATCATGCTTAGCGAAATGAAAACATCAATCCTATTAATAAACTTTAAATACCTTATACTAAAACAATTGGCTATACCATATCTTCAAATGTCTTTAATACGAGTATAGTATTGACGTATTATTGTCTTATGATTACTGTGTTTTACGTATTTTTATTTTTGTCAAAAACCAAGGTCGATGAAATTTAAATTCTCATGGGTTTTTTAAATATGCTGAAACCATATTTGTCTATTATATAATTTAAATATATTTACTTAAATTTACATAATATTTAATCTGATTTATTTAATAATTACTTGTTAGTCATTATAATTCATTAAAGATATCGTCTAAAAGTAAATACAATAAAATACTTTAAAAATACAATAAATAAATACCGTGTAGACAATAAATACCGCTCGTTCGGTAATTACCGGTCACTCGATAACAATCGCTCGCTCGGTATATACTGCCCACTCGGTAAATGCCATTCAAACAATAAATAACTCTAATACCGTTTTTAAGCAACAAATTGATAGGATATAGTTGAGATTTGAGAGCATATATAATTTTATTATTATTTATGCTCCCAAGAATAGGAGCCTCCATTATGTGTCTAATTGTGTCTTCAGTCATTTATCTTATGATAAATAGATAATAATATAATTTAAGATGAGCTGGTGGAGTTTGGTGTCCCACTCTTATTGTTTGTAGTAGTTTTTTCATTCCTTATCACCAGAATTATTTCAAATAAAATATATTGACTTTTAAAGAGTGCAACCCACAAAAAAGTATGCATATCATTTTATGTTTCCCAAAAATATATTTAAGATAATATGGGTTAAAAGTAAAAAGTGTTACATAAATTATAAACAATAAAAACAGTCCAAACTCAAAATTCGTAATTTCATTATATTAATAGTTTTTCAAAAACAAAAATTGCCTATATATTAGATATAATACAAGTTAAAAATTAAAATGTAAATTATATTAAAATTCCTTTATTTTTTTTTTATTTTTTTTTTTTTGTATTACTTTCTACAAGCAGTTAAATAAAAATTAAGGAAATTGTAATTTGATCGGTTAAATGTAGGAACAGTACTACAGTTTATACGACTGATTAGTAATAACTAGAGCGCGGATTTGTATGCACTTAAAAGTATCTAAGTATGCCATATAATATGCAGTAAAAATCATGAAAATATGCAAAAAATATGCAGTCAAAATCATGAAAATATGTAAAAAAATATACAGTTAAAATTATGAAAATATGCAAAAAATATGCAAGAATTTTTTATTTATTTAAAATGTATAATTCAACTTATAATAATTAATTACTTAAATACTTAAAACAAAAAAATTTAGGGAATTTTCTGAGCTTAATTTATTTTTAAAATTTTATTTATTACTAAAATGAATAATCATATGTATTTCAAGTTTATCTTTTGTGAAGCTGTGTCGTTTATCAGTTAACATATTTTTAAAGACTGTAAACGAATATTCGATGTCAACCGAAGTTATTGGGGCATATTTGAAGCAAGTGGTATGTTGATAACCGACTGACACAGCAAGAGCGATTAAGTTTACGTCGTAATCGATTATTTATTTTATAACTCAATATATATATATAATATATATATTGTATATATATTATATAATATATAATATATATATTATACATATATAAATTATTATTTCGTGACTATGAAATTTAGTTTTAATTTTTCTACTTAACAAAATATTATTTTATATATTTTTTTTTAAATTTTCACTTAAATATGCAATTAATTTTGAATTTTGCCAAACTATGCAAAAATATGGAATAACCTCTAAACATGCAGAAATATGCAAAAAAAATTTCACCATTAGCTTCAAATTATGATGATTCGTGGAGATAACTGACAAAAATCCAAAAATATTGAAAGGAAAAAAATATGCAAATGCATAGAAATCCGCGCTCTAGTAATAACTAATACGGAATTTAAGTATACCTATCAGTTAGTAATATTAACCTTATTATCAAAATTATAATATTATTATAATTAAATTAAAATTAAAATTAAATATAATATAATTAAAATTATAATGTTATATGTAAAATATCGATTGCAATTCAATTTTCTCAATGAAAAGTTGCATACAGAAATGGAACTAGAAATTTTTACGCCCGGGAAAAATGTTAAAATTACGTCCTACCATAGACCAATGATCAAATACTCTTCTCGAGAATTTTTTTCAAACAATCTTACTTTTTGAGTTTTAACTTACTATCGGTATTTAACAAAGTTAAAAATATCAAATCAGTTATTAATAATTAAAAAAATTACACCTTTTAAAATTGTACGCCTGGGGGTGAATCCCCATCTTCCACCCCCAAGTTCCGTCCCTGGTTGCATCATCTGGTTTGTTAAATTAAATTTTGTTGCTTGCCTCTTGAACAAACACGTGTTCATTAAAACAAAAATTAAGATCAAATGTAAACAACGAGTTCACATAAACTAGAAATTATTTTTAAGAAAACCTATAAATTACAGTAAATATATTACAGAAGCAACAAACGAGTATACTGTATCAGTAATCGACAACGAGCATTCCAAAAGGGCTGGTCTAACCGGCCTTTACGGTACCTTATCAGTGAAGGCTGATGAAATACTGGTCACAGATCCTCATACCGGCAAGACTAAAGTAACACTTCATTGGACACAAATACAATGTAGTTATCTGCCTCTACCGGCCGTATCGGACGATTTACACAAAGTGTGTACAATACGTACAAACAGGTAGGTAACACAATAACACATCCATACAATATAAGATGTCTAGTGCCATTTTATTATTTCAGACTGTACAATAGTATTTGAAAATATTAGTTAACATAAGGTAATGACGAAATAAATCTACCTTGTCATGAGCAATGATTGTTATAACATGTTATGACGTTAACTGATGCATCAGTATTATAGTTACGTTAATCCAATGAATCAAAACAATAATTGTTTTACTATAACGCTGATATAGATGAGAAATGAATAAGTTATTATATTATATAAACAGTTTTATACAATATAAAAGGGTCAAATGATGATGAACACTTAAACAAAAATATACATTGTAAATCATTTTGAAAAATGCTCTACGATAAAAATAAATGTCTATTTACTTAAATGTATAAATTTACAAGCCTGTAGAAAAAAGAACTTTTTGACAACATTTGATAGTATACATGAATAAAAAGAATATCAAACCTGCAGTAATCAATTATTTTTATGAATATCAAAATTAAAAAAAATACATAAATCGACCTATGGGTGACTAATATTTAGTAGTGAATGTAGAAAATCGTCGAGTTTAATAATCAAATGTGTACACAAAATCATAATCATTTATTTGTTATAAAATTTATATTTTTCCCTGATCTAATGGTTGATGAAAATGTGTCAGTGAGATATTTAAAATGAACCATGAAAATGAATTCCTTTCCGATAGTTTAAGTTACTTACGATATCCTTTTAATGCTTTATTAATAGGTAAATACAGCCATAATACTGGTTAGAATTTCTATAAATAATATTTTATTCTATTGCCGTACACCACAACAAAAATTTATATAATGAGGTTAATGAGGTTAGTTGATGATTTCTTGCGATCATTATCGAGCACATTTGTAAAGTGAAAAACTTCACTTTACATCAACTGTACATACATACTATATAACTCATATTATGTGTTAATTTACTTATAACATCGTTTGCATTTAAATCTTCTATTTATTTCAAAATAGTTAACATTTTTCATTTTTCTTTAACAGTTTTAGATTTAAAAATACAGTTAATTAAGATGTACACAGCGTTTTAGTATTTACCTATCGTATATTATAATCCACTATTAAGGTATGTCAGTAAAAAGTAAACAATAGTATTGACCTATAACACATTAATATTTTTATAAATGAGAACAGAGTGGCTAATGTTTAATGTTGTTAGTGTAATAAAACACAATAATAAGCAATGTTGATGTTTTTGTTAATATATTTGATATATATAAATTAGGTGTATAATTTACTACTTTTTGTAACCAAGTATCAATTCTGAGACGGTAATTAGCAATTTGGTGTGTCATTGAAGACAAATGCATACTCTTAAGAACATTTGTACGAAAATAGATATTCTATACACCAAGGTTAAATTATTCACGTTTTGGAAAAATAACCGAACTAACACGTCACAGGAAATAATTTTTTAATTTAAATAATTAAAAATATAATAACTACTTACCGGATACAATAGTTTTTTTTTGATCGTCATCGTTTTATTAAAAAAATTTAAACCACTCTTTTTATTTAAATTTGTATGCACTGATATACAGTATATAAATAAATTGGAAAGTCAGTAGTTATTACTCCTAATATAATGCAGATATTGAAGTTCCGCTTTTTTAACATAATATGTAACTTATAACCTATCTTTTACCATGGTTAAAAAAAACTAAAATTCAAAACCGCCAAAAAATATTTTTGATTTTGAAAAATTTCGAAAGTAGCCACTTTGTAGAATTACTTATAAATTACTTAGAGAAAAAAAAAATTTGAAATTGGTTGAATTTTAAATGAATGACAGCTCAAAACCAATCAGCAAAAAACAAAAATATTACAAAAAGTATTGAGTTATGTGTACTTCTTTACCTAATATCATATTATTAGTAATCTATTTAAAAGTTTAAAAACCATACAATTTTAAAATTTTCTGTATTTTTTGAAAATATAAAATGATCTCATTCATTCAAAATTCAACCGATTTCAAAATTGTTTTTCTTTGAGTAACTTAAAAGTAATTCTACAAAATAGCTAATTTCGAAATTTTTCAAAAAAAATTATTGGCGGTTTTGAATTTTGGATTTTTTTAACCGTGGTAAAAGATGGGCTATAAGTCATATATTATGTTAAAAAAAAATCAGAACTTCAATATCTGCATAATATTAGGAGTAATATAACTACTGACTTTCCAATTAATTTATCTACTGTATATTTGAAATTAACATTTACAGTCTACGTTACCGTATAACACGAAATTACATATAGATTATTAACCATTCGCAATGTACTTTAAATATCTGGATTAAACTGTGTACCGAGTCTTAGTTCTACTTAGTATTTGTGTCTTAAAATTTAATTTTTACAGCAAATTTAGAGCGGGCGATGGCGACCTGGAACTATTTTGCTGCCAAGCTGATGAACTGCATAAAGAAATGTTATCATGTCCGCGACCATTGCCCAGGATAGCTACTACTCCATTACCGCCTACGCCGAAAGACAAACAAATGTTAAATGATTGGTCGGATTCGCCATCAATGACGCCGCCTCGTTGTTTATTCGAATCCAGACGAATGAGTAGAAGTGAAGGCGATCTAAAAAAATTCGTTATGCAACAGCAACAACCTTTACTACGATCGGCTGGCTCGCAGCAGCACCTGATTCTATTGCCTCAGAACAATTTAACGCAAAAAGTAAGTTTCCAATGTATAGTTTGATCATGATAAGCGAATAGGAGAGACATTTTTATTTATTATTTACATACAATGACAAATGTTTAGTGAAGCAAGGATAATAACATAATATGTATAATATATAATAGTTATAATAATAATAATATATAATATATTATAACGTATTATATATTGACGGTTTTATTTCTATAAACACTTAATTTATGGGGTACGGTCTATCCAGTTAAACTTACATTTTAAAACTATTTAAATAAATACGATTAAATTAATATAGAGTCAATATTCTGAATGGGTATTATTAATGCATCTTTAACAATTTTTTTTCGATTTATATCGATTCAGTATTTATTTTAAGTATACAAACACACACACATTTAAGGGATGAGACAAGAAAAAATGATTAGTATTAATAAATAAGGTAAACTTACATAATTTACATGGACAGTGGAGTATCTTGGGCTTATTAATGGTGGGTGTAGTTGTATAAATTTACGTAAAACAAATGTTTAATAATAAAAATATGGGGAAGGATTAAAATATCAAATCCATCACTGGCTACGCCACTGTAAATTAATAACAATTAACGAGCTATATTAGCGTGCGTATAGTTTTCTATAAACGATTGGCATACTTTTTAGAGTTCGTCGCACTATTTGCTGACCAGCGTGGGATTGCTATTGACCACTCCTGGATATAGTGAACCCAATTCAATGCAAGACCTACGGCTAATCGACCAAAATTTGTTGAGTAAACGTTTACAAAACATCGCTAACGAAGAACATAGGAACATCGAAGAAAAAAGTGAGAACGAGGATTACGAAGAGATGTTACGAACGAACGAAGAACAGACCAACGATACACCCCCACCTCTACCACCGAGGCAATTAAAGTAAATCATAAACATTTCAATCCTGTTGAAATTTAATCTGTGATCAATTTAATTTACAATCACTTTGTTCTTTAAACCCTAGGTATGTTTCTATGGCCAATTTAGGAGGAAATAACAAATTGTACATATCTGGACCAGTGCCCATATAAAAATATTGTCGTTACATGTTAAATGTGATTCATTTTATCGACAAAAATTATCCTAAGTAGATGAAAAAAATTATTTCAGATGAAGAATAAAATTGTTTCAATTTTAATACTAACACATTACATTTATTCAAGATAGATATATACTACTCGTATATATGCAATACCAACACAAATACAATAATATGTAATGTGCCAATACACAATTTTGTTATTAAAACAACTGTGCCAAAACAATATTTGATATAATTTGTAACCACCACGATCTATACTTTTACACATTTAAATATTATATATGTACATAAATGAGAAGGAAGGTAGTAAGGTCAACTACTTGTATCTTTAAATAAGAGGTGTCATTTGTGAGATATGACATGCATGTGTATTTGCATTACACTTAATTTCATCTAGTTTTCCCTGAAACGTAATTTTACATTTAATCATTTACTACCTAACCAAAATAAAGTTTCTTTATTACCAACTACATCTTATAAGTCTTAAGTTTATCTTACATCTCGTGGAAAAATGACGCTCCTGTTTTGAATTCCTAATCAAAATAATTATTTCTTGATTACAATATCATTAGTGTACTAATTACACGTCTATCATACATGTAAATATTTGTAGACACATGCATATAAACAACACCTAAATACAGTGGCGCACGCAGGAGGGGGGGATAAGAGGTTGTGAACCCCCCCCCCGAAATTTTCTCCGATGTTTAGGTTAAAATTTACAAACTTTACAAGTTTGAAATATGAAAAACTAGTATTGAATATCAAGTATCACTGATTATAGAATAGTCTATTCCAGGGGTCTTCAAACTTTTTTATTGAAGGGCCACAAAAAATATCAAATGCTCTTAGCAGGCCAAAAGTTTATTAACACATATAATTTTTAATTTTATGAAAATATAGGTATACAAATATAAGTTAACTTTAAATATTTTATAAAATATTGTCTACAATGTACTTAAATATAATTGGTATAAATTTAAATGATAATAATATATACATTGTAATTTTAATAATTTTTTTTTTTTTAATGAGAATTATGAAATTGATGTTTTTCTGCTAATATTCGATCGAATTGAGGTTGTATGTTGCTAGTTCCAATTTTCAAAATTGACTCCAAGTGTTTGTCAGTCATGGCCGATCTATATTTTGATTTGATGTATTTCATTTTAGAAAAAGTTTGTTCGCACAAATGAGTCATAGCAAATACAGATATATATTCAATTGCAATTTTTTTTAAATTTGAATACTGTATATCTGGGAGAAATTTATAAAAATCAACTAAAGTCTCTCACGATGTTTGATTTTCAGTGCATCATTATTTTATAAATCAATAATTTCCATTTGAAGGGTAGGAGGTAACTTCTCAATATCACAACTAAACGGGTTTTGAAAAATATTTATTTCTTCCGATTTTACGTCGTCAGAAAAACGTTGTTTAAATTGGATTTTAAGTTCAGAAATTATTTTTTGAGCGAAATCGACTGGGAATTGTGTTTTTGATTCTTTGTTATATTTATCACAAATAGAAAAATGAATAAAACAATTTTTTGAAATTTGCGTTTCAAATAAAATAAGTTTTTGCTTAAATGCTTTTACTAATGTGTAAACATCGCAAATTAGAACATCTTTACCTTGTAATTTTAGGTTGAAGTCGTTCATATATTTTGTGATATCCACTAAAAAAGTTAATTTCTAAACCCATTCACTATCACTAAGGGTAATGGTCGATTCTTATCAATTAGAAATATTTCAATTTCATTTCTTAGTTCAAAAAATCGCGATAGGACTTTTCCGCGACTAAGCCATCGAACTGTTGTAAAATACGGTATATCTGGGTACTCTGTTTCTATTTCTTTCAAAAAACCTTGAAACTGACGATGCCTAAGTGCGCTCGAGCGAATAAAATTTACTGTTGATATTATAGGATCCATAACACAAGACAAGTCTAAAGTTTTTCCGCATAATGCTTGCTGATGTATAATACAATGCAAAGTCATTGGTTTAAAACCTTCTTTTCACAATTCGTAAATATCTGTCCAATTAAACCTTTTTTTGTTCCACACATATTTTTTCCGCCATCAGTAGTGATACATTTCAAATTTTCCCACTTCAAATTATATTCTAAAAATGATTTTTCGATAACTTAAGTTAGATTTAAATTTAAATATGTTGATACCTGTCGTAGTTCCATGCATGCTATGTATAGAAAGTAGTTAATTTGAAATTTCTAAATCTTTATTAACACCTCGAATAAATAAAAGTAACTGTGACGTATCAGATACATCTGTTGATTCGTCAAGTGCTATACTAAACGAAATGAATTCTTGAGTCTTATTACTAACCTGAGAATTTAAATTATTACTAATATCGTCAATTCTACGGGTAACTGTGTTAGCAGAAAGGCTAATATTTTTAAAAGTATCAATTCTTTCTGGAAAAATTTCTTCAACTGCTTAAATTATACATTCTTTTATTAAACTACCATCAGAAAACGCTTTTTCTCTTTTTGCCAATAGATGTGAAATACGAAAACTAGTTTTTGTAGCTTCATTAATATTTTTTTGTTTTTTAAATTATAATTGTTGTGATGAAAAATTATTTTGAAGTGACTGCAATTTATCTAACCGTAATTTCTCAGTAAATTTTGAAAAAGTTGTCTTATGTTTCGTTTCATGCCTTCAAATATTGTACTCCTTAAGTACAGAAATACTTTCTTTGCATATTAAACAAATTATTTTGTCACCTGAATACAGTGCCGTATTTAGGAATTTTGCTAGGGAGGGGGATGACATATATATAATAATACATCCTAACACCCATAAATTCGTAAATAATAAACATTTTTAAAATCCCCTAACTTGTTACCTATTGAGGTTAGTGTGGATCAAGGCAAAATAAGAATTAATCTTTATAATTACCTCATCATTTTCCAAACAAATTTTTTTATTTGTACTAAAATAAGAAAATAAAGTTTTTTTTTGTTTTTGAGTATTACTCATATTGTCTTAAAACTTCACAGTTACAACTTACAAGACGCAAAAAATAAACTCGAACAATAGTCAATTCGGCAGTAAGTCAGTACTCGGAATGGCGCGGCGTCGCTATCCGTCAACGTCCAACGACCGTACATATCTACTTTTAACGAATCACGATATCATACGATAAAATATATATATATATATATATAGCTATACATTAGCCATAAATCTACTAGTAACAAATTTTCTAAAAATAAACCCGCCCGGCCGCCCTATGGTTAATCCACGGTCTTCATGATCATTTTGTTTTGTTTACCGATTGCTTATCGGGTTTATTATAAACACTCTTGCATGAAAAATAATTCGCAGAAACGTACAAAATACAGTACACCATAATATAGGTATAGTTTTTGTTGCCTGATAGTCGTACATGCCGCCAACGATAAACGATTAGTGGCGATTAGTATATCAGACTATCAGAGCGGTACAATTACCACGACTAGAACATTTAGAAAACAGAAAACATACATGCTTGAAAGTAATATCATATTAAGAATATTAGAGAAGAATATTAGAGAAAATGAGACAACTTATAGCTACCTAGGAAAAAAAAAAGGTCAAGGGGGGGATCTATCCCCCATATCCCCTCCTCCGTAAATACGCCACTGCCTGAATAAATTACGAAATAATCCAACGACCACTTTTCATTGAAAATACGACATTCTGAATTTATTTTTCTTTTCAACCCTCTTCCTGACATGTCGAATTGGTGAATTAATAGGTAAAGAATAATATTTATTAATAAAGGCACTGCAAACTTAGACATGTAACTGTACAAACGTTATGCAATTATTTCGTCGTACCGCTCGTCTATGTGACTAATCTCTCCGTTATCGACGTTAAAACTAAAAATATAAAAGGAAATTGCAATGTCTGTCGTCATAAATTATGATACGTGCCCGCGATAATGACTTTTTAAATTACACATATATTTAGATATCTATATTTTATTTACCGTCTTATGGGTGCTGCGGGTCGTAGTTTGGAGAACCCTGGTCTATTCTATTATCAATGCTATTATTTAAGTCAAAATATATTAAGGATTTGCATAATTTTGTTAATTGTAAAATGTGTTATATTTTTACCTTGACCCCCCCCTCCCCCCGTAAAAAAATCCTGTGTGCGCCACTGCCTAAATATTTATTATTATATGAACGTAGTATATAAATAATACAAATATCATATTAACGACAATTTTTTTATTTTTAACATAAATTATAATTTAAGAAATCTACTTGTCTAATATAAGATCAGTTATTCATTCGGTTTTATAAAATACAACGTGTTGTTGTATTTTTTTTAATTTTTTTTTATTTAGATCTAGTAATAATTAACATTAGATAATATTGGTAATTATGATTAAAAATAATATAAATATTTCAAAATAAAAACGCATTCCTTTCAATTATGTTCAACATACTTAGGTTTTACATTCAGCTCGCGTGATGGCTACGCCATTATACTAACACCTATCATCGAATGTATTATTAGTCTAGAACAGTGGCGGCTCGTGTTATAGAGCACAGGAGCACGCGCACCACCTATATTTTATATGAATATGAAATATTGCTCTACAGCATGTAGAGTGAATGAATAATTTATAAAAATTTTATTCGTGTATACACTGTATTACGAAATATGTAATACTTGTTTTCAGTAAGTAAAATTAGGTCCTTCTTTGCTATAATGATACAAGTCAGATTGCCGACTGATGTTTTAGTTGGTGGGAGGTGGTAAGACACCCTGCCCAAAATCCCCCTTCGGGACGGCACTGGTTGGCGCACACGCACTGACGACTTAAGATCAAGAGTCCCTCACGCACACACTAGTAGCCTATGCAGGGCCGTTCTTAGGGGGAGAGAGCAGGTCCCAGGCCCTAGGCCTCGCGCTTTTTGCTTAAATTTGGGGCCCATGTTTGAATAAAAAGTAGTAATTTTTTTTTTTTAAATTGTTTTACTTTCATAGTATTTAAATTGTATGTTTTACATAATCAGTAAATATAAAAATTATATAAAAATAACAAAGTTATAGTTTTAGCTATAGAAATTATAAAAAGATATATTTATCAGATATTGATTATTTAATGTTGACTTACCATATAAATTTTGTTTCTAGTCAAAAATTCTAGACGTGAATATTTCCTTCAATAAATCTTATACATTATTTCAGCCATAAGGCGACAAAAAATAGGCAAATAATATAATCTCTTTTATTTTTTATTATCATACAACAAACGGTTATTATGAACCCTTAAAACAAATCCACAATTTTCTATACACAAAAAAAAAACATCTGAATGTAAATAAATATTTCTTACATAAAAAATCAACTACAAAGAAAAAAAAATAGTAATAAAGATTATACAATATATTAATAGTTTTAATGCATTTACATAATAATACATTAATATTTAATAAATATTGATATTATAAGTATAGACGGATGTCAAATTGACTTTGTTGTTATATAATAATAATAATTGTTTTTAATTTAATATAGAATATTAGAATGAAGTATAAAGTGAATATAATGTATTAACATAATTTATTTTATCAAGAGAAACAATTGTAGACATATAATAGATCAGGAGATGGAATGATATCTAAAATTATAGACTTTTGGAATAATTCTGATATGCCAAAAACGAGATTCTTTTTTATTCATCGAAGATCAGTTATACGTTTAATCAAGAACTAAGGAATGTATTGGTAAAATATATACTTGCTTGGAATGAAAAAAATATACATAACTCAAGTTCTAATTCTCTCTACAAGAATTGATGGAGTTTATTTATTAGGTATAAACAACAGTCGAACACTTTTGTCAATCAACAAATACATGAAATAAGAAGAAAAAAACCACTTAATTAGTGATTTGAACGTTTTTAATATTTATACTTGATGATAAAATAGATATTGAAACACAAAACAACTATTAGATTAATAATGTTAACATGAAATTCAGATTTTGGGGTTAATAATGTTTAGATTCGTCCAAATTTAATAACTATTTAAATATTTAAATTATGAATATATTAGAACTTTCTATAAAATAAATTGTTTAGATATTATAAAAAAAAAAAAAAAATCATGAAAATTAACTACTGATAGAAAAATAATATTTGTATTACTATTAATTGGTTTTAGGTGCTGATCTATCATTGACCGTAATAGTTCTTCTCAACACCATACCTTTCCTAATCTGTTCCATCAATGAATCATGGCATGTGGCTGGATCAACTACAGAATGTCTGGATGGAGCAATCCAACGTCTGGTAGATTTTGGAGATTCACTAGTTGTTCTAGGCTGCTGCTGTAATAGCCTAGAACCCAATGCAGCTATAAACCCAGTGACTGGCTCAGATGAACGACTATTACAGCGATCAGCACTAGTAGAACGATTACTAGGTGTTCGGCGTAACAAAATTGGACTTGCAGGTGTGTGATTGAGCTGTGTTAGATTACGAACCGTTTCAGCCACATTACCACCAGATGATTTTCGTTGATGTGTCAATGGTTCAGCATACACTTTTTCTGAACTTAAAGAAATTTGTGAACGATTTTGTTGGTGTTGTTCAGTAGCTATATCTAACAAAAAGGGTGGTGGAGGAGGTAGATTATGTACTGAATTGTTGAGGATGGATGGTGTACGTCGTATTGGTGGAGGTGGCTTGTTATTTTGAATTGAAGAACGACGACAAAGAGTACCACTTTTGAGACTGGAATAACCTACAGTTTAAAAAAATATTAATCAAATGTTTTCAATTTAAAATAATTAACTACAAAAAAAAAAACCTAATATATATGAAATAAAATAAATTGTTTAAAACTGAATTATAATAAAAAAATTGACAAAAATATTTATAAAGAAAGTAATTAAATTAATTATTAAAATAAACATAATAATATTAATATTTATGATAAAATAAACTATATAACTATAATAAATTACTTTAAACCTATTTTAACTGAACTTAATAATAATAAAGTGTTTTGAAGTAATATTATTATAATTAAACTTATAAAATACCCAAACCAATATAATTCATCTTTAGTATAATGATTTGTTAAATATTTGGAAATGAGTTAAACATACAAATTACATATCCAAATTATACAAACAAATTACATAAGTACAATACAATATAATATAATATATACTCACCAGGGGCGTATTTAATTTTTTTAATTTATAGTAAGGGGCTGGGGAATTTTCTTTAAACAAAATTTTACAATTCAACTAATTAAAAACAAAAATTAGAATTTTAGTAAAAATTTTTAATTATTTACAAAATCAATGAAATAAAATACCTTCAAAATAATAGAAAATTAACACAATAATAATGAAACAATTTATATAATTTATATTTAATTTAAACGTTATGACCAAAATTATCAGATATATAAATAAGTACACTACATAGCAAGAACAATTTGAAACTAATTATTCATAAAACAATGATAATATGAGCATCAAAAATTTAAATTTTATAGGGTAAAAGTAAACTTAAAATTTCCTCCTCCCTGAAATTTTAAGAAGGGGATGGGTGAAACCCTCTCAGCCTCCCCCCATAAATATGCCCCTGATATTCACCATTTATAAGATCAATGATGAATATTATATAACACAAAATTAATACTTTGAGTCTTAAGACCAATACAAATTATAGTATTAAAATTACATACCCAATGTAGATGCAGGCCTTATGCGTTCTTTGATGGAACTACTATTTCGATTATTCAATGTGCAGTACTTCAAAAGTGTATTTTCCACTTCTATGTAGTAACAAGAAAAACACACACAAGCATGCAGAAAAAAATTAGATGAAATAAAGAACATAAAAATTGCATGTGATTGTGAAGCAATAGTATTTATTACAGATATAGTGGTAATCCAAGATATGAGCACTTTAACTTTGCACAAAAAGTGAAAATATTTCATTCTACTCTTACATAATATAAGTACATCCAAATAAAATAAATATCTCTATAATATATTTTTATTATTTTTTTTTTTAATAGCATCATCAAAAGAATATATTGTATTCTTCTTAAATCGGTTACATACTACGTATTTTAAATACTAGCATATGCGTTTTAAAGACACAGCATTTAAACGCTGAAAATTAAGACTATAGTTCACATACAGGTGTACATACTATAGCGCAATAGCACAAATTTAGCAGTATTTAGTATGTTACCATCTAAAACACCTAGTGTACAACCAGATTTATAGTGAATAACCTAACAATGTAACTACAATGCTATAACCTACAATATTGAATTATGATTATTTGTTTTTTTTTTTAAGCTACTCAGAACTTTTTTTTAACATTAAATTTAATTTAAAATTATATGATGTAAATATGAAATGATATATAATGTTATGAATTTAATTTTATATGAGAATAATTTATCAATTATCATAAAGAGTGAAATATTTTCATCATAAACACCCTAGTAAAGATGAAATGTTATACATATTCATAGAAAAACAACATACGTTTTCTATATACTAGTTCTAACTTAACACAAATATTTTACAATTTTTATTTCTATATGAAATCAGTAATTGAACAAGTATATTCACCTTCATCGGGAGCTGCAGTTGATAATGCAGTTTGGCTACTATAACCACTTGAAGATTCTAGAGAACTTTCACTGGTACTCTCCTTTCTATCACCATCAATCTATGTAGAAAAATAGATACAAAAATAATTGTATTGGAGTATAATTATATATTACATATATTAAAAATTAAACTTAATTGAAACGTAATTTTTTTTTTTCTAAAATATCAACCATATACTGAATAAATTTATATAATGTAAAATATTAATTTTATTTTTTATTTATCTAAGATTTAGCAACTTTGGCCATTGACTGACATCAATGATGATGGGTTTGTAGAAGAGAAATATAAATGCTGGTTTTTGGAATATGTTTTTAAGGGAATAGATTTTTTTTGCTAAAACCCTATACGGTCAATCATCAAGTAATTAGTAAAGTTGAGAAATATTATTAACACAGAACTTATAAAGACTTTGACTAACCAATGCGCTACACTATACTCCTTTAAAATAATATGACAATGGTGATGAATTATGATTATTTAAATATTCATTAACATTAATTTAGTATGTATAGACTTAAAATTGTACAATAAGTAAGTATTTTTTAGATAATGAAAAATTGATATTAAATTAATACTTAGGTAACTTCAATAGATTCGTAAATGAATATTTTGTTTTGAACTATTTGTATCATTATTGTGTAAATTCTGAATTTTATTAAATGTCACCATATAAAACATTAAATAGGAATACCGTGGCCAAATGGTATAATGAGGTGGCAGTCACTTAATATACAGTTGCCATTTGAAATCAAATTGCCAATAATGGTTGTGCTTTTCAGGTGGTGTGATTGCCTTAAGAGAGATAACTAGCACTATCCCTTTCACCCAATGAATAGTATACATTACAAGCCGATCCAAAAAACCCATAAATAAAAATCATGCCATCTATCGTATCAAAAATATATATGAAAGATTATTAATTTTAGCCTTCCATAAAAAAAAAACTTACTTTCAAATTCGAATTTGATGAAGATTCACTGTGTTGTGCATTTCTTTCTTGAGCTTTGTTGGCAGCCATACTAGCCAATTCATGCATATTGACATATGTGGGCTGAATATATTCTAAAAAATAGATTACAAATATTATAAGTATAAATTAAATAGTAACAAACATTTGTATGTGAGTCAAACTAACAAATAATCATTAGTTGCTGTTTCAAAAATAAAATATAAAGTAAAAACAGTTAATATACTACAAAATACATAGTAATATCATTACGGTCCCTATTTTATTCCATATTATATTTAAAATTTAAATTTAATTTAAAAAGGTTTGATTAATTTTCCATTATAAGATACTTTTAAATCTTTTAATAATTGAAAAACTATAAAATGAAACCATTTAAAAATAAACTATTAATATTGTAAAACCATATTTTATTATTGTTTAATAATATAAGACTTTCTGACTAATGATATTACCAAAGTTAAGTCCTTTTATTATAATATAATATGGATAGATTAGTCTGTTTTTAGAGAGAAAATGTAATAAATTAAATACAACTAAAGTTATAATTTTCTTTTTGCTATTAAATCCAATATTAGGTCTTTCAATTTTATTTTAATAATATCCTACTTCAAAAGGAATAATAGCCATCATTAAGATCTGAAAATGACAATAGCAAACTTCCTAAAAATGTAAATCATGTTTTTCTTCATTAGAAGTAAAATGTAAATACAATTTTTAAATAGTCTGTTGATCCTAGCCAACTAATTATGTAGTTATTTAACATATACCTGCATAAATATTTTACACTCCACTTAAAAACTAATAAATATAATTTATTTATACTTTAACTATTAAATAAATACAATTGTGAACTTGTTCAATATATAAACCATACAAATTTGTTAAAGGATTGTTAAAAAATAGATAGTTGTAAAAAATAAACTTGCATAAAATTAACTGTAAAACAAATTTCCTATTGATAAAATATAAATTTATACATTCTATAACTTATGCGTAGTACACACATGAAATAGCTTTCAAAATATTAAAATAATCATAACATTAAAAAATATAAATCTATAACTTATGAAATAGTCAATAGTTATACATGCCAAGAAATTTAAGATAGTTATTGAAAGTTAGTTTAACTTTTTTTTTTCTTGAACACTTTTAGAGGTTTAATAATATAATTGTTTTTCAGAAATTTCATATCTGTCAATAAATTATAAAATACTATCAATAAAATGTTAAATAATTTTTTAATAATTTTCTAGGAAAAAAAAAATGAATGTATAAATAACTAAAACCCATTAATAAAGTAAAGAAATATATTTTTACAAACCAATTGTTTTTAATGAAGTTGGTTTATAACTCTTATGCATATCTCTGGATGGAACATCGGGTACACGAGCATAATCATCTTGTGGTGAAACAACAGGAGTTTTATCAACAGAAGAATCAGGTTGAAATGTATATGCACTTAGTGCTGGCCGTTGATAATGGGCACCACCTGATATTGTATGTGGCCTTGCATCATTCATAATAGCTGATGCGGCACGTTCAAATTGCAATGTTTCCTGAGCATTTGGCCATGTACCACATCCTCCCTCAGAACTAGCAAATGGTGTAGATGGTGTACTACTTTCCGCACTGCTACTATTGGAATCAGAAGAGTTAGGCGCCTAAAAAATGTTTATACATAAGTATATATTTATCGCGAATTATAATGAGTAAGTAAAAAATGCAGATCTGGTGTAAAAATACAAAAAATATCTAACAAAAGATTCAAATTCATACATCATTTGTTTTTTCATTCAGGCACTTACCATCTTATATGATTGTTGTTTTGTATATAATGCATCTTGGGATGTAAAACCTGAATCATGGGATGAAGCACTGCATAATCTACTAGGAGGTAAAGGTCCTTTACAACGCAGTTCATTTGATACTGGCTAAATTACCATAAACATATATAAAAATCATGCATGTAATAAAAAACTACATATAATAAAAAATTCTAAAAACTTAAAAAAGTGTTGGGTGTTGGATATTTTTAATAATAACTACTTATACAATATTAAAAGCAAAAATAAAAAATGCGCCATAAATATGAATCAAAACATTTTTCTGTATTAATTTTATATCAAACACAACTTATGTTAAAAATTGCTTACAATTGTTAAAAATGTAAATACAATTATTAAACCAATTTGAACCTTAATATTAAATTTTATATCAAGAATAATGGTGATAACGTATTTTTAACAACTAATGCTGAATCAAGGATAATGATTTTTTTCATAATATGTGATAATGGTATTCTTAATAATAATTAGTTATTGAAGTCATAAAAATATCATTAACAAATGAAATTGATATAAGTATCAAATAACAATAATAATGCGCATATTTATTTATTTTTAATGAGTTCCTTTAATTAATCCCTAACACTCATATGCATTAATTAAAAATAAATCACTGTTATTTTTATTTAAAATTGATATTATTAATTTCATAAACTATGTTATGTCCTGAAGCAATAACAGATCAAAAATACCTAATTAAACACAGTGCATTTTAATTAAAAATAATAACAATGATAATGATAGTAACACAAGAAGAAAAGACACAAACTTTTTTTTTGCAAATCAATGTTTGTCTCTGAAGTTAATACCTGAAGCAATGAGCGGCTCCAGTATTGATGACTTGGTGAATGTGTGCTGCCACTAGACCAGCTGTTTATTGAGTTGATAGAACACATACTAGACTTACGTGAACCCAACGAACTGGGACTGCCTGGAGGTGTTTGATGTGTCCATGACATATCACTACCTTTATAGTCTACCAACACCTAATAAACATTAGTCAAATAATAGGCAGGGGATTAATTTTATAAAAAGTTTAAAAAATAAAAATAAATATTTAATGAAATTAAAAAGTTTTAAGTATTTTATTATAAAAAAAGGTTATGTCAAGTATATAAAAAAATGTCATATAATAATGAATGATAAATTAACTGACAAGTAATGTTTTGTTTGATTTTGTTAATTTTAATGCACAGCATATTAATTGAACTAAATGTTCAACATAATTGCATGAATGATAAAATAAGTGATTAATTTATAAAACAATTCTTAGTGCATATTATAGAGATTAATATCACAGGATAAATTCAAGTTTAATCTTCAATAAAACTTTATATTTAATGTTACATCAATCATCTCATTTTTAACTAAACAAGATGTTACGTAAAATATACATAAAAAATTATTATTAAATGATAAATTTTATCATAAAATAAAAATATGTAAGGATATTTAAATTTATAAAATGCAACTGGAATATTTAACCAATATTTAGGATGGTTTGAATAAAACCTTACAACTAATAAATTTATTATTATTTATATATTATTATTATAAATATATTATTATTATTTATTAAATATAAATATATATATATATTCATTTTTAAATTTTTTTCTACATTGCACAAAGTTCAATTTTCAATTCATTTTTTTAAAAATATACTGAGAAAAATTTGTTTTTTTTAGCAAACTATATAAAAATATAAGAGCTTTTCTCGTCTCCTAAAACATAATTTTAAAAAACCCATCATTTTTGTACTAAAAAACTAATATCTTCTTAGTTCAGTGTTAATTCAATAATGAAATAAAAATAAAAATTGAATAATTTACAACTGTGTTTAATGTATATAAATTATAGAATTGAATTCTAAAAACAAAAAAATACATCAAAATGTCAAACTAAAAATGAGATAATACACTTAATGTGGAATAGTTTTATTTATTATTAGATTAAAAAAAAAAAAAAACGTTAAATTACACATACATTGAAAAAATAATAAGAATATTTTTAAAATACTTTAATTTTACCTGTTCACTAGCAGGTGGTAATGAATATGGTTCAGCAGTGTGCACTTCTAATTTATCCATAACTTCTTGTAAATGGGACAATTCCATTAGCATGGCCACTTCTTCTTCCTAAGAATACAATTAATATAATATATTATAAATAAATACAATTTTTCAACAAAGTAAAATAAATAATATTTAACTTACAAGTACTGGTTTTAAAAAAGTAACAAAAATACAATAACGACTTCGTTCTTCAATCAACGCTTCGCGCACAGCTCTCTTTTCTGTTTCTTCCAGAACAGCTTTTCTGTCCGAAACGTCTTGCAATGCTTTATGTAATTCATTCATTTTTGAACCTTTTCGTGCTTTCTTTTGCAAACGCAATGTATCCGTAGACCGTTTTTTTAATTCAGCCCTTGCTTTTTTATATTCTAAATAATCAAGATTAATAAGTTAGTTGCAATAATGACTATTTAAATTCATTTAATAAGAAATTAAATATGTGTATTATTATATGTGTGTGCAAAGAATTGATCGGAAGACTATAGTAGATTATAGTATGAAAAATAACTTTTTAAAAAAGTTAGTTAAAAGTCAGTTATTTGAATACTTTTTTACAATAAAAATAATAATACATTTATTTTTATACAAAACCCTTTATACACTTACTATAGTGTAATGTATTACTAATGTAATGCAATTACTATAATGTAACAAAAATATATTACGGGTGTTTAATAAATACAAATCAAATATCATACTACTTAAGTGAATAATAAGTAGTAATACTGATGAAAATTCTGGCAGTATTTAATAAATAATGCTTAAAAAAATAATATCAATAAAATCTTATTTGTTGAGGGTTTAGAAATATACGAGTATCTTAACATTTAACGATATGTTGCTAACTTGTTCATCTTATCAGATTAATAAAGAAGAATTGTACTTCATTCGAAAAAAATATCTAGGTTTTATATATATATATATATATATATATATATATATAAAATTATATATGCATTAAAATACATAAATGAGTATAATTTTCAGGTCAATAATTCATAATATTTTTAAAAAATATTACAATTTACTTAAACATGTAAACCTAACCTAATCAATAATTTTATTTAAATTACTAAGAGAAATCAAAAAATGGTCATCAGAGAGAATTCTATATGTATATAGGTATACAATACTAGTAATAGTATATAATTTAGCAAACCATGACATTTCCATTGTTTGTCTATATGAGTGCCAGTGTCGTTGGTTTGAATTGTTTTTATGCTATGAACAAAAGTGAGTGGGCACAGCACATGAAATATACACGCGTCGAAAAAAAAACCCATCAGATTTGTGGCCTGACACAACATCAGAAATAATAATAGTAATAAGAAAAAGCAAATTTTTCATTTATGTCCTAGATATTATATTTAGAACAAGACAGATGATAATGCGGAACTCCTCAAAAACCTAGTTATCATTCAACCACAAATACTTTAAAATTTAGTTTAATATTTTTAATGCGTAATTATTTAATCAAAAAATTAATAGGATTTAATATTTATTTGAATGATAAAATAAATGTTAAGTAGTCAAATCCTTGTATAAACCAAGATAGTATATTACACAACCAACAAATTTGTTATGTTTTATTTTACAATTTACTAATAAAAAGTAAATATATTGAATAATAATTGTTCATTAATTCAATATTATTAGAATCTTATCGACATAAGAAAAATATATCGTAGAATTGATTAAATTAGTGTATGATGTATATTTTCATCATAACACAAACTTTAATATTTTAAATACATAAATTCATAAATTTTGTGTAAGCAAATAAGTAAATAAGGAGTTAAGTATATAATTGGTAATAATTTTATTGCGATTGGTATTGTAAATATTAAAAATTTATAAATGATAAAATGTATATGATTATAAAAACCCATTAATTTTTACTTAAAATTAATACAGTAAAACTTGTCTAAGACAGAATCTCAGTGAACTAAAGAAAATTATTCTGATTATACAAGTTTCTACTATAATATCTATTATAGGGTCAAGTGAAGTCGGTTTCTATAGAACTCAGAGTCCCACCTAAGATAAGGTTTACTGTATACCAAAATATTAATATTAAATAAAAAGTATATATAATATAAGTATTTTGAAAAATCTATTAAATCCTAACATAATTTGTGTCTTTATGAGTATTATTTACTACAGGAACATTAAAGACCAAACGCTACATCAATAATTATGAATAGGTAAAATATATTATTAAAAAATTGAGTTGATAACGAATATGAAGATTACGCGACTCAGGTGACCTGATTACTCGAGAAACAATAAATGAGAAATAGAGCAGTGTGCAATAGTAATTACATAATTTTATAAATACATTATTTTCGTTTTATTTATGTTTTCATAATTCTTACATAATTTTTCCAAACATAATTTTAAATCTTAGAATTGAAATTGATTTGTTCTTAGACCACTGTCTTATTTCTTAAAATAAAAATAATGACATTCTGGTTTATTACATATTTGAAAATAAAAATATTTTAGTATGTACTTAATTAATTAAATAATTTTTAATTAATTCTCTAATATTCTTTTCTAGCAAAAATAAATTTTCCAATGACCTTTGATTTGATTTTTCGCAATCAAACATATAGTTTTTTACAATTAGACAAAATTTAACAAATGATTAATCAGATATTTTCAAATCCATGAATAAGTAATTTTCACCATGAACATTTCTTTTTTAGCAAAAAGTTATGCAATATTTATTGCCTAAATATTAAGTCTGCTACTTTCCTTTTCCTTAATATTTATTTCATTGTTACCAATTCCCTCTCCTATAAATAGTATTTTAAATCTGATAAAGATAAACTCATATACTTATAAAGTTATCCATATTCATTCTCCATTTTAAATTCTTAGTTCTTTCCTAGATCCAGTCTCAATAATCAATTTCTATGGATTCCTGACTCTCTATTTGAGTTAATGTCTCTACTAGTGTATGTATACTAGTACTATGAATTTAGTACAATGGGTTTGAATTAATTATTTAAATAAATATTTTAATATTTATATTTATGTTAATAAATTAAATTATGCATAATTTATTTACAATTAGATTAATTTTAATTAATATATAATTTAATTTTTCGTCAAATATATTTTGTTTTGGGTGTAAGTATTTTAACGTTTAAGGGATTACGATATATTTGCTTTCTTTTTTAGACGTATTCGTGTAAAACAATTATATAAAAATAGGTAGTCAGGTAATTTACTTTATTGAGGATAGAAAGCCAAATAAATAATATTATCATTCAGTTTCAACAAGAAAAAAATCGATAAACTTCCTATTTAACAGTGTGAAATTTTATCTAGACATGTGGTAATACATAAACTCTAAACGGAAAACAAGGTTGCCACCATGGCTTCGTATAGCCGACCGGTACAGTACGCCTACAACAAGCGTCTCGCCGACGCACAGATGTCGGTAGACAACTATGCTACCAACGTACACGCATTTATATGCAGGATCGACTAAAATTCATGTGAGCAGTGTTTTTGTACAAGTATACTTTTTTAATATGTTTATAATATGAGTAAATCTTATTGACCTCTCGTTCATACGTCCTCAGTATAATGTTTTAATAATAACTGAGGAGAACATGTCCAATTAGAGTACAGGTAGAACTAATGATAATTTCATACTTAAGGAGAAAGTAATTTATTTAATTTTTAGTTATCTTCATGGTCGATCATCGTATTTTTAGATACAAAATGCAATGAGAACAATCGATCTGAACACTCTAAACATCGGCAAAAATGAATGCGGATTACGAAATGACGTAATATTTTATATTCATAAGCATTATAATATATTCATAATCTATGCAGAAAATAATAGAATAAGCACATTTAATCATGTTTGTTGTTCATATATAGAATTATCATGGAGGAAAACGAACGATTAAATTAACACATTTATTTGGTATGATAAAAAAAAAATTATAATAAGTTTGTTGCAAAATCTAAGTAATAAATATAAAATAATTTCAATTAACTGACAGTCAGCAATATAAAAATGATAATAATATAAAAAATATAGTGTAAAATTGATACTAAGAATAATTCAGTGGTAGACTTCAGATTCTTTTAATCAATTTATGTAGTAGTGAAATAAAGTAAATTATATTAAATGTTTCAATGATCAAAATTATATTTTAGATTTTTAAAGTACATACATAATACAGAAGCTGATTAGTTAATTTTCGTTCAACTGTTGCACATATTGAAAAATAAATAATTATATATGAACGTAAGGGCTATGGCCCTTACCTAAATAAAGAAAATTCATTATTGCTCTCTGGGACAGACATGATCTGAATAAAACAAAAAATATTAAAAACTATTCATACTAATTTATCATTTTATGTCTAGTAGCATATCTAAAAAATTACATAACATAGCAACATAGCACAATTTTTAAATATCATTGTAGATATTTTTCATTTTTACTCAGAAATTTTAATTGGACAGTAAAATTTTTTATGTATGGACCAAGTCAGTTTGTAAAAAAAAAATTCGCTATTATTATACGTAAAGTTATGAGTATATAAAATTGTATAAAAAAAATTAATGTATAGTTAGTGGATAAATTATCTATACAAGGAGAATAATACAGATGTTAATTTAATAATAATAAATAATTTTAACCCCTATGGATTTTTAATTGCCGAGATTTAATTGTATTGATTAGCTACACCTACTCGGGCTCAGAATTTAAACTATTACAATTTATAATGGTTTGTTTTAGGAGAGAAATCAAAAGATTATATAAGTACATTTAATCGAATATATTTATCAATAATACAGAAAACTTATGATAGTTATTATTATTGATTATTAAAATGAAAGAAAATGTGCCAAGAGAATTAGTTAACTAATATATTTCACTATCTTAAATAAATAAATACTATTCCAAAAAAATTTAAAACTGAATAAATTAAATTGTATTAATAGGAATAATTTATATAAACGGAATATAGGATCAGTCAGTTGTTCATTGTTATGAGAAAAAAACAATTTACCAGTCGCCTTTAATTTTTATAAAACGAAAATATAAAATACTTAGCATACTTTACCTTAGTCATAAATTAGTCTGTATATGTATGCAAATTAAATTAAATAAACTATATAAATTTATCTTCAAAATAATTTACATGTTATTTACACTTTTTAGAAGCAAATAGATTAACAATTTAGTTTTTTTTAACTTATATAGGATGTCTCAAAAATAACGCATGATTTAAATCTGCTATAAATTAAATTTATTTCTTTTAAAAAATCATAACTAATATATCATTCTTTTCAGCAGAAGTTAAGGTTTAAAAGTGAAAAACAATATCGGGCATATGACCTCTCCCCCTTTACTAGCTCTATAGGTGATTATTCTTTCCGTAAATTTTATCATCACTCGATCACATTGCCCCATCAAGTTCGTTGAGGACACAACGAATTTCTTACTAAGTTCCAAGACATTTCGAACTTTATTTTGGTAAACTCGTAACTTAGTGTATCTCCTTAAAAAACAATCTCTTTGCAGCGTAAGAAGTTCCAAGACAGATTAATCTTGTTGGGTGGAGACCAAAGCTACCCACCTCGATCTTGCGACTTGACACCGTATTTTTTTCCTATAGGGATACACTAAGTCACATGTTTACCATAATAAAATTCTAAACGTCTTGGAATTTAAGCAAGAAATTCGTCGTGTCCTCAATGAACTTGATGGGGCAATGTGTGATCGAGTGATGATCAATTTTATGAAAAGATTAATCACCTGTAGTGCTAGGAGGGAGGATCATATTCCCGATATCGTTTTCACTGTTAAATCTTAACTTCTGAAGAGAAAGACATATTTATTATGTTTTTTTAAGATAAGTATATTTAATTTATAGCAGATTTAAATCCTGCGTTATTTTCGAGACATTCTATAAATACGGTTTTTAAATCACAATTATTATCATTCCAAACAATATTTTGAGTAACTGATTAGCTATAAGTAGGGCTCGGATTTCAATGCATTTGCATCTTTTTTTTGGGATGTCTTACGCGATGCTTTCCAAACTACAAATTTATTTCAGGTACTCCGTGTTCTACCCACAAACATTTTTTGGGACATTTTTTGCATTTTTTTTGCATTATTAGCGGATTTTATACTTTTTAAAGCATTTTTTGACGTTTTTAATGTATTTTTTTTATATTTTAGGACATTTTTTACCTATTTCTCGTATTATGACTAACTTCAATTGATATTGAGAGATGATTTTCAGTATATAAAAACTTTTTGGCAGATAATCGTCGATCATTCAAATTCCAAAACTTAAAAAAAATACTAATCGTACAATGCAATTCAAATATGTAATTTAATTTTTAATTCAATTTTTTATTTTAATTTTTTTTATTTTTTGTAGTGTAATGAAAATATAATTTCATTTTTTACTCATTTTTTAATATTAATTTGAATTTATTTAATAAATTATTCATTTTTTGATATTTTTAGGGCATTTTTTAAAGTTTTTAGGTCATAAATGCATTTTTTGAAAAGGCATTTTTTCGATATTTTTAGGGCATTTAAATCCGAGCCCTAGCTATAAGTTTTAGTTTTATTAATGGAAAAAATCAATAAAATCAGAAAATATACATAAATATATTATAAATCGAAAAGTGTAAATAAAAAAAATAAAATAATTTTTAGATAACTTTATGTAATATATAAATAATATAATAAATAATAAATAAAAAATAAATAAATTTCTCTAAAACAAGTGCTTTAAATCAACGAGAATGAAAAATATGAATAACGAATTTATTTCGACATTTTCTTTTGTTTGACATAAATTTTCGTCTGGATGTTATACCATGTTTGAAAAAATGTTGTAGTATTATTAACGCATTTTCTTTTTAATGGGTAGAAAATAAACTAAAAACTTTCATGTGATGACAAAATTTAAACTTATGTACACATGGTGAAGTGAACACACACACACATATATATAATTGCAACCCGACTTTTTTTTTTTTTTTATTATTATAGAGGAATAATAAAAATAAGTTATAAAGAAATTGTGCCCAAGATTTTTCCATGTAAAATAAGGTAATTGGATCCATGATTTGTCGTTATACAATAATGTCTTATAAATATGTATTATTTTACCAATTGATGAATTACATTGATGCGATAAGAATAAGTCTCAACTTCAGATCGACTTTTTAACATTTTTATTTTTTCTTACCTTGAGATCAACAACAATTGAGGAACACAATAAGTAAAGTAGCCAAAATGTTATATACAATAACAATACAAGAATTATTATAGATAAATTATGTTTGTAGTTATCCTCTAATCGATTATGAGATAACAGAGAAATTAGATTTTATACATACCAAACAATATTAATAATACATTATTAAATCATTTACAAGTAATAATGTATTATTAAGTATTATATATTATCCATTAGGACGTACGTACATGAGAAATTAAAAAAAAAAAAAGTAATAGAAATACTAAATTAATAATTATTCAATTAAAATAATCTATTTCACTACTCATATTTTAACGCGTATATTTGGCGTATGTCTATTTGCAATTTAAAGTTGCATACAAAATAATAATGCGCACATTATTATATGTGATATTAATGCACATAAATTTCATAACTGACCATAAGCATAACATTCAAACAATTATTATACTGATATATTAACTCATTAAAATATAAAATTAATTAAAACAAAACCAGTATATTTGATATACATAGATGACATTTTACACAGCTCATTCAACATCAATAATTTTTGCTTTATACTTTTTTTTATTTAATATACCTACTAATTAATTATTAATGCGACTATTTATTAATCACGCCATGACTTAAAAATCTAAATCAAACATTTTCTTTCCATAGTTTTCATAGGTACAGATGAAATAAATTTTATCATTTTTTCTTTTATTTTGAACATATTTTTAGCGTGTGTATACTTAATAAGTTCTATAAAGTCTAGATTTTAAAATGTCATCATATATTTAAATGGAGAAATAGCATTGGGTTTATTTACCTTTGGCATGCTCTTTGTCCAAATTGACAATAGTCTTCTTCCAATCTTCTAGTTTCTCTTGAAGCGGAACCACCAGACAGTCCATTATTGCACTGCAAATTTAACAAAAATCAAGTTAGTTCCGGTTACGCTCAACTCCTGTCATATGAAACACACATTCCATGTAAGTAGTGAGATAAGATTCTTGGTAGATTATATTATACTGTTATGTAAATTTAAATTGAACTTTATTTTTATGATAAAAATGCAAAACGTTTAAGTTTAATATAATTATATTTTGCTAATATTAATTATGTTAATCAATAAAGAAAAAAACAAACATAATATGTACAATTTATAATATGACAAAAAAAAAAATTTAAAACTTACACCTACTCACGCTTACTTTGAATAATTCGTTCAATTGAGATTACAATTCTAACAAATTTATAATCGAAATGTTATACGAATAACGAATATAAATACATTATTGTAGTAAATTTTTAAATATTTTGAAATGAATATTATACTAATAACTAGGGAACGGATTTCTATGCATTTTGCAAATTTTTTTGGTTAGTCCAAAAGATTGCTAAGTGAGATAGAAATCCGTTTCACATACTGGAGATTAAAAATGCACTACTTTTATTTTGCATATTTGGGCATTTTTATTAATAAATGCATATTTTAATATTTTAATATATATTAATCATATTATTGCAAATAAAACAATTATTTTTTTTTTTTGCTAAAATTGCTAATATTTTATTACCTTCATTGATTATCGTATTTTAAACGTTTCTTATACCGCCGCCTTATACCGATTTTTCGTTTACACAGCTAATATCTACCATTAAGTTATACGCACGCACGTGTTCTGTATACACACGACTCATCTACACAAGAATGACGTTTCGATAAAGTATTGAATGGTTAATTAAATTAATTTAATGAATCCCTGGTTTTCCTTTATCACGCCGCCGCCGCCGCCGTTCCAATTTATCTGGCAACGACTATACACCTCTAAATGTTTTTGATGAAGTAGTATTCACTAGTGTGAAGTGAAAACCGTCAACAAGTGTAATATTTAAAAAGTGTAAATTAAAAGTATATATTTTAACTCTTAATTAATTTCTTTTTTTACCTTCATATATTTCTGTACTAATGTATTAAATAAATAATAAAAAAGATAAATATATAAATTGTAAAGCATATTTGTATTATAAATGCATATTTTTAAGAGCATATTTCAAGGTTTTTTAGAGCATATAAATTCAGGGGCGGCCTGGGTAGGCACTAGCCCAGTGGGCAAATTTTAGAAAGTGGCCTAAGACATAAAAAAATAGCTCTCACTGCATTCGAAAAATGTCCTATACACATTTTTTGTTTTGGGTCATTAGCATATGTCTTCAACTCAGCATTTCTTTTGAGTCGAAGTTTCTCTACTCCTCCCTTAGATTTTTTTTGGTTTGTATTCATTTTCAAAAATGAATAGATTTGTATTTTAAAACTATGATTTTCAAAACTAATAATTACTGTCATAAAAAAAACTACACATTGCACAGAACTACATACTCAACTACACAAGGAAGTGGGGTATTTAGAAATTTTTTTTCGAGGGGAGGGGGGTGTCATACCTAATAGTGAAATCATTTTATAAATTAGTACAAAATGTTCTTTATCAACTTAATGTTAGGTTTTTTTATTAACTGATTGAAATCAAACTATTGACATACTACAACATAGAACACAAGAATTCAGTGGCGTATTTACGGGGGGGGGGGGGTCCAGGGGTACTGGACCCCCAGAACCTCTCCAAAAAATAAAAAATTAACAACAATTCTTACATATTTGCAGAATTGGCTATGTTAAACATTCACAGGGAAGTTAAAATTACTGTTGATGAAGTGATAGAGGAGTTGGCCAAAAAATTGAGACAACTGAAATTTATTTTATAACAATACTTTATAATATATTATGCTAAATACAATATATAGGTACATATATATAATATTACATAAGACTATACGATTACATTATATATTTAGTTCAACTTCCTCCAAAAACTGCACAGGGACGTAACTATACAATATAATATATAGTTTATATTAATTATGTATAAACTGTGGACCCCCCCCAGAAAAAATTGAAAATACGCCACTACAAGAATTCAACATATATTTTTATACATATGCTTAAAGTTATACTTATATTTAATATTTTAACTATATTTTTATAATATCGATAATAATAAAATCGATTCTTGTTATAATTACATTTACAAATTTTAACAACTTGTCATTTATAACGTTATAATCATTATTATAACTTTTCAAGCCCTACCGATTTAATCGAATTAAATCAATGTGTACGTAACAAATAGTTTAAATATAATATTAATACTGAGCACCTTCACTGGCTTCACTTCAATTGATTTAAAATAAGAATCCAATGTTTTTAATTTTTTTTTTTTTACTGGCTCCATTTTAGTACTCTTTCAATACCAACTCAACAATTAAATGAAAATAAATAAATGAAATCAAACTAAATTAAACGTATTAATCGTATTTTAAATTAATTTATGTTGCGCATAGATGCATAGTGTATACTGACAACTGACAAAACGTTATAGGACTAGGATATTCTTATCTACCGATAATTTCCCCGCATCAGATTATTTATATACCATACGTATGTGGTCGATTGTTATTATTATTATCCGATTACAATTTAATTATTAGCAATATTAATATTTTTTATATATATATATTTTCATTATACTTTAATACTTTATTGAATAATCAAACTAAAATTATTATATGACATATCAATATATGTTTAAAATTTGACGTTTTCATCTATTTTTTTTCTGGGGGTGGGGAATTCCCCCGGCACCCCTCCCCATAAATATGCCACTGACACAAGGTAATTATTTAAATCTATAGGTCGATTATTTATTGCTTATTGAAGCACGCATGAGTGTTATAATATTATATAATAAATTCTATAATTATAAATAATTGTATCATATATATATATATATATATATAACTCACTTTCTCCAACATAAGTTTTGCTTAAAGGAGAAAGATAATCGAAAATTTTACTCAATAATAATGTATGTATTTGTGTCTTTTTCGATTAATAAAAAAAAAAAATTATCAAATTACCACATTAGTGGTGTTGCTGACCGTCTTTTAGGGAAACCTGTAATTATTATTTGTAGTTTTTAAAACAGATAGCATGGACTAGCTTCGTATTATCATTGATTATGGATAGTATCCATAATCAATGGTATTACCACGATGTGGTCATAACGGTTTAATTATAAAATGTTATAGGCCGTCCAATGAAGTAAAGGCCCGCGTTATCTAAGTGATATGTACAAAATTTATTGATTTGTAAAAATACATATATTGTCTATCGTCCATAAACCTATGTTCTTGTCTAGTAATTTATCTGTAATCTGTTACTAAATATCGTAGTGTTTAACCATTTTCATAGTATTCAATAACAAAAAATACACAATAAATACAGGGGCACATCCAGAGTCGGGGAACTGTGGGTTAAGCCATTTCAAGAGGCAATTTATTAGGGATGAAACTGAATTAGAAATTAATACCTTGTATAAAAAAAAAAAAAACACTATATGCTCATAAAAGCGTATAAATATATTTATATTACATTTTAGAATTAGTGATACCACTGTTAATGATTTATTTACGATTAATAAATATAATCCAATCTTATCGGCGCAACAAACGTACGGAATAAAATATAATTTACTTAACTTTCTACTAAAACGATATAATTTAAAAAATAAATTATGAATTGAAAAATTTTAAATTTTGAATATACATGCATTCATTTTTCAAGTAACTCCGATGGGCCAACTGTCCAAGAGTCCAAATTAAGGTCTAAAAAGAGAAAAAAATTCCCAAGAGGCCAATTTTGTCAACAAATATTAACTGTGGGTCAGCTGACTCCCTGAACCCCCCCCCCCCCTAGATCCGCCCCTGAATAAATAAACAGACCGGCCCAGTCTGCCCCTGATATTATCTTTTAAATACACGTTTACGGTTTATTAAAAGTTGGAAAACATTGGAAACAACTCCTATCCAGTTTATGACAATCGTTATTACGCGAATCTTATAAACTTTATTTTAGGTTTATTATATATTTTTATATATATGATCTTTATAAAACAATTTTCGTGATATCGATACCATAAAAATTGAGATCATAATCAATAAAAAACCGTTAAAATCGTTCCTATTCACCCCAAACTACGGTACATTGTATTTGAGATACAATTTTATGTTTTTATAAATAAGTTCTGTAAAGTATTAAATATACAAATATAAAATTATAAGTATTTATTTAATTAGATTTATATTATTATTCCATTAAACCTATTAATAGGTAACTTATAGCCTATAGGATAAGTAAATTAATTAATGTTTTACTATCTTTAATGTTATTATTTAATTGGGTAAAATGAAACGTTTTATGTTTTTTATTTACAACATGACATCAATATTCATTACTAATCCTTGCATGTTTTGTTCCAAAAAAATATTTTATTGATAGTCTATCGTATGGGCGAATTTAAGGGGGGACGAAGGGGCGATCGCCCACCCTCCTGAATCCGTATTTAAGAAATTGATTATATAAAGATACACAATTCAAATTTTTTTTATGTAGATCATTTATAACAAAATCAAATTACGCGTGGCTGTGAATACTGTATTGGGCTTTTTGTCGGGTCCATACTTAGTGAAAAATCAAATAAAATATAAAATAAAAAGTGTAACTTTCAAAACAGAGACAGGTGTTAAAAATGACTACACAAAAGTCGATTCTAATAAGATCCGGCATTAGATTAAAAAAAAAAGAAAAACCACAAATATTAAGGATTCACCTGATTTAAATATTACCAACAATTTTACTTGTAAATTTTGAACCTGAATTAAAGAAAAAAATTTGAGCCCCCCCCCCTAGAAGTAAGTCTAAATACGCCCTTGGTTTATCGTCCACAAATATTAAATATATAGGTAACCATAATTTTTTAAATATTATGAAGTCGGCAAATTTAATCAGTTGCCCCACTCTTTCAAAAGCTGAAATTACGCCCCCGTATAAATCCGTTCCCTACTCATAATTAATAATAAATTATAATTAACAAATGTTTAATTTTTATGTTTAAAATGTAACTTAATACCAGACAATTCAGAGCGTGCATTGTATATTATATAATATATGTTATTTATATATTTTACCTTGAAAATGTTTTCATTCTAGCTTCGACAGCTCTATGACGAAGGCACATTCTGGTCAACGCAGTTCCAATTTCTTTAGTAGCTCCTATAAAAATAAACATTACGTAATTAACAAACTCATAACATAAATCTAAAAACTAAATAAAAAGTAGAAAATTATTTCAACTAAACACCATATTAAATAAAATAAAAAGGTTAATAATTTTAGGGTGGCCTCTTCTTTTTGAAAAATTCTCGATAACACACAATACAGCTAGCACTCACGGCCATCTCATGATCCTAAAAATGGTAGAACTTACTATTGTATACATATTACAGTCAAGCACGTTAGCCGAATGTTTCAAACGACAGAAAGAATAAGAAGAAACATTAATTTCTACCCACCTTAATCAGGTTATAAGTCTAGACTCAATCACAACTTTCCAGATAATTAAAATACATAATGATCAAATTTGTACAAATAAACATAAATCATACCTATTTGTAGATTTAAGTGTAATATTAAATGTAATTGTATTGCTAAGTTTAACGGCTATAGTTATTTTAAATGTATTTATTTAATAAGTATTTAAAAAGTAAACAATTTTGTTTGATTATTTCTATTATTTAGGAAACCTGTAATTACTGAAACTAGTGTTGGATAGTACGATAGGTAGAATACGAAGTGTTTAAATTTGAAAAACATTTTATATAATCTAGTAAATGTTTAAGTAGAAAATATAAAATACATAATATATAATCAATTTGTATTTATTTTCCCCTAGATATTTAGTTGGAATACGAAGTGTTTATATTTGAAAAACGTTTTATATAATCTAGTAAATTTTTAAGTAGAAAATATAAAATACATAATACATAATCAATTTGTATTTATTTTCGTCTAGATATTTAGTTATAATGGTTCTACATACTCTAATTCATAAGACGTAAAAAATGATTTATGCTAAATTATTTTATTTTATTATTTAGAGTTTTATAATACAGTGTTTCTAATAACAATATTATTATATAATTAAATAATATTTTACTAAATTTTGGTCCATAAAAATAGCAAAAAAATTGTTAATCATTAAAATTGTAATACAATTTTTATTTATAATTTATTTTCACATTAACTATTCTTTTATTTAAAATATGATAAAAATTAACTTTTAATGTATCTGCCTATAATAATGAAGAATATATAAAACAATTTAATAACGAAAATTATTTAAGTAAATTATTATTAAAAATAATACTTATAATAAAACATTTAAACAATTCGTATTAAGATCATACACTGAAACATTTAAGAATAAGAAATACGATTATCATTTTTGGGGTACTGTTTGATATATTTTTTCAAAATGAGCATTGTGTACTTGCATAATTATTTGAGGGTCATGTGAACATTTAGTAGTGGGGTGTTCCAGGTCGTAAAATTAATTTGGGAGGGTTAGAATCCCCCGGAAAATATACTGAGAGCCCTCTAATCGAGGGTGACTATCTAGGGCTGAAACGGCTGACTAATCCGAAGAGTTCAAAACATAAAAACTTAAAACCTGATGTTGCTTATGCATAACGATCGTTCAAATGGAAATCCTTTCCGGAAAGGAAACAATGCTATTTAGTGGATAATAAACTATTTTATATGTATTGTACCTACAGCTGATGATTTGCTCTAATGGTTTAATTAAGCTAGAACTATTTTAATTCTCCAATGAATAAGTATCAAAATATTATAATATACTTTTATTTTATTATAAATTATTGAGGCATTTAATATAGTAATTAATTAAGTAAACAAACAGTATTTATCAAACCCGTTCAATATCCACTTACGTTTTAGAAAAATTGTTTATTAATTTGAAATTGTTTCAAAATAATTTTATTTAAATAAAATAAAGAAAATTCGATGGCATTGCACAAGTATATGAATAGGTAATTCATGACGTATATTATTAATTTATAAAAATCCTTTAGAAATATACACATTTTACTGAAGTACGCAAAAAGGGATTGGAAGCTGTTTTCTAGTGTTCCTTTTCAATGTATCGATTCATCTCTTAATATGATAAAAAATATGTAAACTGATTTAAACAAATTATGAAGTCTACCTGGGAATAATTTATTCATACGCTTCATAAATTTTACCCATATAAATCCTACCAAAATCAATTTAAATTTAAAAAATTAACAGCCATTTTTTTAAAACGCATAGTAAAAAATTAATAACGATAATTTTTAGAACTATTGGAAATAAATAAACATCGAAATTCCTATGTTGCGTGTGTGTAGAATGAGATTACCGAACATTTGATAGAACTTATTAATAAATGTAATTATAAACCATTTAGTTGTAATTGATGATTCCAATTTTGTCGAAATACAAGATATATTAAATTTATTAAACTTAAAATGCCATATGATTACACTAATTTGAATCATAGAAGTAAAATTCCAAACAGTACTAAACAATTGCATAAACTAAAATGATACATTTAATGAAAAAATGTCTTTTTTAATACTGAAAATTTTAATTGTAATATCAAAATAATAATTTCTTAGAATTTAAATAAAATAACGGTAATCAAATTATTATTTAGTTTACAAATATCTGAAAAAGCGGAAAATTGTTACATCTAGAACACTAATGAATCACACTATATCATATAATAATCTTATAAGTAAAATACTAATACTATATATAATGCTTCGCACAGAATATGAAATATTTAAAACATAAACTGATTAATAATGGCAATTATCGGAATTTTTAATTTGAAAAAGTTAATATTTTTAAAAATAAATAATGTGTTAAAAGTTTTTAGTTCACAATAAATATGTATTTACATTCAAGGGTTAAGTTATTTCAGGGTTATACAACCACACAATAAAATGACTGTTCATCCTTTGTTCATAATTATTTTACTTTTTTGCACTTTTTTGCATATACAGAAATATATCGATTTTTCTGTTTTAAGGGCTAAAATAGGATGCAGTTATAGTTAAATACAAAGTATACTATGGGTATCTATACAATCTAACTAAATGATAGAATATACATTTTGTATCAGTTAACTTGTAAAACTTATTACATTATGTTATACATTAATTGTAAACATAAATTAAACACTGAAGAATCAAAAAATAAGATAATTTAAACACCGTTAAATATTGTATACTTTACCAGTAATATTTACAGCAATATTTCATCCAGGCAAACATTAATAGTAGAAATAATAGTAAGTAAAAATGTATAATTTGTTTTATTGGATGATAAAATCATTTTTTTATTGACCAGATTTTCTCAGTTTTCTTTTTTTTAATACATAATGTGAAATATATTTTAAAGCAGAAAAAGTTTACTATAATAATTAATACATATAAAATACGTCAATACAGTACGGAAACTGCTGCAATACGCATATAGAATATATAACTATAAAGTATAATACTAAATATTACAAAATTTTTCATCTAGAAAATGTTAGAAATATTCTACCTAAAAATAAAACTGCCAATCAAATTATTATAAATTATTTTCCTAAAAACGATAACCTTTTTACTTATTTCCCCAGGCTACTTTTCTATCATTATTTACTATTTTCATACAATTATTATATGAATATTATTTTAATAATGAATACCCTTATTTTTATCATAATGTATTATATTGATTATATTAAAATACAAATCAGAAAAATCACTAGTTTATTTAATTACGAGTACATATACTTCAAAATATAGGTACTGCTAAAATTAATTTACATTATAATAAAAATACTAAATATAATTCATATAACAGCTAATCGTATTAGGAAAAAATAACATATCTCTACTTTAACCTTAAGTAGTAAAAAATATTTAAATTACTAACAATTTTGCCAAAAATCAAAACGAAATGATGTTAAAAAAAAACTGAAAGCAAAAGGGTGTTTCATCACGTTTTTTTTAAATAATCCATTTTAGCAGATGTAGTATATAGTTATATCAATAAATACATTTTTGTTTAATTGCAAAAAATTCATAGTCTGTATACAAATATTACAATCGTTTTGATTGTAAGATGCTGAAAACTAAAAAACTATCCGAAGGAGCATGCTAAGTCATAATATATTCCTTACAGGCAAAATTATTTTAATTGTTTTATCAATTGATTTTTGTAATATTCCCACATACATCTAAAGTTTTACTAAAAAAAAAAAAACCGAAACCTCACGCAATCAAGTCTTTTCGATTTTTAAGCAATACAAACTTTATAATGTTTCCATAATACTTTTTATTTTCCTTCTAACTTTGATATTGATTTTTATTTTCTTTTAGTAAAATAGAATGAATAGGAAATTAATTAATAATAATTAAAAAGAAAAACTATATTTCATCCCTAGCTAACAGTAATATCAGATTTTATAATATTATATTTTAAAATAAATTAAAAAAATAAAATACCTCTAGCATTGGTAGCAGCATCAGCAATTTTTTGAAAAGCATCAAGATAAATTCCAATGGCATGAATAGTTGCTCTGCAAAATTATATTAATATAAATAATAATTATAAATGAGTAAAAATTGGAAATATATACATTCGTAAGTACAGTAAAATACCCTAAAACTTATAAAATTGTTTGGGTTGAATATAATTCAATTTTAATAATGAATTTCTATAATTCCTCCATAAAGATATGTTCTAAAAGTATAATCCATAATTATTATTTTAAATCTGATCATAATACATTTTAAATTTAAAAACAATAATACAGAACTAAGTATAAACTCTATTAGATATATTAATAAATCAACCAAAAAATTCAAAATCTTATTTATTCTGTACAGGATCAGTACCGAAGCAACCAAATATTTAGCTCCGTGAAAAATTTAAAAATGCGCTCTTATGTATTATTAGTTTAAAAATATTATAATTATTATTTATTATTTTTCAACTATTGTATCAATTAATATAAAGGATTTTGAAGTTTTAGTAAATAAAATACACTACATTGACGTGATGCAATTCTTAATATAAATTGCAAATTTTTAATTTTTGCGTCTTCCCAAGAATTGCACGCGGGACGAAAGCACTTCTTGCCCACCCTCTCTTACTACAGCTCTGTACAGGATATAAAATTAGAATGTATTTTTGGAGATTAATAATTTTATGAATATATACATACACTTGCTAATTTAAAAATAATTACAGGTAAGAAGTTGATGAGAATATGTAATACAAAATAAATATTAATATTAATTTTAGCATAAGCAAATTTGTCCATGTAAATATAAAATATATTTATAACTTTAAAAGAACATAAATTAAAAATAGTTGCATTAAATAACATAATAATATTCAACTATCTGAAAATAAAAAGTCAACGATACTAGGAATAAGAAGAATTATATTATTTTAAACTGCTTTAAGACATTAAATTCTATAATGTACATATAATAAATTATATTATATATATATATATATATATATATATCAATTAATTAATACGTATATATGTAAAATAAATGAAAAAATATGAACTCGCATTTTAGAATTCAACTACATACAAAATCATTTTATTCTACATAACTAAATAAATCATGGTACACTGGTATAAGTCACTAGGAGATCCTAAATTCAGCAAAATCAATGTAAGATATTTAATACAATTATTTTCTTAATGAAAACAAAAATATCTTTGATAAATTGTAATATAAATAAAAATATACCCGTACTATTAAATACTAATGTGAATGTGCAGTGTAGAACACTAAATAAACTAAAATATAGCAATCCAAAATAATAAATGTATTTATAATGTACGGATATAATATATTATTCAATATTTTTTTCGATTGGTCAAATAAATAATAATCATGGATTCTGCCACTAGGTTTAAAATATTCCATTAACTTTTGAATAATAACACTAACCGAAGACAAGTATGAAGTTTTGTAGCTTTTGCCATGAAATCTTCCCATAATGGAGTTCCATTCTGAAAAACAAAATATGATTAATATACATTCTATGATTATAAGTAGAGCCCGGATTTATATACATTTGCATATTTATACTAAGTGTATATGTCTATAGAGGTCTAAAATGTCCACGATTCATATCACACCAAATTTAAACACCAAATATTTATTATATTGCATATTTTGCATACTTCGAGGGTTATTGCATATTTATCCATAAATACATCTAACATGGATATTTAACAGGCTTTTAATAAATGAACTATTTTAATTTACAGTAAATTTGCAATCGCCTCGAATAGAGCACGAATAGACATGATAGGTATTAAGTTTCAAAAATATTATTTTAAAAGATTTGTATTTTTTTTTTTTTAATTTCCTATTAGTTTTTTGAGAATAAGTTACTTCAAATGATCTAAAATATTTATTTTTAGTTTAATTTTTTTATTTATATTCTCGTTTTTAAGTTTCTTAAATTTTTTAGATTGATTTAAATTATTTGAAATATAAAGCAGTGGATCATCATTTTTTTTTTTTTTATTTGATAAAATATTTAGAATTTTATTTGGTATAAAAGTGTGGGGTTTTTTTTTAAAAAAAAGACACATTTTATAAAATGTAATATAATGTACATAATTGCATATTTAGCCACTTTTTCTTTGCATATTTGCATCATATTTGACACTTTTTAAATGTATATAAATTCGGGTTCTAATTATGAGCAATAACTTTTAGAAGTTAATATGTATAGTAGTGATTGAGAAAATTCAGACTTCAATAAAATATCGGGATATATTATTAGTCGAGGAAAAGAAATAAGGATTTTTTTTCTTAACTTAGTAGATCATCAGAGCAAATAGATTACAACCCTATTATATGTATATATCTTTTAAGCTTATATATGAATAATTATCTATAGATAAAAAAAAATGCATTAAAATATCAGTTCTATTTTTGAAATGTATTTTTAACAATTAGGCGATTTGATAAATAATCTCTCTTCAATTAATTATTTAAAAATAAATAGATGAAAATTCTTGCTAGTAGATGGGTTAATGCAAGGTTTTCGGGGGCGATAAACTATTGTCAATAAGGCGGTAAATATTTAAATTGCTATCCAAATTATTCTGGTAAAGATATGTCCCACGATTAAAAGCAATTTTAAAAATTATTTTTTAAATGAGTTGTATTTGCATTGATGCATAATTAAATTTAATTAATTTTTGTACAGAAGCAATAATATTGATTAAAACTAATAAATCCATAGGTATAATTTAATAAAAAAAATCTACATTAGAAGTTTAAACAATGAACAATGTTCTAAATTCATTAAGAGTTACACCTGATCTAAAATTATGCAATATAACTTATTGAAGGAATAAAAATATAAATTATTTAAGGTATGTGATAATAAAGAATAAAAAATATAATTTATTATATATGATATATATGTATACCTACCAGTGGCATACTCACGGGGGGGGGGCATAGGGTTTGAACCCCCTTCATTGGCCGTATTTATATTAAAATTATTCCAATAGTTTAATAATAATTGATTATTGATTTTATTGATTATAATTTAGTGGTTTATACGTCATTAGTTACCAGTATCACGGTTATCAAATTGAATTGGAGCACGACAATAGAATATGTTCTATGACACGACAGCGCTATCAATTTAACAATTTGGTGATAATTTGTAATAATGTGGTTTTTTAAAACAGTATAAAATTTGTAATTATTATGACTATGGGGGGTGTGGGAAGCAGAGCCCCCACTTTTGTATTCTAATACATTTTCAGAGCCCCCATTAAAAATTCCTGAGAACGCCACTGATACCTACATATGTATTATATTAAATAAAAACAAAATTATCAAACTGTTTAAGGAACATAGATATCCTCAACCTCTTTCAAACACAAATTGTCAATACTTTTCAAACTCGAGATGATGTAACTTAATTTAATGGATTACATTGGTATTTAATTTTTATTTATATATTATATCATGTTTTAGTAATCACGATATATATAAGAATATATGTACTTAGATAAATTTATGAAGGTTTTTAGCATTGATAATATAATGTAATAAAATCAATATATCCAAATAGTTCTATATAATTACATGATACACATATAAAAGTAAAATATTTAAGTATGAAAAGCATATTAAAATCACAAATTCGTACTCATAATGACTCGCATTCATTAAACCTAAAACGGGACATATTTTTTTAAAAGCATTTTTAGTGATTTGACTTTAATTTATAATAGAAAAATAAACGTCAATAATAGGATATTCTAGTCGTTTATTACACCTTCATCTTAGTGTTACATGTCAACGTAATTAAAATTATTTCCATTTCTAATAATTTTATTTTTGTTAATTTTAAATTTTAACACGTAATTTCATAAAACGAAAACGAACACTGACTAATAGTTAAATAATTTTTTTTTGTCAAGAAAAATGTTTTCTTACAAAAAGAACAGCTAATTGCCTCGCTACCTAAATATCACTAATATCCGGGCCAATATTTATAATATTCTTAAAACAAGAGATGTAATTTACTAGAATATCTACCTATTCAGATACCTTTTATTTGAAATTAAATTTTTCAAAAAGGAGTTTCACATTTCCTTCTCTAACAATCTACCTCTCACAGCATCTTTTTTCACAGCTGAATGCTTCGCTATAACTGAAACACTCAACACAATCTCATCTTTACCTCCAAATAAATATCTCATCGCCACTGACTCTCTGTCCTGTCTTCAAGCCCTCTCCTCTAACGTTTTCAAATCACATCTCTTTCCTCTCATAATCACTATCAGACATTTTTTATTTCCCCTTACGAAATCTGGCTCGGACATTCAATTCATATGGGTACCAGGCCACACTGGAATTGCGGGAAACGAATTCGTTGACAAGCTAGTTAAATCCTCTGCTTCCCTCAGATGCCCTCCAAGTACGAAAATTCCATGGTCTGATTTTATTTCCATCCTTAGGAACTGTACATCTAATCTTTGGCTTAGACACTGGGGTTCACTTCCTCTATACTTCGCCACCTGGTACAGAAAGATATCTCCAACCATACCAACACTACCATGGTTTCATAAACCTCAATCTTTCTCGAAAATGCATAACATTGTACTCCCACCTCCGGTTTGGTCATACACGACTTCCTTCTCATTCCTTTAAACTGTCACTGGACGATTCCCCTCTCTGTACACTACACAATGACCCAATGGTCTGTGATATTAATCATCTACTCTTCATCTGTCCCAGCTTATCAACACATCGTGACCACCTATTATATATTTTGAATACCTTCAACATCCCTTTCGACCTTATAAGTATACTTTCAAACCAACAAAAAAATATCTTTTTCTTAAAAATCTTTCTTTAACCATTCAGGCTTTTTAATCTAATTTTATATTGTACTGTTTCTATGGTATTTGTAACTGTAATTGTATTTTTAATTGTAATTGTTGAAACTAATTGTACCCACAAAGTTAAGGAAAAAAAAAATTCAAAATAATAAAAATGAAAAACATGAAATTGCAAATTTTTATATCAATGAACAGAGTCTTAAGTAGGTTAGCGGAGCAAAGAGCAAATTAATAAAATATATAAAATACTGACCTTGAACAACGTATACATAAATATATATTCACAACTATTATAATTTGCTTTCATTTAAACATAAACGAGATAATTCTAAAGAGTAACATATATACCAGTAAATATGAACCTGTAAAACAAAACCAGTTTAACTTCCTGTTAGGTATTTATCCAAAGTACTTATTTTAACCTGAAAAGAATCAATAAAAATTTAAATATGAACATAACATAATAAAAGAATGAAGATAAATAGGATTTAAACTAATTATTAATGGGCAATCATTTCTAAAAATTCAGAAAGTACCTATACAAATTTAGTACAACTAAAGCCTTTTATGGATTGAAAATTAAAACACACATAAATTATATTTATTAGTAAATTTACGAAAACATTGTTAAATGTACCATTCTAAATTATATATGTATATATGTATATGAATGCTGATGTAAAAATAAATTTTATATTTCAAAACATAATTTAAATATTTCCAAATTAAAATCTGTTATATTATCATCTAATAATCTTGTTTCTACATTTTAATAATTACTAGATTCTATTAAAACCAAAAATAAAATAAAGACGACTAAGAGTTGAAACGATACAACTGCTGTAACATTGTATATAATAATATAATACAATAAATACGGGAAAAAACCGGTTACTTGGCCATTTATGGCTACCTATCATTTAACTGTGACCACTAAGAGAAACTAATAAGAGTTAATACTATTAGTTACTAAGTATAAACGTAATAGATCATAAATGATGTTTCAAAGAGTTCAAATTGATATTTTTTCCTATGACATATTCTATTAATGAAATATGAAACATATGCCATCTATAATTTTTTATTATGAACTTCAAATTAATTACGATATACCACAACAAAACCATCAACAAATTGATTAAGTGCATTGTTAAATTCAGTTATTTGAAACATAATAATGGATCACAAATCAGATATAAAGGTGATTGACAGAATATAAAAGGTAAGAGTAATGGGTAAGCACAGTATTGATTACAATTAAATAGCAATTAGGAATATAATTTGAATTAAAATAACGAATGATATAACTAGATATTTATTTAAATTTAAAATGATTTTAGTAATAGAACTGTTGTAAGGTTAATTTTACTATGATAAAGAACTTTTAACATTTTTTGTAAAACTCATATTTTTTATTAAAAAAGATAAATAATTAAACCTTCTGACATTTTATTAATGAATTAAAAAATTATCAGAGACCATTAGAATTAAATTAACGGTTTGCACCTTTATTTGGTTTAACTGACCAAATAATACAAAAACAAACTGACTAAAACCATGACCTAGGGCAGCGGTTACTAAACATATTTGGGTCATACATTCCCAGAACAAAAAAAATTATTTCCACCTCCCATGAATGAATAAAACAACAATTTTTATTATTTAAATATAAGAAAATTATTGTAGATTTATAAATAAATATATGATAGTGTAATATATAATATAAATATTTGACTTGTGTTTCTCCCAATAAGCATTTGTGCCTTTCAAGGGATGCGCGCCGCATAGTTTAAGAACCACTGACCTAGGATGTAGTTATAGGGTATACCTTCTGTCTTCAACAAATTGAGTAGAAAATTAAATACTTTCTACCTCATAACTTATTCAGAATTGATTCATTATTAATATATATATATAGGTATGTATCAGGGTGTTGGGAATGAAACTCACTAACTTAAATTGTAATTGGATTTGTTAATGAGAGAAATCGAAAATCTATCTAATGTTTGAAAATGCGGGACTTAAAAATGCTCTTACTAATGGACTACGGTAGTTATCTAACTTGATTTTTCATTTATTTAAGAACAAACCCTATCAATGGATTTTCCCTGGAATTCCCTAATTAGATACGTGGATTTTCCCTAAAATTCTCTAATTCGATATATGTTAGATGATTTTTGTTATTTTTCAATGTTTATAACATACCGGTATTTAAAAATCTTATAATCTTGTGATGTAACAAAACAGCTTAGAGGGGGAGTCTATTCTAATGGTTATAGTCAGTTGAGCAATAAATTTAAAATAAAGTGATATAACTTCTATGATTATCCTAAAAATCTCGTATTTCATTGACTAACATGAGATCACTCAATGTGTATGAGTATCTAAATCGTGTAAATAAAAAATTATAAAATCATCTGTAATATTTTATATTAAAACAAAAAAGGGAAATAGAAAATAGTAATAAAATACACGTATTTTTTTATCTCGATTCACAATCTAATTTATATTCTTTTAATTTAAGAACTAAGCAATAAAATATTTGAAAAATCAAATATAATTCGAATCAATTAACTAAAAAAAATAGTCAAGATTTTGTCAAAAACAAGTATCTATTCAAATTGATGTATTGGTCGATTTAATTTTTTTGTGTATTCAATAAACTATTAACCTAAATAAAATATCATAATAGCATTAATAGCTCATATCAATATTGAAAAATAAATGTTAAAATAGTTATTGCCCAATAGACCCAATATACCCCTACCTACTAAAGATATTGTGTAACTAATTTATAACTTAGATACCAGTTAATTTACTGAAAAAGTTTCTCGCCAAACATGTAAAATAAGTAAATTCAACTAAATAAAAAAAATGATTAAAAATTTACTAAGAAATTGGTAAGCTTATTAATAATTAAAATTATATTTTCAAAGTAAAAAACGATTAATGATTATCTATTTATAAAATTTAAATATGAAAATAAATATGTATTAAAATAAAATATTTTATTTATTAAAGGTCAATATTAATTGTATATTATATTATTATTTTGAAAACAAGAAATTTTAAAAAAGTTTAGTAAGTTGTTTAAGAAATAGTCGGAAAACCCCTAACTATGAATTCATCATAAAAATAAAAATCCAGTTAAAAAATCCTTATAACTAGCAGTAATTCACATCTTGTTTTTGTTAGACTATAGAGCATTAGTAGGTATTGTTATTAATTAATGTAAAATTAAGAGTAATGATAAAATCATCGTTTTCACAAAAATGTTTCGAAGCGAAGATTAGTTTGTTATCGAAACGCTTGAAAATTCGCCATGAAAACAATCTGTTGTATTTCAAACTTTAAATCATATTATAATAATAAAATATTAGCAGAATATTAACAATATAATTTTTTTAGATATTTACTTATATGTAAGTAGAATAGCTTAGGTGTTACCTGAATATAGGTATAAACATAATGCCACATAACACACAATAACACACATTTCATCAAAATATTAGTATACACAATGGTATATATTAAACATCGATTTTATTGATAATGAAAAAAATGAACTGTCAAGTTAAAAATCGATCTTTACATACAACAATTTGTGTTCAGTTTTAAAAAATATACTATATAAAATAGTCCATAATTACTATCCAGAAGTCTTATCGCAGAAATATAAATACATTTCAATAAAAATCTAACAAGTTACTTGATTGATTTATAATCTAAATAAGGTACTATAATTTTTAATAAAATTTGGAAAACCAGAATGTATTGTACTTATTTATTAATATATTATTGCTGTTCGACTTTTATGTAGTAAATATATATAGAAAAACATAAAATTAACTTTAATGATCCTATAATAGTCAAAGTCTAACGCAGATTATCGGGATCAAAATGTTACAGCACAAAATACAAACATTAATTAGTATAAACTGATAATACTATTATTAAATTAGATAATTAGCAACTTTGCAAAATTGCAAGACTTGTTATCTATTTAACAAGATAAAAGCACACATTTTAATATTTACTCGGTTATATTAAATATTTAATCACATGCATACATTTTATATTATTTTAAGGTGTAAACAGTATGATTTTTTTGTTATAAACATTCCAAATTTTATATACTTATTATAAAAACAGTAACATTTGACAAAAAATTCTCATTCTTACGTTTTTACAAAATACGATATCGAAAATATTTAATCATATAATTTATTTGTTAATAGAGTTGGTTTACTTTTTACAACTCTTAATATAAGGCATTCATTGACTCTAAGTAAAAAATTAAAATATTGAACATATATGAAAAAATGTGTTAAAATATAATACCTTCGAACGAAAAAATAATATAAGTAGGTATTATGTTGTCACATTAATCAAAAACAATACTTGACATCCAACTTGTAACTTTAAGTTTATTTATACTTCGATAGAGGTATTCGTTTAGGTATCTAAATATTCTAAAAGGTAAATACAAGTTCATCAATATTTCCTGCTAAACTAATAAACGTCACTCTGAAAACATTTACATTTAAGTAGAATATGTATGGCAACAGTATGTAAACGTTATTACAACTAAAAATATCGAATATTAAATGTAAGTCACATGGGGAGTGGGTGGAATTTATAAACAGTTGTCGTTTAATGGATATGTTGAGACGAAATACAAGCATAGTACAAGTATAATATTAAACGAAATGGATACAACAAAAATAAAACACGTATTAAATCGCGTGACGTATTAAATACGGAACAAATAAAGCGATGCTTGTTCAACACAGAAAACTCGCTCTACCCAATGTAATATTTTGTGGTACGAACGGTTTTCGCTTTTAAGGTAAATCTCACGGAACAAGAAAATGTTCAGATTCTACGTATATAGTTAATTCGTTGTAAATGTAAATGTTAAGAAGAAAATCTCCGTAGTGATTTCGATTGTAATTAAATTTGATAAAAACATGTAAATAGGTGCTTTGAATGGAATATTTTATCGTTTAAAATTATACAATTTCGTTTTTGTATCATTATAGATCGTGAAAAACCCGAACTTTAAAAATGTAATAACAATCCAGTTTTCTCAATGTAACTTGTTTAATTTATTTTTCGATAACAAAACGCAATATTACATATGTGAATCGACACACGTACTAATTTTTTTTTATATTTCAATCATTTTAATACGGCCTCAATAGGTCAAGTTGCGGCTTAAAGTTACTGATACACGTATTATAAAATAATATAGTATGCGTGGTAGATAGTCAACGTCTGTGACAATTTTTTAAACGGACATTATTTGTGGGCTTGTGAATTAATATTATTATTATTATTATTATTATTACCTTCAGGTCCATGACGATCTGCTGGAACAGTCCGCCGAGGGCATTGCAATCTTTGCCGACCCCGTTACCTTCCATCTCGTGCGTGCGCTGTCCTCACACACACTCACAATCGCAAACACAATGGTCACACGAAAACACAAACACCACTAGCGCACAAACGCAAACGGGCAATAACAACGAAAATATATTGTATTTTACTATCCCGTTACGACTTATTCACGGAGACTACAGCAATTGGAGATAATATCGCCAACACGACGGCTGTTCATTGTCGCGGAATATTCGTACTTAACTCGTCGGATTAAATTATAATTAATGTATTGCGCGGGGAAAATGAAAACGAAAATAAAACGAAAAAAAAGAAACAATTACAGATACCGTATGTTCCTTACTCGGTTCCCTTCTATTGTGTTTCTCCTCACCGCACAATGCGTGCAATACCACGGATGACAACCGTACACTACACGACCAACACGAACAAGGACTGCGGACAGAATCGAAGACGTCGCCACCGTTTAGTACGACGACGTTCGAGTCTATGTGAGCGCGAGTGCGTGTGGCGTAAATGTGTAAACAAAACATATTATCGGCAGCACACACCGAATAGAGTCGATCGAATCGCGCGCCATCTGCTGGCCGTGTGCTCTACAAATATGCTTTTTCAAATAATATAATAAATTGTATAATGTTCTTGATCTCGTTTTTGGCAAAGAATTACTCGTTTAGCTGCTACATAGTGTCACGGTTATAGCACTAGTTAGTACTCGGCACTTTTATAGACATCTGTGCGCGTTATTAGAGTACGTTTAATTTCTGACAATTTACCATTATCGATCTGCTGTGATCTGAAAACCCTGGCCCGAACAACCGTGTTGTTATCGTAATTGACACACATGTTATTTTTCCAAATGATAATGAATGATAAAACTTCATGATAACGAAATATAAACAGTAAACATTTAAAACTCTTAACATAATTATGATATAATTAAAAAAAAAAAAAAAATAAGAGTCCTCCATGATTTACAATGTTTATAAACAACTAACTGAACATCAATTATTATTGAAACTTGAAACACTAGGTTATTTTCACTAATTTTATTCATATTTCATTGAATATAATACAAGCCGTAGAAGGTCATTTGTATGTCTTCTAGGAACGTCAAATTCTGCAGACCGTGACCAATGATATTGTCACTATAGCGCGCGGATTCAAGAGAAAGTGAACAGTGTTCTTAGCACGGTTGTCTTAAAATAATCATGTCATTTTTACGAGGATCCACGAATTATGTTTGGTGTACTACAAGTGTGCTTGGAAAAGGTGCAACTGGTGCAGTTTATCAAGGTGTTAATAAACACAATGGAGAACCAGTGGCTGTTAAAACTTTCAATCAGCTAAGTCACATGCGACCTTTAGATGTACAAATGCGTGAGTTTGAAGTGCTAGAGAAGGTTAAGCATGAAAACATAGTCAAGCTGTTGGCTATTGAAGAAGAACACGAGAGTCGTGGAAAAGTAAATAATTATTTGTAATTTTGGTCTTCATAGTTTTGTTTTATTCAATCTTATTGTAGGTCATTGTTATGGAGCTATGTACAGGAGGGAGTTTGTTTACAATACTTGATGATCCAGAAAATACATATGGATTACAGGAAGATGAGTTCTTATTAGTTTTAGAACATCTTACAGCTGGCATGAAACATTTACGTGATAATAATTTAGTTCATCGAGATCTAAAACCTGGTAATATCATGAAGTTTCTCAGTGACGATGGAAAACCAATTTATAAACTAACTGATTTCGGAGCAGCAAGAGAATTACATGAAGATCAAGAGTTCATGTCATTATATGGAACTGAAGAATATTTACATCCTCACATGTATGAAATTTAATATTTTTATATTTGAGTATTTTTTATTAATAAATTGTTTTAGGTATGAGCGGGCAGTCTTGCGAAAACCTGTAGCCAAAACATTTGGTGCTACTGTTGATTTATGGTCAATTGGTGTTACATTATACCATGTAGCTACTGGTAATTTACCATTTAGACCATATGGTGGACGACGAAATAAAGAAACTATGCATTATATAACAACAGAAAAAGCATCTGGAGTCTTATCAGGAGTACAAACATCTGAAAAAGGTTCTATAACATGGAGTAGAGATTTACCAAAAAATTGTCAATTAAGTGATGGCTGTAAAAAGCTTATCACACCAATTTTGGCTGGCCTATTAGAATTAGAGCCTCAACGAATATGGAGTTTTGATAAATTTTTTGCTGAAGTAACTAAAACTTTAGATAGAAGGTTACTACATATTTTTCACACTAATCGTGTACAAAATATACGTGTATATTTACATCCTGATGAAACATACGAAAGACTTCAGTGTTTAATTCAAGAACAAACTGAAATATCTCCAGTTAATCAGATACTTTTGTACAAATCTACCTACCTTTTATGTGAAGTAGGCTTAGACCTTCCTGGTAGATCTTATAAACCAACTGAAATTCATAAGCCTATTTTACTTTTCAGCAAAGAAAATAATAATGTTACTTTAATACCCGATGGAGACATACCCAATTTTCCAAAATTTCCTGATATGTCACTACCAAAACTGACATCTGTAGATAGTGATGCCGGATTAGCTAAAACAGCGTGTAGTGTCGGACATGTATGTAAAAAACGTGTAGAGAAATTATCACAGAATAGTCAACTGATTAACAAATGTGTGCATGTTTTTACAAAAATTGTTACTGAAAAACTTAAATCTGTTTTGAGCAAGAGTGATCATTTACAAAGTGTATTTAAGTGTACGAAATATTTTGTTGAGATTTCTATAAGAGGTCAAAAAAGTGTTAACAACATGATTGGAATAAAAAATATTTCTACTGACCTAAAAGATGAATTGGAAAAATTAAGTGATGAATTAAATAATAGTTTAAGTTTAGCTATACAACAATTGTACCAACGATATGTCAAAGAAAAAACATTAACTAGAGAATGGCAATCAGCTACTAGAACATTTAAATGTCCAAATAAGAACAGAGCCCCTGCAAGAATCAAAACACTTGTTGAAAGACTGAGAGATTCATGGCAACATTTATTAAGAGATCGTGCCACACGTAGTCTTACATATAATGATGAGCAATTTCATGTGTTAGAAATAATTAAGGTATATTAATTTTAAAACCAATTCAATATTTTACTATACAAAAATTAACACAAAATGAAGTGTACACAATTATTTATATTTTACATTAAATGTTTTAATACCAAATTTAATGTAAAATATCTTGAATTCTTACAGTATTCCGCAATTTTAATTTTAAAATTGAAATGTGGTTATTACAACATAATTAAAATTTTTAAATCAATACCTAGTATAATTAAAAAAATATTTTCTAGATAACAGAGACCAGCCGTAGAGCTCGAACTTTACTTGAGACGGATGTTCAGCCTGTAGTTACTCAGTTAGCTGACTGTATGGCAGATTGGTACAAAATGGCACAGACGGTCTACTTACAGGCACAAATATTGGACAAGGATTTTGATACATTTGAGCACCGCCTATTAGGATTTATAGAACGTGCAAATGATATAGATGCATCATTTCATGATGGTCTTATTAATGTTGCAAAGGTGAAATTTACATCAAGTGGTGCCAAACACGCTGGTCGAATAAGTGCTCAAGATATTCAGGCACTTAGAGCCAGTTTAAGAGGTCTACGTGATATTGATGACCTTGTATCTGATATTAAGAGCAATAATGATATGCTCAAACATATAACTGAACCTAGTAAATGTTGTGACTGAATATTATTTAAAAAAAAATATATTGTAAATAATTTATTTTCACGATACTTCTGAAACATTAATTTGTACAAATAATAATTTTATAAAATCAACTAGTTTATATAATTAACGACTATTTCTTTCTGTACATTAATAATAAAAACTTAACCAAATTACATCCCACGTCTTACAGGTTTAGGATGCACTTTAAGTTTGACCGGCTTACATAAATCAACAATGCATGGTTGTGTAGGAGGTAATACATGTGCCAAAGCCCCTTCGGTTTCAGTTAAGTCAAATGCTAAACTCAATTCAACAAAACAAGGCTCAGACCACTCAGAACGATGTGATATTAATGCATTTGTATCAAGTAGATAATATGGTTCTAAAAAATAAATAAATAAAAATATTACACAATAAAAAATGTAATTTTATAAAAATTTTACTAACCGCTACTTAGATTAACAAGTCTTAAATGATTTTTAGAAGGCATGATTAAATGAGTTTGTTGATCTGGGTATTTAATTTTTAAGCGTAACAAAGAAGATGAATCTGTTTGTAAACTATACAATTCTGCATTTAAAGGAATAGGGAGGATCAAGCCAGCTGATAACTTATGAGTAGTATCCGGCCCACCTTGTGGTCGATTAATAATGACTTTACACATTTTGATCTGAAAATAAAATTGATTTTAAATAATAAAATTAATAATACTTCACTAATTATAATTATATTCAAACATTTGTATTAGGTTTAGGTGGTGGAGTAGGTTCAGAATTCTGCAATATTGGTAGAAGTAGTTTAGCCACAATTCCTGGTTTAGATTCTTCCAATTGAGATAGCTCTTTGAAAACAATAGACGTGAATGTCTCAAGTTGTAACTCATGTTCAGTAATATACCTAAAGATAATTTGTAAATGTTAAAATTATTTACAATTAAATATTAAATTAAATATTAAATATTAATTGAGTATATATCACTGCTTAGGAATGAACAGTACAATAGGCACAACTAGAGCCTATATTTTGGAGGAGAGGGGCTATGTAATACTAACCTGCAATGGCTATGCCCCCACACACACGCCATCTACTAATTTATATATAGACAAAATTTGTCACTACTCACTACTCACTACTATAGGTTCGATTCCAATTTTAGTAAAATAATTTAGTAATATGAAAAAGTATGATTTTGTAAAACAAATTTTGACTGTGGATATGCCTAAATAAAACATAAGCCGAATAACCGAATATACCGAATAACAACTTTATAATTTTTTCGGGTTTTAATATTATATAAATAGATTATAAGATTTTATCTCAATCCCAAACAACAAATTTTGAGATTCATCATTTTGAATCTGGGAGAACTATACAAATATAGGAGGTTAAGCTTATGTTATATAATTATAGTTGCTATGAACAGTACTAGTTCATAATCTCCATGTTAATTAATAATAAAAAATATTTTTTCATCACTTTTCAACTTTAATCTAAGAAAAACAGGGTAAATAATTGAAAATACTATTCAAATAGGCTACCTTTATAAAATCAGAGCATTAATAAATCCAATGAGTGTTCATTTATAAACTCTAAAATTAAAATTAAAAATAAATATTTTACATAATATTATTGAACAAATAACTAGAATTTAGAAATATCTTTATGGATCTTTTAATAATTAATCTTCTCAAGAGGATGAAATATACCAAAAATGTAAGCATAAAAATATATTATACACAAGAAAATCATTTAATGTAAATTCATAAAAGAGGCTCTGTTATAAAAATTATTGGAAAAGAGTAATTAAAAAAATAAAAACACTACATCATAGATGTTATCTTCTTTTTAACAGAAAAATGAACTACTTCTGTGAATGATCTTTGTCTCATTCATTATGGCTTTTTAGCTAAAAAATTGTAAATAAATGATTATTTTATTTATAGATCCACCAATAACATCACAAACACACATCATACATTCCCAAAATAGCAACGCAATTGTTGATCTAATGCGCGTAAAATCAGGGGAATTTTTTTGGACATAATATAATTAAAAACAAATAAAATTATATGATACATTTATATATTAATAATTTCTATAACTATTTTCTATTCTGTAACCCTCATTTTTCTTAAAATTATTTTTTTTTCACATAGTGCAAACACATCATACACAATCAGCATCTAGTCATAATAAATCAATATAAAATTATAACTTACTTAATAGTATCTTCCAACTGGGTTAAAAAATAATGGCATAATGCTCTAGCTGATTGGTTAGTAGCATTTACAATATAAACAAGAAGGAGAGATATTACTTTTAGTTTAAATTGTTTTATGCTCGCTAATTCTTGAACACTTAAGCCAACAAATAAATACTGCATTCTAAAAAACATGAAATTAGAAAACTGATTGATTCAATAATAAATATAAAATTACTTCAAAGTATGTTGTAGCAACTGTGAAATATTTGTACGAACATTATTTGCTTGATGAGTTGAAACAGCATTTGAATAAAATGTTTTGTTGTTATTATTTAATACTTTATTTAATAACAATTGACTATGCATATATAAAGCACTAAGCTCTGCTGTTCCATTCACAGAATGATCAAGTTGAGCTAAGCTAATAAGATTTTGATAGAAAGTTTCCAGCAAACTAATTTTAACTTTAGTGCTGCCTTTGACAATAGATACTTGATTAATTAATGATTGTAAAAGTTCAAGTGATTTAGATGAATCTGATGCAGTAGGTCTCAATTCTACTAGACTAATTGATACACGCCCACCAAGCTAAAACAAAAAATTAGATAACGAAAATAACAATTGAGTATACAAAATAAAAATCACAGTATGCTGTTTTGATTATTATTAATAATCACTGATAATAATTAATATTCTGTTATTAACACATATTGTTTACATTTTTTATGTAATTGCTTTTTGTTTTTGTTAATTTTTTTAACAGCATTGAATATTTTAATATTGAAAAAATAATAATGAACTGTTATTGAGAATGTAATTTGACTAGAATTTTTTCAACAAAACAAATTAATAAAAATTAGTAAATGCTTTGTCAATACTTTGATCCAAGTTTAAAAATTACTTTACATTTGAAATTACTAAAAAAATCTTTTCTTTTCTGATTTTTTTTTTATTATTATTCATTGTTTTGCAATTAATTAAATTTAACTACCATAAATAATCTGAAAAAAATTCTTCATTTTCAAAATACAAATTAAAGTTTTTAATATATTTAATACAAAGAGTTAATTCTCAAACTTTAATCTCATCAATTATAATCACCCTGTATATGTTACTAAAAAATTATTTAAACCAATTTCATAATTAATAAATTTAACTAAATTATAATTAAAAAATGTTTAAATGATTTCATACTTGCAAAGATGGAACTAAATGAGGCATTATATCTTTTAAGTAGCTATAATGTTTAATAGTTTTATCTTCAAGTAGTGATATAATAGAGTTACATTTGGATGCTGCATTGAATACTAAAATCAAAACACTTACATCTATTTAATAAGTTAAAGAAAAATGTAATCATATATTTTAAAAGAAAACATAAAATATGTATAAGTTTTAAAGGATACAAGATGGTTCTTCTACATTGGGTTCTGGTGTTTCAAACATAGGATGAATAGCCAACAACTCAGGTACTAATGCCAACGTTAATATTGGATGTCTTAGTCCCAAATTTTTCATACAATTCCATATAGATTTTTTATCCTAAAAGTAAAATTTAATAAATATATACAACTTTTTAGTTTATACAATATGTTAGGTGTTACTTCTGGATATTTTTTTAGACTTTCAATTAATCTGTTTGTACACATCATTAATCCTTCTTGATTTAATAGTTCAAATGATGCAAAAATATTATGTAAACCTTCACGCACAACACTTGAAGAATCCTAAATTGAATAATTTCATAATGAAAATTAATTAATAATTATTAAATAATGAACAAGTATACTTCAATCACAGCTAATATAATTTCCACTTGATCATCACGAAGACCAGATGCATATGAAAGTTTCACAAGACTTTCAATTGCAATTAAGCGTACTTCTTCAATTTCATCATTAAACATATCAACTAAGAACTCCATTGCAACAACAGCAAATTCTGAATGGCGTGTTGCTAATGAACACATAGAACTTATTGTAGCTATGCGTACCTCTAAGTTAAAAATATTTAAATTTAATATTAAATTATTATTTTATGCATATATCTTTTTTACCGAGAAATTCATCTTCTAAACCATGAAGATAAGCACCACTAGCTCCAGTACTAACTAAACTAACTTGATGGGCATCCAACATTTCTTGTGGTGTATCTTTAGTACTTAATGCACTCATCATAGCTGTGCCTTTAGCTAAACACTCCCAAACACGTTCAATAGAAGTTCTCTTTCTCTATAAGAAAAAAGCACTATATCACTAAATTTTTATTTTCTAATTTTTAAGGATCTTGTATATATAAATTTAACATTACACGTAAATTAGACATAAGTGTTTGATCTAGAGTCTTCAACAAAACACTTGTACTGACAGAAAGAAAAGTTCCAAGAAGTTTTGCAGCTTGAGTACGAATCCGATAACTTATATCAGTCATAAAATTACAAATATTCTCAAATGCTTCATCAGACATTCGAGCCATTTCTTCACCATTGGTACCTTTAATTCTTCTGTTAAAATATAATATTTAATATATTTGTTCATAATTTGAAAGTATGTATAATAATTTCAAGAGACTTACTCTTCAGGATAATAATTTCCTAAAACTGAAATCACATTTAAAGCAGCTTCTCTCACTATTTCATTGTCATCATTTATAACTGAACAAACATCAAGGTATACAGCTGGGTTCAATCTAATACCTCTGTCATGCAATCGAACCTACATATTTAAATTAATATTTTAAATATTAAAAAAATAATCTTTATGTTTAACTAAATTTTAAACATTATACAAAACAAAATTGACTGACCAATTTTTTAAATTGTTAATACTAGAAAAATAGCAATGGATTAGCTAAGTTAAATAAGTAATTAGTATTATAAATTTAATGAATTAAGTTTACCTCCAAAACTATTTTTAGCAATTTTATTTTTAAATTAAGTGATTTTGCATGTATAATCAGATGGTACTTTAAAAAAAAAGTCGGACAAACTTTCTTTAGAAATTATGGTCAAAAAATTTATATCACTAAATCAAGTATAGATATGGGTAAAACACATTAAATATGTTCAATATATAAGTTATATAATAAACCGTAAATCTACTTGCTGTGCAACAAAGAAATTTCAGTTTGATAATCATCAATTATACATACCATAAAAAGAAAGTTGTATATTATTTTATGTATAATAATATAATATAATATGGATTTTAATATAAAATTTGTGGAACAAATAAAAAATTATCCTGAGCTATACAATTACACATTAAAAAGCTATTCCAGAAAAAACAGTAACAAATAGCTTGCAGTTAATATTTTTTTCGATATAAGGATTGATCCAAAATTTTCTTCTGCATTTTTTTAAGTGGTGTTTATAATACTGATAAAGAATAATTTCTTCACCGCTACTCAAATCACTACTGGACATTATAAAAAATGTACTTATTTTAATTTATTTACTGTAGAAATATTAATGTACACATATAATATAAGAAACTGAACTGTGCTGTCGAAATTGTAGACGACACTAAAAATTTGGAATACTGTAAGTGAGTGTATCTGGCAACTGTAGATGTGTAGTCACTTAGTCTCCTATTATCGTGGTAATTACAGTTTCTTTTGAGTATCCCCGTGTGAGGAGGGTCTAAATATTGTAGTACAAATATATTTTTTGTGCTTGGAATTTGGTAAGTATAATTAGTTCATAAGATAAATTATAAAAACATTGTTATTACCATTGTATTAAAAGCATTACTTCTAGTTTTTGCATTATAATGTTGAGTATAACTTCCAATTAATTTAAGCATTTCAGAATGAATTTCTAGAGATTCTTGAGGAATTTTAACTGGCATCAATTCACCTATTACCTCTAAACTTCCACATGTTATATTTGGTCTGTAATCTTCCAATGTCTAAAGTAAATACAGATCTAAATATTTATAGCTTCAAAATACTGATCGCAACAAACTTGTTTAGCATAATTTGTAAGTCTTAAATGTAGAGCCATATCATGATTCATACGTTTTCCAAGTGCCAATAATGTTTTGAGACCACTGGTTTTGATTTTTTGAGACTTAACTTCTTTCAATAAGGTTATTATTTCATCAATAATTTTGTAAACATTCTAAGACCAAAAAAAAAATTTTAGTTAAATAAAATAATGGTGCTAAAATTATACATATATTTACAATTTCACTAGTTTCATCAGAAGATCCAATGGCTGATAAAACAGAAAATATTAACATTTTCACAGTCGAATCAGTCTGAAGTTTAAAATGGTCACTGAGTTTTATTAAAATGTTGGACACATCGGAATCCTATAAAAAACAAAATTCTTAATAATAATGAAAATATATTAATATTTACAATACTACTAAAATATTATTATTTTTTATAATAAATCATAAAATAAAATATTTATAATAAAATGTTATTATGTAATATAGATTTAAATTATTATACCTACACCAAAATTAAAATAAGAACCACAAGATTATTAATTAGGCTAGTATCTAGAAAAAATGTTAATAAAAATTATTGGAAAAAATATTTAATTTATATTTCCATAAAATGTATAATATAATATAAGATCAGTAAATTAAATGTTAAATTACACAATTGCTTGTATAAAAAATTTAAATATTTTGATTTTTAGAATGAAAATTAAAAAATAGTAAAAAACATTTAGCATGTTTACATTTATACAGATAAAAATCAACTAAAAAATGGTTTTTAAATTTAATTAATTTAATTAAATACATTAAATTATAATATTTTTTAGTGATATACTAAGTTAGTACCAATAAAATTATTAAATTAAAATAATTAAAATAAATTGATTTTCAATAAAATAACTCATCACCAAATATATATGTACATTTAGTATTTTAAAAGTTTCAATTAATATATCAGTTGCTTATAGTAGTTTAATATTTTATGGTTTTTAATTCAAATTGATATTAATCCAAGTGATAACTATATGGTTACAAATTCTATAATATTATTATTATCCTACACTATTTACCTGAAACTGAAGTTGTTCTAAGATTTGTATTAAAATTTGTATAATTTCATTAGGCGTTTTACGGCCACCAATAGTGTTCACTAATGATAGGGTAGCCCCAGCTGTCAGAGCGGATAGTTTTACTAAACATTTTAATTTTTTTACTGGTGGTTGCTGCTCTAACTAATGAAAACAAATAATATTTACCACGTTATAATTATTTAGAAACACAATGGCATATTAATGCTTACCACTTGTGTACTGTATTCGGCTAGTGCTCTTTTTTTTAACACTGCCGCCATGTTAGCACAGTTAATAATGTATAGTGAAAATATTAAAAATGAATTTAGAGTAATCAAAATTATGATTTCGTATCGGTACTAATGCAATAAACTAAAATAATTAACTACATTTATCACTACTTTAAAGAAGATCGGCTTTTTTTGCATCTACTTATATGTATTCAGAGACCCAATAAAAACATTTATTATCAATGCAATCATTAAAAGCAATACCAAGGTTTATATCTTTAACCAAGTTTTATTATAATAGAATACACCCAAATATGTATAATATTTGTAATGTTGAAATTTTAAATTTTAAAATATAGAAAAAAAAATGTACATTCTAATATTATATATATTAATCATTAAGTAATTTCAATAATATTAATTAATCTTAAAATAACTCAAGAACGTTGTTTCTAATATCTTTGTAAATATTTAAAGAAATTCAAAATGGCCGAATGTTGATATTTGAGTAATCATTATATGTATTTACCTGTCATAGTGTTGTGTATTCATATATTTGAGTGTAAGTGTAGTTTTCTCTCCCCCTCTCTTTCTCTGGCATCATATCTCTGGTTCTACAAATCTTTCGTTTCTCTTTTATTATTATTATTATTATTATTACTATTATTATTATTATTATTATTATTATTATCATTATTATTATTATTATTATTACTATTACTATTATTATTAATATTATTACTATTATTTTAAGATATGCCTTATAAATATTAAATTGTTACAGTACTAGACAATTTCAGATGTGAATACGTTTTTAGAGTATCAGTAATCTGTGTTTTAAACATAATTATCGTTCTAACGGCATGCGCTATAGTGTCGTGTGTGTAAGTGTTTAGTGAATTCTTAAATGACAACTCTAACGCATTCATTGCCTGGTAAGAAATTGGGCCGACTGGTCATTAAAATTATCTATGATGATAACTGATTCTCATTTCATACACTATTGAAAGTTAACATTTTGCTTGTATGTGGCCCATAGTATCTTAGTTAAACATGAACAGAAAATCAATAATTTAGTTTACGGTTCCTTATTAGATTCTAACATCGCTTTGACTGTTCTAAACCTTGATTTTTATTTTAATATCTATATAAGTCTATGAACTTATTTTTATTTGTATTTTTGTTGTAGGTACCGACTTGAGCAAAGTCATACAAAAACGAAGAGCTGGTTCTATAGGGTAAGAATTAAGTGTTTAAACAATATGTTTATTCATATCTTAATCACAAGTTATTATTACATCACAGTATAGTTTTTTTGAACTAGAAATTGTGTAGAATTAATATATACATTATCATATTATTAGTCCATCTACTCATAAATAACATTTTTTTTTTTTTTTAATTAAATATTAATTAAAAATAAGATATATAAGTTCTCAACTTTTTATTTAATGATTTTCTACCTTTTATGTAAAATAATAATAATACATATTTATATTAATATTCCTTACTCGTTGAGACATAATTATTAATATGAATTCTATATTTTGCTTTTAAATCAAGTTTATTATTAATTTTTATAACCAACGTTTGATAATTTGAGGATTAAATCAAAAAATTTATTACTAGACAATTTAACATTTTTTTATCATTACTTTTTTAATATTACATATATTATATATAGATATATACTTATAACAAGGATCAGCTTGATGAATATTAGGGTTTTGTATAAAATGTTTTTTCTGGGCCTATGTATTGAGTTTTTAGGTTTAAATTTATGGCCTAAAGATAGTAAAATATTAATTATATTAATGATTATGAATCATTAGATGAAAAAATAAAATTGATAAATTTGATATGCTCATATTTAAATTATAAGGTAGGTAATACTGCATTTAGTATTATAATAGCAATTTTAATTTTAAAACATACCTAATATAATATAAATATTAGTAAATCAATGTATGATTATAAAGAATGTGAAATACTTTTAAGATATGTGTGTATAGTCAAAATTAACTGACTAAAATTAAAATAAACAAACCAAGATTAAAATATACTTTCTTAATCATCCATATATATTATATTTTAATAAACTATTAACTTTTTTATATTTTTAATTGGTTAATAAAATAAAATTATAGACAAATAAAATTTTAGTTAATAATATGTATAAATTTATAACATAAGTAATTTATGAATACTTATATTTTTGTTATTAATGTTTAGTTTGGGCTTTTTAAATTTAGTACCTACCTACAATTGTACCATACCCTATTTCAGCGGTTCCCAAAGTGTGTACCGTGGCGTCCTGGTGCGCCCCAATGTCTCTACAAGGACGCCACACCATCATGAAATACTATTTAGTCTAAATTGTTCCTTATAATTAGTCATGTTATGACTTGGGGAAGTGTGGCCTGAAAAAATCTTAGATCAAAAAGGGCTCTGTGAGTCGAAAAAGTTTGGGGAGCACTGTCCTACTCCAAAACTAATTAAGAACAAAATTAATTGTGTTTTATTTTTAGTTTTAATATTTTATAGTTTTTAAGTACCCATTTAAATTTTTTTATTATTTTCTAGAAAATCTAATTGATTAAACCTCTGATAATATTATTGTTTTTCATTTTTATAATAATTTATAGTGCCTTAATAGTCATGAATTACAAATAATTAAGAATAGATAGCAGTTGCAGTTGCATTACTCACACTTCATTAGAGTACATCTTGTATTAAATTTAGATGATAAATACAAGAAAATTTAGTTGTGTTCTTTTAAAACTCAATTATTATTTTTTTGAATAAAAGTTATATCTGAGATATCTTACCAATATTCTAAGAATTTAAAATTTCCTCTATGATTTACAAAATATTTTTTTTTATATTAGTATTGCATTGAGAATGAAATTGAGAAAAGTAGAAATGCCTATCATCTATTTAAAATCAAAATATAGCCTTAGGTTCTTTAAAGTGATTACTTTTCTACCTACCAACTGTTATAATTGACAATATTAGTAATTGTCTTCTCTTGGTTTCAATTTATTTCTGGTTAACATAACCTATTATTACATATTCAGTTTCATAGGCCTTTACCATTATTATGTTTTTATTTCAATATTATATATTAAATAAAAAAAAATATATATAATTTTTAATATTGTTTTTTATATATTTATTTAAATTTAACATCCTAAAGGTGTAAAAGAGTATAAAAAATAATTTGCATACATAAATTTAGTAGTATAGTATAAAAAAAAAAAATCATAATAAGAAATTACAATTGGTAGTTTAATAATTATTCATAACAATATTATTGAATTTAATTTGAGAGTCAAAACAAAAATTAGAATTAAGAATATCATTACAATGCTTCAATAGACAATACTCTGAATTATTTGCAATTAAGTCACAAGAATACTGAGAAACTAGAAAGGGAGGATTGTTTTTAGAATTAAAAGCTAGTATTTTAAAACTACTAAATTAACTTATAAATTAAAGCTTTATCATTATATAATCATTTAGCTGAATTCTCAAAATCTATGTTCCGTGTCTTATTAATTTTATTATTAAATAAAAACTTTCACATGTGTGTACAGTATATAATTGAAAAAGCATTTGATAAAATTGCATTATTTATAATTAATCATTCATATTATTGAATGTATTTTGTATATACATAATGCACTTAATAAATATTAATTTAAATTTTTATTTGTTGAATTTTTTTTTATGTGCCAATTTAAAGCATGAATATATCTACTTAAGCAGTTAATTTACTATTAACATGTATTAAATTAACCATTCCCGAGTATAATTGAATAAATATAGTATACTTAACATAACTTTTTAGTTATTTTATTTTTAAAACATTTGCATAAAATATCTATTTATAAATTAGTATAACATATAATACCTATACAGGTATATATATTTATTTTAAATACATTCAATATTTATTTTTTACACTTTATATTTATTACATCATAATGTTTTGTTAAATTCCCAATAACTCTACTTTTAGTTTTTACTAAACTCAAAAATTAATAAATTAATATTTTTATTATTTTATTTCCACAAATAATTAATTATAAATACAGCATAGACCATTGCTTTAGCCTATTATTTCAAAATTAAATTTGACAATAGTAAATAGATGTTAGTTTTGATAGTAAACATACAACACAACTTTCTATACCTACCATATTATGGATAACACAACACAAACAAAATCTTATGTTGCTTAGTTGAGTATGTTTGTTTAGTAAACAAAAACATTTCTGTAGATTATTGTTTAAAAAACAAGCAGTGACAAACCTAAATCTATTATGTATAATTCATTTTATGAACTGTATTCAATTGATATCCATTTTAGTTACATCCAAATAAGGAATATAGATTATGTTCTATTAGTATGTTTTAATCTGCAATAATACATTTAAATATATATAGTTTTTATTTATTTGTAATTAATTTTGTATCATTATTAAAAATAAATGTATCATTCTTTTCCTTAGGACTTTTCTGTTTTTTATATAATTTAAAACTTTATATGGTATAAAAAAATAAATTAATTTTACAGTAGTATTTTTTCTATGGATACATTTTTAAGTAATTCAAAGATATTAAAATTTATTTGAAGTTTTTCTTTGAAATGTTGACACATGATTGCTAATTTAAAAATGTAATTTTTTAAATCTCAGAATAATTTTTGATATAATAATAAATTGTATAAAAAAATACTGTATGAAATTTGCCACAGTTATTTTTTGTCTAAAAAATAATAATCACGGAAATTTAAAATTTTAACAATTCTACAATTTTGTAAAAATTTGTGTCCATACAGCAGTTATTACAGAAAATAAAAAAGTTAGATCAAACATCAATTGTTGATACTCAAGATCGGTCTTACTCTATTTAAAATGTATACTTATTTCTTAGCCCAAAGTATATTTTTTAATGCGTGATGTTTTTGTAAATGTTATAAAAAAAAATTAATACCTATTCTGCAATATGATTGTTTAATTTCTCATTTAAATTATAATTATTTATACTTTTGAAAATGTATAATGAATAAAATAAACAAATAATTGGTTCTATAATACCATTATAGAATCCTTTTTCCCTTATTTAAATATTTGGATAATTTTAATCGTAATTCTTAACCGGTATCCCGTGAATTATTGTGTCATCAAAAATTTGGTTTTTAAAATAAAATATAAAGTGTATTATTTATATATGAATTGATTTATTTATATAAAAACTAAAAAATTAATTTTTTCGCCGTTTTTATGAATTTAAATTTGGGTTCACTGTAGTTAAAAGTTTTATTGGTTTTTCATATTTTAATAGTTTGGAAATTCAATAGATCTCTCTGATTTTTTTCGATTTAAGCAGTTTTATACCAACTAAGCAAAACTAAAAAAAAAAAAATTAAATAAACATCAAATTTCGTTCGTCATCTTTTTACAATTATGGAAATAATATTGAATATAATTCTTCAGTATTTAATGAAAAAGGTAATTTGTATTACATGAATATGAAATATTTTTTATTACTTTAACGTGTGATACATTTGAGTCAAGTGATTTTTTTTATTTATTATATAATATCATCAGCCACAACGAAATAATTCGTCTTATACGTTTGTAATCATACAGGCTCTAACAATTATGCTTATCGCAAAAAATAATCATAATAATATTTTTCGCCAAAAATATAAATACATTCATAATATCTTAAGTATGATGAATTTATAAACTGGTAATGATAAATTAATATTAAAAAACGGAATTATTAATTTTGATCAATAGCAAAGTTGGAAATTATGTGTTACGACTTTTTTCATTTATGTTACACATTCTCCTCCGTACATTTTACACTGATCTACGTTCAAAATTGTTTTTAAATGCAATTATATAATGTTTTTTCTAATGTAAATAAATAACAAATCTATATAACGATGAAATATATATAATAAATATTTATATAACCTCGGCACCTTAATGGCTTTTTATTTTCAATTTATATTTTTTATGTTAATTATTTTAAGATATTGTTTAGTTTTAAAATATCTTAATATTTTTTATTATTTAACATAATTAATATAATTATATCTATATATATTTATAATTATTTAATATATTTTATTATTAAATATTTTCGGTGATTTCATACTTATATGTTTAAAAAAAATTTTATTTATTTATTATGTAAAGCAAAGAATAATCCTCTGTTCAAAGTGTGGGTACGTAGTTTTTCTATGGTTGACGAATATCAGATGTACGTGATGTACAGGACAACTGATAAGATCTATTTGGTTATTTATAACTACCAAATGAAAACCTTTTGATGTTTTAATAAATGTACAAGTTGTTAAAATACAAAACATGTCACTAAGTAAATAAATAATAAAATATAAAAAAGGGGTTTGGAATTGTCCTAAAATTATTAAAATAATCTTTTGTTGTTAAGTATCATATAAACATGAATATTCGTTTGTTGTTAACTGTTCAGTCAGAAAAAAAATATACTATTAAACAACTTTGTATAATTTGTCGTTCTAATTGTGAATATATTTAATAATATATTTAATTATACATACATGTATATATAATAAACTATAATTTCGTCATTTTTTAACCTAAGTTATAAATAGCGTTAGGTATACGGTAAAACGAAAATTTGTTTAAAAAACATTTTTAAAAAAAAAGTCATCTCAAAAACACATATCTTTTACTTTTGCAGTTGCGGATTCTTTAAACTATTGATATTACCATTTTCTATGATTATCTGATGTATAATGGTTCTGTGTACTTGTAATATATCTATAGTCTATATATATATATATATATATTAGTTCTTAGTATCACTTCATTATATTTTCAAGAAAATAATGTAATATTTTATTTTATTTTATTATATGGTCCATTGTTTTAGTCATTCTATAAGGCCCTATGCTTATTTAAAAATTAATTGCTGTTAATGATTTTTATAACATATGTATAGTATTTTGAGGTAATCTTGGCAAGGTTTATATTCATACTCAATACTCGTGTATAAAAAACGAGTAAAAAAAATAGTCCAACCCGTAGCCCATAGGAAACTATATATCACGTAGGGTACAGTCACAATGACGTCTTGACAAGGATATAATGCTTCATATTGTACCAAATGAAGGGACGACAACAGTACTTATAATATATTTTTAATATAATTCTTATTTGATGTATAACATCCTAATCCTATAACATAAATATCTAAGTAAAATGTACTTACAAATCTTTTTTTTTTTTACTTACGCTATTGAAAATTATAGATAATTATAATTTTACATATTTCTCTTATTGCTGTTGAAAATTCCTTGGATTCTACTATCCATTTCTTTCTATATTTTGATACATATTTAAAAAAAAAATTTTATCTTAAACTTACTCATGAGTAATAAGTATCCAACTTTTGACATTTTCACCAATCGAACGTATACTTTTGGAGTCGTCGACCTATTCTCCCCTAGTGTACCTAAATGCAAAGTACCGCTCGCCCTAATAAACGGTTCATTTTTTTTTAATTTTTTTTTTATTCATTTTACTTCCCTTCCTCCTTCAGCACTACTACTACTATTCATCATATACGATTTCCCCGACACTACACATTAACCGAGCGCTATCGGCGTTACCTTAGCAATGCTTGTTGGAATCTTGTTTTTTCTTTAAGCGTTTCGACCGCCAAGCGGGCGCGGTGGTGGGGATACCTCCCCCCACGATCGCATAATGTGTACCTGTGGCGGCGGTATTGGCTGGCGACCGTGATCGTCCGGTTCAGTTTTCAGTGTACTCGCAGCGTTCGTGTTTGTTCTTTGTGATTGTCGGTGATGTCCGTCCACGTGCGTGCGTGTGTACATATTATTGTTCGTTTCTGGGTACGAGAGTGTACATGCTTTGTTAATTGTTCGATTTTTGTGCGTGGGAAATAAATCTGTAGTTATATATTTGCCGCGTGTTTTTCTTATTAAAATTCCACGTTCTCATTTTCCATTCATATTTATGGTGTCTCTGGGTATATATGTCGTCTCGGCGACGACTCCCGGACGCGAAGACGTCGCGACGCCCGTGTTATGATTTGTTTGCGGCCACAGTAGCCGGATGTACGGATACGCGGGTCCGCCCCATTACGGGGCCGTCGAGTCCCCTGCCGGAGACCCAGGCTATCTTCAGCCCGGCCCCATACCCATGGCCATGGTCATGCCTATGCCGGCCGTTTGCGAACCTCCTCTACCACCACCAACGACGCTTCAAATGTCCGACGAGGTGGCACAAAAAAGGCGAAGGTATAATAACATAATATCAATATTATGTATTTAAAATCTAACGAGAGAACACAATGATAGATAATTGTAATTATTATATTACTGCAGTTCATAATAACCCACATCAATTCAATCATAATTATTGCCTATTTAATGAACCTATGGAAGGAACGGTGTATGGTTAAAAAAATATTTTCGATTGTACACATAACAGTTAAACCTGTTTGTTTAATAATTGTTTTTTTTTCATACAAACAACGTTTTAGGCCGCACGACGAAGCTTATCTATGCTATTGGTCGATGTGGTCGACACATTTGAGGTCTAGTATGTTGAAATAAGCGTCTGATTTTTATGTAAAAAATAACGAGTACCTACGTACTTTATACTCGAATGAGTTACGGACAATAATAACCCCATTATTCTCTCCGTGAAAACTATATAGATAATATAGAAACCATAATAATATAGGCGGATGTAAAGGAATCTTGAAAGTGTTGTCAAATATTACATCATAGACCACCCATTTTTATTTGATATATGACATATTTCACTCAATGCACAATGATTAAATTAGTTAAAATAATTTAACTACTTTTTTGATTTGATAAAAGTATGCATCCTAACATGTAATATTTACTATATAAACAAATAATATATAATTCGATGTGTATTTTAATACAAAAATATTAAATAAATAAAATGTATTACAACTAGGTATGTATTATTATACTATTTACTGCTTCAGTCGGTACAAATTTGAAAACAATTTAAATTAACTAACTCAATGACTACCATTTACCGAAGTTTAATGTATTCATATTTCATAATAATGATATGCGAATATTTTACGTTCGAAAATATTATTTTTACTCTAAAGATCTGTATAGAATATTTTATAACTTAGATTTTATAAATTTACATTGAATAATAATATTAGATGATAAAAAAAATTATCTATAATTGTCTTTTCTAAGATAAAATTGAATAAAAATGATTCGTTTATGAATTAACATTACACCACATAATATTTTAATGTGATTGGCTTTTTATAAATTATTGGACTTAATTTTAAATAAATAATATTTTTCCTTTCGTTCATATAAACTTAATAAAAATATATGTATTGACTAAAATCTATATTTTCAATATCTTTATACATATTAGTTGCAGAATGGACAATTGTTTAATAATTTATCGTACTGGCTAAATTACAAACTTTGTCACATTTATAAATATTTTAAATTGTATGTAACTATGATGTTAGCATCTCGTAAAAAAATAAAAAATATTTTATTCAGTTGATTTTGTTTCACTAATGAGTAGTTTGACTTACTAATTGACTGCATGCGTTTAGTTCTTGCTTATGTATTCCCGGTAGTTAAATGAGTGTGTACATATTGTGTTAACTTAATGAATCAGAATGTTATCAGTTGGTGGTCTAGTAATTACTAATTTTTCCCCTATTATTTTAAATAAGCTATGTACTTACATTTGTTAATGAATTTTAAAAAATTTAATTTTTTTAGAGAGTTCTTACAAATTTTACTATAAAATATGCGATAGATGAATAACTATTTTATCTATATCAACTAACCAGACAATGCATGACTCGTCTTAACTTTCTATTAAGATTAAATACCAATCGTAGTTATTATGACTTTCAATATTTTGTTATTAACAGTCTCATAAAAATTATTTAAATTTTGTATTTAATGTTAAATGATTTTATATTACTAAAACATTTCTAATTATTTACCTGTAATTATAACTTTGTAAAAGACTGATTTGTAAATTAAGTTTATTTTAATTTAATTTAGAAAAATTTAGAACGAGTCCCAAAGTTAGTGTCGCCCAAATTATAGATATATAATTAAATAAATTAACAGTAAAAAAAAGTTAAGTTTAGAATGAATATTAAAAAAAAAAATTTATTTAAAATAATTTTTACGGATTTCAATATATTCTTATTGATAATTATTAAACATCTATTATAAATATAGAAGTCTTAGTATATATATATATATATCTTAGAAATAGTTAATACTCGTATAATAATTGATTTTAAAACTAAAAATTAACGTCTTGGGAATGATATTTAAAACTTTTGATTTAATTATTAATAAAATTGAAAAATTATTTTTCCAAAGTATCTTTAATAAACGAGCATTTTTTCATATTTTTGATGATTTTTGTTATTATTTTGGAAATTTATTTAAACTTATACAAATATTTTTACTATATTTTAGTACCATTTCATTGTAGTCGAGATTATAGTAATATTATTAATAATAATACACATTTGATTTGTAAGTTTGTAAGTAGTAAAAAATGTATTATACCTTATTGGTATAATTTAACTGCTTATTTGAGGAGTATACTCACTGTGATTAATTATTTAAATAGAATAATTAATAAATGTAGCTAAAAAACGTAACTACTTGGTACCTAATATTTATAACAATATTCGAAGTAATTAATTCTTGATTTCCTTTTAGAACCACTCTTAGTTTTTTTCCCCACACGCCTAGAACTATAAACTAAATATTTACATAATTAATAGTATTTATTTGTGAAATGTATACATTTTAATCGTTAAGATTACAACTGGTTTGAGAGAATACATTGACAATAAAAGAAATATTAAAGTATTATTTGATAATTTATTTATTCTCATCAAAAAGTAAATATATAGAAATTGTCAATATATTTCCATTATATTTTGTTTTTTGCATGACATTACGAAGTGCTTAGGTATATTATTTATAAATCATTGGGTATTCGATCCTTTTATTTAAACGAATTATTGTACAAAAAATTTAAATGGCTTGATATATTTTGGTTTTCAACCAATAAGCATCATCAAAAATTGTACGTAAAATTAATGGACAAGTAAGAGTGAAAGTAATAGACATTTTTTCAATTTCTTTAACTTTCATATAAAAGCTAGATATTTTGCTCTGTCTAATCATTTATTATCTTCAAACCATATTAGAGCTAAATATATCTCGTATCATATTTGAAATTAATTGATTTTGTTATGGGGTCAGATCATTCAGGAAGTTAATCATTGTTATATTTGTTTACTATAAGCTAATGAAACTTATATTTCTGGTATTGAACAACTCTCAATTGAAATTAACATTCACTTTGTTAATGTTTCAAAAACTATAGAAGAAAAATAGTTGTGATATAGTTCATTAAAAAGTTTATTATGCAATTTATATACTTAAATATATTAATTAATATGTTGAAAACTATGATTTGGATATGAAAAACTACTTTTAAAACCATTTGGCTTATTGTGATTGTACTCGTAAATGAATTAAACACAGTTTCCTGTAATATTATACATGATATTAAATTAAATATGTATTATTTAAAATGTATTTAGCTCAACAAGAATCTTGTTAAAAATAAATAACATTCAAAGTATATAGATTATTATTCAGTCCGTAACTTTTGTCAAAATGTATGAATTATATTAAAAATAATCGAGGTAATTAACAATTAATTTTCTAAAACATTTTCAAAAGGTTTTAGAAATAGCTAAAAAAAATATATAAAAAAATTAAAGAACCAAAAATAACTTATCAGAAAAGAAAAATAAAATATGAAAATAATTCAGTTATTTGAATGTCTATTTTCCATATTTTATTCTCTAATTACCATGTTTTCCTGACAATTTTTAATTTACAACCTAACAGCGTTTTCAATAAGTCTTTTTCGTACTATTAATATAAAAAATTCACCATGAAAAACTTAAAAAAAAAAAAATTACTTAAAAATTAAAAATTACTTAGTATCAATTTTGCTGCTTTGATACTAAGTCAATTAAAACTTATATTTGTATGAAATGTCATCTATTGCTGCATTTAATACTACAATAGTTGTTAGCTATTTTTATCTTTACCTACTATATGTACTTTTGGACGCTTATTAAAAATAATTAGAACAAGGCTTTGTTGAATAATGTGTGAAAAATGGTTTAATAGTTTTAATATGATAAAAGTATATCGGGAAAGAGTTAACTTTAACCTAGACAAATGTATTAATTTTATCATTAGTAATTATAGAAGAAATCATTGAAACTTGAAATTTATACTTAATGTATAATAATAATTGTTATAAATTTATACTTGTCTTATATCGATCTTAAAATATATCCTAAGATAAAAGTTTTTAAGATTTAAAATTATCATTTGAAAAACTAATTTTGAGTAATTATATAATGTATCATATTATTATTGTTAATTGTCGACTGTAACTTGTTGAATAAAAATAATACATTCCTCGTTTCGCTCAGAATTTGAAATTATAGATAGCTAATTTTAGTATTGAAATATTATTTCGTTATTCCCATAATTGGTATATTCGTATGTTAATTATTATAGATAATTACATTTTGTTATTTGTTTTTAAATAATTATTTCTATAATAATATTTATGTAGGATATAGTTTGTGAATTATTTTTACCGTTTTCCTTTTTCAAATGTATATCAAAATATGTAATTGCTTTATTACTTAAAACACTAACACGGTGCTACATATTTTTATTTTTTTCAATAACATATTTGAATTACTTTAAATTTCCAATCAAATATCAGTTTTTCGAAGGTAATATTAAAAATACAATTATTATTCGAAGCCGCCTCTAGTAATGCCTTTCACGTGTGGAATGCTGTAAACCAGTAATTATAATCCAAAAACAATACATTGCTCATATAGATTAATGATACCGAATTCAGAGCTTAATTGACCTGTATCAAACAAACACGTACCGGACACACATGCATCACTAATATTATTTTATGTTTGATCGATTATGATATACCATACACAAATTACTGATGTTTTAGTGTGAATGTTTTTAGGTCATTGTAAAACAAATTTATATTTATAATTTTTTACAAGATATAACTATTGATTAATAAAATTATGTTAAAAAAGAAAAGAAGTTTTAACTTATTTATATACGTATTAGATTCTAAGGTGAAACGATGAATGTATTTTTTAATTGTAATTATTATTTAAAAATAAGTATACTATGTTTACCGTAAAACTTCTCATGCTTTACAATTATATCGATAATCCAAATATGAAAAAGACATTCGACCCTATGTAAATTATTTTTCTTTAAAACTCTTCATAAAGATTATTTACTTCTGTACCTATTTATATTTAACTAAATTAAAAAAAATATGAGTTATTTATAACAATAATAAAAATAATTGATTTTTAAAATAAAAAAAACCTTAAGTATAAATTGGTTTTTAAGTAGACTTTAATATTGTTCAATATATTCTTATCAACTAATAAAATTATTCGGTGTAGTTATTAATAGTATATTAAATATAATTAGTTTACCTATTGACTGTACTTGAAAATAATCTAATTTCATTTATTTTTATTTTTTTTAAATAATATAGATGTATTTACATATTAAATTATAATGAATTACTTATCATAAACGATTAAAACATTATTAACCAAACAAACAAATAAACCTATGATATTTTATCAAATAAGTTAGTAAAAACAATTTAAATTAGTTACATTACAACAGAAGTATTCTAAACTGTTTTTATAACTGAAATAAAAATTTCGTTAATATATATATTTGTGTGTGTGTGTGTGTGTGTGTGTGTGTGTGTGTGTGTGTGTGTGTAGAAAAATATAGTATAATAAATTCATAGTAGATAGGTACCTATTCTATTGAACATTGAACCACAATAATTTATCAACACTCAGATTGATGTACCGCATTTGTCACGCCTTCGTGCGGGCCTCGCAGTGGATGACGCTTGGAGAGGACAACGAACACTAACACATTAGTTCCGCAATATCCACTAACATCGCGTTAGTCAATATTTTCTTACATACCATATGTCAGTGTCACATTTTTCAGTATCATTTTCATAATGTTTATAGTACAGTTACAAATTTGTTGCAAAATTGTAAATTTTTTAATAAGTTTTATTAAAAATAGTAGAATTTAACCTGACCTTTGTGGTTTCAACCATTTATCAAAGTCATCTTTCCTCGGCATGAGGTCTTTGCCAGGTGTTCTACGACAGGTGTCCCTTTTACCTTTGCAGACAATCGGGCCCCGGACATTTTTTTATCGTATTGACCTAAAAATGAAATCGCTTCTGACATTCCAATATTACTACAATAAGTAATATATTTATCATAAGGAAATTATTGTTCAATAAAAATAGTTTAAAAATATCTTGGAATTTAAAGGTTATTTTTATTTTATAATTAACATAACAAAGTACTGTCGTGAGGATAATAATAATTTTTCGATCAACTAATAAAATAAAATCATCTTTTATATTTTGTTTGTAATATTATACAATTTATTATTTTCTTTGTGTAGTATGATTAATCTTGTTTTCACATTCTTAGAATGGTGAAAACTCCATTGAATGAGATAGAACATCGGGTACAACGTTCTTAAAATATAATTTTTTAATAATAATTTCTTTTGATCTTAACTATCAGAGAAGAATTATATTTTACCAGCCATTGAATCCTGAGATTGATCTTATTACAATCTGTATGGTTACTTATTTTATAATATTTGAATATCCCAGTATACCTTTTTATGAAAATAATTAAATATATAAAAATATCAAACGTATTTCAAATTCTGAAATATAATTAGAATAGACAAAAATAATACACTTATTTATAACTCGTAATAAAATTAAAATATACACTATTTATATTAAATATTGATAAGACATTCGACTATACATGTGGACTAATTTTGAAGTGTTGAAAGTATTTATCATATAATTAAAACTTGTTGCAATATTATTATTAAGTTACAGATAAAAACCAACAATAAAATGTTCTTTGAAAAGCTTTATAATATTGTCTATGTCTTATTATAAACAATATGAAGACTAATAATAGTATATGTGACTGCGTGGGTTGAACAGATTTTACATACCTATTAAATTGTTGGTTTCTGTCAATGATTTTAATTAACAGCTTTCTTTATCTACCTTGTACCAATTAAATGTATTAATTATATATATATATATATATATATATATATATATAATTAAATGTATTAATTATATATATATATATATATATGTATGTATGTATGTATAAATGTTCTTTCATAATCAGTATTAAAATAATGCTAGTTATATTTTATGATTTTAAATTGTTGATTAATTTTCTGTGTGAAATAAAAATGTAATATTTCATTAAAAATAGTTTTGAAAATTACATTTCGGGGCACATTAATATTTTAATTGGATACATAATATAATCGTTTTAATAAGTTTTTTTAAGATATAAGATAACCATTGTTGATTTATACATGATAACATTTTTATTTTTGATTAAAAATTAATAAACATTGTTAATTTTTTCCTACATATCTTTAATTAATATGAAACACAAACAAGTACTAACTTGTACTTACTATTTTCATTTAGTTATTAGAAGTAATTTTTTTAGATATTCTTTTTTTATTTATCAGATTTCATTAAAGTTACATTAATATAGTATATCAGGTAACTTTATTGGGGAGTGTATCTTTTAACAGAAACTGCGATGTTTCTTTTTTGAATTTTTAATCCATTTTTTTTATAAAATCAGTGATTTCTTTGGTAATTTGTTGTATTGTGATATATTTTATTGTATTTGGCTCTTCTCAATGTAAAATAATTTTTTTTCGACTATAATAATTATAATAAATTTGTAAATCAACTATCATAAGTCAACTATAATAACTATAAAAGAAGGACTAAACTTTTCTGTTAAAAAGTACGCCGTTGTATAGTATTTCTCCTTAGTGCAATTTATAGGCTCGTTAGTTATAAATACTTCTTAATTATTAATATAATTTTTAAAAAAAATAGCTTCTTCACACCCTATATATATATATATATATATAGCCTCATATGCTATTTATATTATTTAATTCAAGTATCTATGAAATATAAACAAAATACTATTCAAAACTAGATATTATAAATTTTGACTTTTAACATATTTTTACAACTTAAGACTTTTAAAAATATTCTAAAATGTACTCAATAATACTCAAAGAGGTTTATTTTTTATAAAATACCAAACAGTCATTAATATTTCTAATATACGAGTATACTTGTTGCATAATCAATAATTATCATATATTAACATGAAAACAATTTTTATACTAGATACATATTTCTTAAATACAGTCTTATATTTTGGCTTAAAATTTCATATTTTTATTTAATAGTACTCTTTATTTTATTTTAGATCCGATGAAGAGGATTCTAACCAGAAATATTCTAGAATGGAAGATGATAATATCCAAGATAAAGAAAGATTTGCCAGGTGAGTGTTAAATAAAATTGGCTATTTGATAGATTTAATTACATACCTAATTTTTTCAATAGTTAAGTATTATTCAATTTTATCATTCTTATGTTAAAATATAAATTTATAATTACATACAATGAACTTTTAAATATATGAACTCGAATGGCAACTAGTACAAATAACATAAAATATATTTTAAATATCTTACTACAATAAATGAAATAGTATTAAATTGTATTTGTATTTTATTTTTATATTGAACATTAAACATTTATAAAATATAATAATGATAAATATTTGAAGCTTAATCTGTAACTGTGTGAATCACAATATTTGGGTATTTAAATAAATTATCCATCTGTATTTATAAATGTAAAAATATACAATTTATTTACTTTTATAGTTAACACAATTAATTCATTTTGGTGAACTTAAGCTTTATCTCTTACCTTATGCAATGAAAAAAAGGATCGTTATCTCATCTTTAAGTTAATTTTGTTCGAGATTTTTCCAGCCAGTTTGTACCACATTTTATGACCGTGCGGTAGTAACGAAATTTAATTTTGTTGTACTTGTAACGAAAGAATAATAAAAGGAGTAAAAAACACTTGAAAATTAAAACCGTAAAAAAGAAAAGAAAAACGGAATAAAATTATTACTTGGCAAAACGAAAGAACTCTCTTATCTACCTTCCTCATCCCTTTAATACTGTAATTTTGTTGGATTCTTTTCTATCAATCATAATATATTAAAACCAGAAAGAGTATTTATTATTTACCTCTCAATTATTATTAGCCATCATATTTATTTATATTTATCATTGGTACTAATACTTTTTCTATATTCTACGTAAAAGAGAAACTATTTTTAGATTATATTTTATTATTGTTTGGGATATACTTAGAGAGGAAGGGATGCATTTTCACCAGGATTTATGGAAAGCTTTAAGATTCTATTGTGTTTCTGCAGAATCTAGTAGTTTTGACTTATAATAAATTATTGTGCTCGTATAGTCCTATACATTTTTATTATAAATTTTTTATATTACATTAATATTATTTTAGTAGTCATTGGTTAAACCAGTGGTTTTCAACCGGTGTGCTGCGAGCGCCCTTGAAGTGTGCCCCGATAAATTTATAAATTGTTTTATTAAAATATATTTACCTGATTACTATCGATATTTGATAAAAACTGATCGAACTAATCGTAGATACGTATACTCGTAATATTATTTATTGTAAGTATGCCCGTCGCAACCGTCTCGATCGATCGATTGTATAATATATTTCGCAATAAATAACCCTCTAATAGAATAGTCTATAAATAGTGTACATATATATAAAATATGTTTTACATAATTTATGAATTGGTGTGCCGCGAAAATTTTTTTGGAGATGAAGTGTGCTGCATTGTTAAAAAAGTTGAAAACCACTGGGTTAAACTTTTAGCTACAAGTTTAAAAATGTCAAGTCGAAGATCATTATTCGAAATCTATTAAATAATATTGAAAAAAAAATCTAAGAAAGTCCATTATTTATAAACAAATAATTATTTTATTTTTATTTTTGTTATAACCACAGTATTAAATATAACTATTTAATTGAGTACAGATTTTAAGTGTTATTCAAGATTCTGAATTGCGTACAATATTTGAGTGAATACGCTCTAAATTAACTATCGCATTTTTCTTTAAGAAGATAAAACTTTTATTAAATAATAAATAAATAAATACAAGTAATTAATATTATTCCTTAAATTTATTTTAAATTTCCTACATATCAATATTAGTCATTGATCTAAGTAACAGAAATATAATGACGTGTCACTACAATATCTGTATTGTTATTTTGTCACATGATTTGCATTGTAAATTTTACCCAATTAAACAGAAGAAACATAACGCATATTTTACAGAAATTCTATTGCATGTGTAAAATAACGTAAATTTTTTTTAGAAAAATGTTCAAGGCTGAAAATAATTGAACTATTATTAACTAAGCTATATTGTATTTTATTTATTTACCAAATTTTTTTTATAAATATAAACAAGTGAACTATCATCATTTTTCACATTATGATGTATAATATAGAATTCTCTTAAAAAAATTTAAAAAATTGTTAATGTGACATCATTAGCTAAGATAAATAAATTTGTATCAAGTAAACTGTATTGATAAATTAATACAGTTGATGTTTGATGATGAATGGTATTACATAAATTAAAAAACAGTCTTAATTTTACACCAAATAAAAAAAATTATGGTTAAATATTATTTTTTCTTAATCATTACTTAAGTGTATGTTCATAATTTTAAATAACTACAACTGTAGTATATTTATAGTGTATTAAACTTAAAACACTATAAATATACCAACTAGGCCATTTACTTATTATATTAATCTTTTATATCCTATACATTGATCTAGATTCCAAAATCCAATTATTATTAGTTAATACAATTGAATGTTGTTTATAAAACAACAATCAAATCAACACTTTTTTTACTCAAATTTACTCAACTATTTTAAATTAATTAATCTCAGTGGTACTATAATTATTTTATATTAAATATAAGATATACTGTGCAATTGTAATATTTAGATTAAATAGTATTGATGTCAATAATAATCGAATTTCTTTGTTATTTTGACAATCCAGTTATTCGAATTAGGATAATATATTAATAGAAAAAAAAAAGTGGGTTAAAATCTCTCAAGAAACTTAGATTAGGTTAAACATAGAAAAGACTACTGGAGGTGGATTTGAATACATAAATGTAATATTGTAAATTCTACATAGAGTTGTTTTCTTATTAATTATTTACTATTAAAAAATTTTGATAAATTATGGGTAAAATTTTATTTTTTCTATTCATGTTAAATTTTTTTTTTTTTTATTAAAGTAAGGGATTTGCTGCATTGATAAGCAACCTCTATACCCCGTGCATAATATAATAATTTATAAGTATTCTATTACATATGTTCTGATGGATTTAGTTATAAGATAACTAATAAGGATTTTGAAATGTATTCAAAATCATTTTATCTCTTAGAATGAAAACAGAACTTATTTATTTTAAAATTGACTCAATCAATATTTACAAAACTCTTGGCAAAACAATGAAAATTTGGAAGTCATTTTTTTCTAAATTTCAAGTTGATATACATATTGAAAAATTTGTATACCAATAACTCGTTTGAAATAGAATACATTTGCTGAATTACTTAGTTATGCGATACGTATATAATGAAATAAATTCATGGCATTTCTCTAATACTTAAAAATAAGATAGTATAATTCCTTTTTCTTCGTGATTTTTCTGTAAAATGTTCAAACCCATAAAAGTTAAGTACGAAAGTCAAACGTATCAAATTATACCACGTTTTTTAACTTGAGTTTGAAAATGTCTGATTTGTTAGAATTGCCTCATAACTTATATATTTTGTTTAAAATTTGTATTTACTCATTTTATGTAATCAATGTTATTTTTTTATACAGTGTATTATAAATACATTATATTTAAACTAAATATAATAGATAAACTCCTTACAAAGCTAAGAATTTTCAAAATATATACATTTTAAAATCATAAATTTTAATGATTAATATTTTTGAAGAATGATATAACTCATAATATTATTTTATTTCAAATTACCTTATTTAAACTAAACAATTTAAAAAATCAATGGCTAAATATATTGAGGATACTTCATACTTTATAAAAAAAATTAATTGCTCATAAAAATACTGCATAATCATTGAAAAATGAACTAAAAATCTGTTGTTTTTTATAATTAACAATTGATCATTAATGACTGTATTTGTGTTAATAATGTGCATGTTTAACTTCAGTTTCATACAATAAATAACAGTATGCATGACCTAGCCTAGGGGGTGTGAGAGATGCATGTGCACCGGGCGTCATCATAACCATTGCACTGGGGCGTCAAAAGCTTTTTCAAAATCTAAGTAGTATTATTGTAAGTTAACCATATTATTTAATTTATAATACAGTATAACCCGTTTAAGACGCTTTTGCTTAAGACAATTTCCCGGCTAATACGCTCATTTTTAAGAGTCTCTTGATTTTGACATCATTTTGTTCCCCCGTAATATCATTTCCCGCTTAAGACGCTATTTGTAACTGGTCCCTTGGAGAGCGTCTTAACGAATTCTACTATATTTACTATATCAACGCCATGGTATCGATGCGTAGTCAGCATAATTAACATTGTTGATCGGCGATGTTGGTAGTTTATTTTTAGTATTGGTATTTATTTTTCCCTTAAATTATGACGCCTTCGATTACAAATTAACAATAATATAAAGGTTATAAAAGTAGATACGCACTATTAACACGCCACGCCGTGATAATACGTGTTATATGATACTGTGCACATTATATACAATGCGAGGGATAACACGTATAATAAAATATATAAAATGTATGCTTTCCTAACGTTTTGGTCTTTAGTCCGAAGAAAAAACATCATCAAATTTTCTTTATTTTAAGAAGACATTTTAAAATTCACAAATTAGTGAGGAAGAATAAAATACAAAATATATAAACATATATATTAATATTATATAATTATATAATTAATTTATGTCATATTTTAATGTACTTAAATCAGTGGGAATGATAAATGACAAATGATGTAGTTAACTTTGTTGTTCTTCACACGTCACACGTTTTTCAAAATTGTTTAAAACGCGTGGCGTGGAATTGAGTGGGAATAAATATGATCACAAAACTGATTAAAAATGCTTAAAAATTGATAGGTTAACAAGCGGTTTATAATTTGCGGCGTGTTAACTCGTGGCGTGTGAATAGTGTGTCTTAACATGTACCTTAACATGTATACTCTATTATTGTTACTTGATATTATTAATTTCATAACATTAATAACATAAATTAATGTCGACTTGAACGAGTTGTACGGTTTTATTTTGAACCCATCTAATAGATGGCATCTTTGATAGTGTTTACATCATAGTTCATAAACGCAGAAATTGCACCTAATTATTTTTCATCGGCTATTATTTAAAGTTAAGTTGTTTTTTGTGCAACCAATAAATTCGATTTGTAAATAAATTATACCGGTTTAGTATGATAGGTTATTATTTATATGTTGTGTTCTTCCTATACAGTTTGAGCTATATTTCTTATATTGTTCTTTAGTTGTTGATTATTTCTTTTATTCATTTAGTAGTAGTTATATATAAATTACATAGATTATTCTTATGTAGGGGGTGGGGGCGTTAAAAATGATTCTTTGCACTGGTCGCTAATTTTACTAGGCACGGCACTGACAGTATGTTAAATAATATTCTTCTTAAAATATCAGTTTTCTTAGCAATGCAAACTTAAACATTTTGTATATTATGTTTAGTCTTTTAAGGCACTTTTGCACAAAACTCCAACAAGAAGGTTAATTCGTTATATTATTCGAGAACGGAGACTGCTAATAAAGACGTGATTGTACACGTGCACACCCAAAACTTTTCCTCCTCACCGCCTACTTCTGCTACAGTATTCATTAAAAACAGCCCCAAGTTTATTCGTTGAACTTCCTCCGAGTTTATATACAAACATACATGTGTATATGCATGCGGAGGGTGCACGATTTGTGAAAGTATCTCTTGAAATTATTATTCAACTTTCGTAATAATTTCGCAGTCATTAACAATTTTCTATTCTACCACCCACCCTTCCGTATTGACTATATTAAATAAATATTGTCCACTTACGTATGTATGCGTATATGTTTATATTTTCAATATTTCTAACCGAAACACATTAGAACAAGAAAAACCGGAGCGCCAATTCAAGAGTACAGTTTAGAGAGGAGAGTTGAGTGACCCCCGTGGCGAACTATACAACAAGGCACATGCCTACACACACACACACACACACACACACACACACATACAACTACACACTCACATACAACAGTTAATATAAGCTGCTTGTGCATATAGCCGTGAGAATAAGGCGCGCATCCCGCCCGTCGCACGCCGCCTACCGGATGCTTGTCACGATTTTCCTGGGCGAGATCATCGCGCAACAGCCACCCCACTCCCACACCCATCATAGGTTGGCGGCCGCCGCTTCAACGATATGATATTATTATATAAATAACCTTTCACCGTGATACACACTCACACACGTACAGGCGCGCGCCACTATCACACACACACACTTGACCACGCTCGCGATGTCTTGGGGTATACGCGAAAACTGTAATAAACGGGTACTCGGGGTAGATAATACGCACACAGTGTTATCACTGAACGGATATCTGTGCTATACGCACTCATGCATGTTGTTTCTCCTTATTTGCATTAAATTTATTACACACATGTGATAAATATATAGATGAATCTAATTTTGAGAAATAAAAGTCATATTATTCAAATTCAAAATGTGATGAGAGAAATGTGTTCGTTACATTTTTTACAACTTAGTTTATTAATAATTACTTTCTTGAAGATGACCTATAGATGTATAATACATATTCATTTTAAGGATATAACTTCTTTATGGGTAACCATGTAAAATATGTTGCAAATCACTACAATTGATAATAAACTAAGATCAGTTAATAATTTATGAGAGTATATTTATGTTTATTGTATACACGTATAATGTACTATAATATTACATATTATGTATTGTTATATTAAAATAATAGATAATTCGTATGATGATAATAAACACAAAAAGAAGTTTCTAAATTATAAGTTACTAAAACAATATGTCAGTATTTTTATCAGCTAAAATAAATAACAACAAAAAAAATACAATATTTACCACTTACTCATTGTCTTGCGTGCCAAGTTAAAAACAATATTTTAAATTTACCAATCGTTGATATTTTTTAAGTATTAGCATTTGAAATAATAATAAAGTAACCCTTCTAACATTCATTTTTACAATAAGCTAATTACATAAATGCATGTTTACATATTTCAACTTTATTTGTTATCTCATTTATCTCAAGATTAAATGTTCTTTCCGTATTTTTTGCACGTATACATTTCTTATATTATGTGTTTAAATTACAATATGATACTAAATTAATCAAAAATGTAGTGGGTAATCTAGTTTATTAATACAACCTATTTTTATTTTTAACAATATTACCATGTCTCATTTATTTCGTTATTCATAATATAAACTGATATATTTTACAGAAGTTATAAGTTTTAAACGATAACATATAACAATATTGTTAAATTTAAAACCATTTTCTAACTTTTTTTTTTCAATAATTACTTTAAAAAACAACTTTAAGGAATACAACAATATATGCATAACTTCATAGATAACTGTAACTTCAAAGATAAATTAACATAACGTTGCTAATGATTAATAATAATGATGAAACAGAACTACTCAATTCTAAAAATACATTGGTTATTCAACGTTTCATATAAGTTTATTTTAATTAAATATAAATTATTTATTTAATTTATTTCTAATTAGTCTTACAATTTTAAATCGCTTAATTTTATGCCAATTTACATTATTTTTCTAGCATGTATCGATAAATAACTGTAATATATTATATAAACCTAAATTATTTATCAAACCCTCAATATTTTGATTATATATAAGCTATATATTTTGATATATATTTTGATTGCATTATATTATATACATATTATATAGAAAAACTCGTGGAGAGACCAAAGGAATTGTTAAAGATAATATCAAATTTTGATTTAACCTCTTATTTTTTATATTTATTTAAATCTATTTAATATAATATTATATGGGTTTTAAAATCATATAATCAACTACTTTTATTTATGCTAAGATATTGATCGAGTTTTCAATCAATTTCACATTTTATTTTATAAATAGTGAGTGAACCTTCCGTTACTGCTTGTTCGAATGTTTTAGGTATCCATTACGTATGTTGCACGTTTTAATATTTTTTTTCTTTTCTCGTGCACACTTATTTTTATCGTTTTGGTTTGGTTACTTTAGAATGTTACTAGTAACTTAATAACGTCATACGTCTGATAACGGTTCTCAATTAGATGCCCAGAAAGTTAGATATACTTTGAACCGTACAGGGATTAGTGACACCTTTTTTTTAAAATAAAAGCTTTAAAATTGAATATAACTTTTTTGTAAAGTATGTATAATATAACAACTTATAATAATAACTTATGTTGGAACAATTATTTTTATTAAATAGTATTTTTTTATTATCTTATAAAATACCTAACTTATCTTTTTCTAATATTATGAAATCCTATCTATACATGATTTATATTATTAAAAAAAAAATGTGATTCTTATTAGGCATGTCGAATATTGTAATATCTATAAAAATAATAAAATATATCGTTTAGGTATACAATGAACTTTGATTTAATCTATTCTCGATAATTGTAAATTATTGTCGTTTTCATTTTAACACTTAATTAAAATGTCCAATTATGAAACTAGCTCATGCACAGACAATTTATACCATATTAAATATTAAAACTTAAATATTTATAGTAAAATATATTGAGCCTATTGAAAAATTAACATCAATCCATAGGTTGACTGTATAAGAATACATTTATTATTTTGATTCGGTTACAATATTATTTTAATTCATTTACATTTCAGCTATTGCAGAACAAGAGTCATTCATAACAATTTTATAAATTTAAATGTAAAATTATCAAATATATAATAAAATTACTGTTACCAATGTACCTACACTATTAAATATTCTATTTTGATTCTTTAACTATGGATTTCAATTTTAAAAAATAAATACATTCAAAAAACATTCATTATTTTTGGCCAAGCCGAATGTTATCACAATTTTTAAAGTTGTTCAAATCTAAACTTTCGAATTTCAGATTCTGGATTAAGTAAGAAATATACTAATTAAATAGTGATATTTATGCACTCATATTTATATATTTCTGTGATCAAACTTTTGGTTAGATAATAAATCTGCACCGAAATGTCTATAAAAAAAACTTATAAGATCAGAAATGTTTCTTGGGAGGTATTTTCAATCTTCTCAAAATACTTTGTAAATATCCATATTACAACAACTTTTGTTAACCATTTTTTTTTTTAGTTCAAAGAATAATATAATATATACCGAAGATCAAAAATTAATATTAAATACTAATTTAGGCCATAATGATAGGATGAGATCCCAATGCCCCAGGTGCAATTCCTGGATGGGCGCAAAAATGAAAAATTTCAATATTATGTTAAAAATTTCAACGGTCAGTGTTGTATATTTTATTTGCAAAAACTTCAATGTCCTAATAATAACTGTTGAAAATAATATCTCATAATAATAGTACTTTTAAATTAAAAATGCTTGAGGGCACATTTTGAAGTTTCGTTCCTGGCACAATATTTTGTTGTTATGGTACTGATAATAATAGATAATAGACGAAACCCATAAGTCAATTACGATTAATTGTTTTCCTTCATATGCTACGTAATATATACGGCTGTCCAACAATAGTAATCGACGTTCTATTATAAATATAATGATTTATATTTTTAGTAACTTCTAAATGTTGAAAAAAATAAAAAAAAACTATAGTATTAAGTATTAGTATTAAAAAAATAAAAAAAAAACTATAGTATTAAGAACATGTTTTAGGCGATTTATGTATATCTTGCGATTTTTTTTCCATGTGAAATCACTGTAGGGAGAATCATTGCGAAATCGAAAGGCGGCGGCGGAACAAGATGACAGCGTATATCACTGAACTTTCAGATATGGTGCCGGCATGTCAATCTTTAGCTCGGAAACCAGACAAACTCACCATTCTTCGAATGGCAGTTAACCATATGAAAAGTCTTAGGGGTATGTATTCAAAATATAAAATTATATGAATTTAAACAAAAATATATTTATAATTATTTGTACAATAAAAAAGCAATTAGAAAAATACATTTTAAAATTTATCTTTAAGGAACTCTTTTGGCAAATAAACCTTGATTACTAGTTCCCCTCTCCCCCGTACAAGTTGTGTTGTATGATAAGTATAAATAGGAGTTATATGCACTAAAAATGTGAAAAATATGATGCAAATATACAAAGCTAAAGGGTCGAAATATGCATTAATATGGACAAATAATTGAAAAATATACTCAAATCATAAATGTATATTACTTTATACTTTTATATAATCAACAAAATATTGAAATAAAAAAAAAAAACCATAATTTTATATTTTTAAAACAATTTAAAAAAATAAAACTTAACACAATTATATAGAAGTGTTGTACCTTTTGACATCTAAATATTAATAATCAAATTATTTAAATTTAAAAAAATCATCATTACAATATATAAATAAATATATTTATGTGATAGTGATACACTGATACATGAAATGTTGCGAATTAATATCAGTATATCACTATTAATACTTTTCAAATTTATAGTGTAGCCAATAAATTAATGCTAAAATTGACAAAACTTAAAGTAATTTAATTTGTCAGAAAACAGTTTATTGACACTATCGAACTCTATAAGATAAAACAATACCATATGATGACAGTAATTTTTTTCGTCTGTAATTAAAAATTCAAATTTTTCAAAATAAAAACAAGAAAAAATTGAATTATTTACTTAGACTGTAAAAATATGCACATTATATGCATTTACGAAAAAAATTGATCTCTGTTAGGTCTGAACCGGCGGCATTTCAAACCCTCGTATAAGTGCTTACAATCAGTATGAACATGCAAACGCATACAATTTCGATCTCTCTTATCATTTAATTAGTATCAAAAAATATCAAGTATCAATTGGGGGGTCTGTTTATTCGCCACGAATTAAGATATACTTAGTCATATATATTGGATACTCAAAGACCGATGATAATAAAAATTTAAACCGACTTTTTAATTGCAAATGTCTTACAGCGCTGCGAGTAGATAAAATTAACATTTAATGATAAAATATATCAGTAATTAATAAGAACATACAACTATATAAACTATTCAGAAATAATATTATTTTGAATCCAGAAAAAAATTATTTTAGATTCAAAAAATAAAAAAATCTTAACGATGTATTATTTTATAAAATTATAAACAATTTTTTTTGTAAATAAATTGATGTCTATCTACTTGTATAAATTGTCACTAATATGATAACAAGCACTAAATGTACTTTTCAACAGTTATTTTGGTGAGTCACTTTGATTTCTTCTAGCGTAATTGTTAATATAGACTCGTTATATCAGACCAGTATATCTTAATTCTTGCTACTCGCAATCGATTAGAGCACCACATTATCATTTAGTTGTTATTACTCAAAATGTATTATCTAAGTATATAAATAATACTCATAGATTTATAATTAAAAAACGAAATCTATAAATTTAAATTAGAAATTCTACATTAAACAAAGTAAAGTTATTGATTCATATTACGAAGTTTATAACATTAACGAACTATTAAATCTAAATATATAATTATTTTGAAACCACCTGTATGAAATGTTTCCAATGTTTGTTCAATTTTATAGTTTATGTTCTATTGCGGACTAAATAATATTAATGGGATATTTAGTTATTATTATATATACATATTTCTTTTTGTCCCCAACTTATATAAACTAATATTTTTTTTTAAAAAAGTTTTAGAAAAATCATCCATAGTTAATAAAACTTCCACTCAAGGGGAAACAAATGATTTTAAATCATTCTCGAGAAATTTATTGGAATTAGGTTCCCAAAAAAATTTAGTTTTGTTGTAGCCAAATCAATAATCAATAAACTATGCAGGTAATTAATATAAAAATGTGTATATTTGTAAATAGCGGTTAAAATCATTTAAAAATATGAAATACTAACAATAAATTATGCCGAAAAAATTGTGAGTACATGTTTTCACTTGAACATGGAGAATTGCCAATTCAATTCATGAGCTGTCCCTTTTAATTAAACTGCATGTTTATTATGAATGTATAAATGGACCTCATCGTAAATCCAAAGAAAATTATACAAATTGAATAGTACTACTAATAAGTTTCTTCAGTAAAATTATTGAAACTTAAAAATATTACTTAACATATATTTTTTACTATATTGAAATAAAGTAATAACAACAAAGTGATAACGTGGTGCTCTATCGACTGCCAATAGACAGACTTAATTGGATGTAATTCGTATTTGAACAATTGTGGACAAGGGTTAGTATAGATTTCTTACCTTGGAAAGGTAGTCCTGCTCGGCCTCGATAGCACTTTGCTAATTACATTAAATTTATACTAGAATGTTAAATATATTTTACACTATAATAATAATTATCCATTCAAGTCTTTTAGAGATTTTATTACAAATATTTGAATTACAATGATTCATTAACATTAATTTAATATAAATTTAATTTATTTCTCAAAAATGCATCATTATTTATTTTCAGTATTATATTTGTTTAAATTTTTTAAAAAAATTGTAGGTATTAAAATATTACTTTATTTATTTTTACATGTATTTATTTAATTTTCAAATTATTTATAGGAAGTATCATATTACTCTTATATATATATATATATATATATGTCATATCTCTACTTCTACCCTTCTATATGATAACCCTCTGAAAGGGCGCGTGAGAACTCGCAAATTTATCTTGGACGTGAATGCTTTGTCGCAGGATGCGTGTTTCCTTTTTAATGTATTTCCTTCCGCAGGACATTGTATGTGTGCTTTATCATAATCTATCTAATACCCCGAATCACGACGAAGACCGCCATGAATTACATTATGAAACATCTTCATTTTTCTTTTTCTCTGTACTTAAATTATTTTTCCCTTTCCTTTGATTCCTATTTCCTATTATATATATACATGCATATTAATTTCTAGAAAAAAATATTATCACCTTAGTAAAAACAAAAATTATGTTATTGTACCCGAATAGTTTACTTATGTCTTGTTGGCAGTTTTTTATTTCATCAACGTAAATCGTCACGGTGATATGACATACAAGTAATAAAATAAACTGTTGACTTTGCAAACTTAAGTTAACTTAGTTAATGTATTATTTAGTCTCCGATAACTAAACTGATATATTAAAAGTAATTTACGGTTATATATATTTTAAACGATTGTTTTATTCGAGATTCATTGCTTTACAAACTTATAAATCGATTTATGTCTTCATTGTGAACTACCGTTAATATTCAAGTACACATTTAACTCTTATGTAATATAATAATTATTTTTCTTGTATCAGTTTGTGGAAATAATGCAGTGGACATAACTATTATAAGTAGTTGCTATAAAATCATTTTGTATTTACTGATCTTGTTTATCTTCGCTTTATTATGGTCAATGATTATTTTTCACTCAATACCTTGAATGGATTGAATTTTCTTTTTTTCTTTGCCATCGTTTTTAATATAATAACGGGGATCTGCCTCAAATACTGAGTAGGTACAAAACCAATTGTATTCAAATATACGAACAGTATGCGGATGACGAGAATGAGTATTGTCGCATTATAGGTGGAATACGTTTGTTTGGAACCCGGTCAAGTCAAAGCCAGTTATTATAATAATATATTATTATTATGACTATTATTACTATTATGCTAGAAATAATGTATAATAATAATATTTAATATTCACCTGGTTAAGCGTTATGTCTGCCCGCTGGCGGCATAACTCCATTGTTTATTGTCACGTTCATTGTCAATTTCCTGTTTCACCCTTCGGTTTTTGACGTACTTTTATTTTATTTTATGGGCGAGATGTGAATGATAAATTTTTTTCTATTGCGCATTGCCAATTTTAAGTCTGATTTAAAAAAATAAAACTTAAGATTTAATTTATATTATGTTTAGAAATCAAAATTTTTAATAATATTGAAATATTTATATTAATATATTAATGTATAATATAAATATTTTTTTTTTTTTTTTTTTAATCTTAAATTTAACTCGACAACATAGGCCATTAGTTACATTTTAATTTACATTTTTTTTTTTTTATATATATATATATATTGAGTTGTATAAATTACATTTTTTTAAGAATACTAAGACTTGGTTGATGGTGTGTGTGTGTATCCTATTCTAATTCTGCGTCTAGAGTGTTGAGGATGTTGAGAATTTTTAGTTTATCTATGTACTGGAGGCGTTCTATGAAAATATGGTTAATTGTGAGTTCAGTTCCGCATGTATTACATCTGGGTTGTTTTTCTGCTGCCATGATGTATCCGTGTGTTAATTTAGTATGTCCTATGCGAAGTCTATTTATAATTACTTCAAATACGGATTGGGTCAAATTTCAATGTATTATTAATTAAAACTAATATAATAAATATATACTATATTTTCTACATATAGTATTATATAGCATTCAAATAAAATATTAAAATTTTATAATGAATAAATAATTATGTAATTTTACAAAAAAAAAAAGTATTAATTTATTTTTTGATTAACAAATTTATTATTTTTGATTGATCGGTTTTGTTTTTAGCTATTTGATTATTTAGATTTTTAGTGTATTAAAAACTTATAAAATGCAAAAATGTGCCTTAGACTGTTTTACTTGCTTGATAATAGTTTTCCAACATTTCATCTAGATTTTGATATGAAAATTACAGGGACTGGTAACACAAACAATGACGGCACATACAAACCTAGCTTTTTGACGGATCAAGAATTAAAGCACTTAATACTGGAAGCTGCCGATGGTTTTCTATTTGTTGTCACATGTGATACTGGTAGAGTTATTTACGTTTCTGACTCAGTTGCGCCAGTATTAAATTACTCTCAAGTATGAATTTATCGTTTTTATCTTTAAGCATTTTAATAAAATATTATTACTAATAATTATTGTAGACTGACTGGTTAGGCACGAGTATGTTTGACCACTTACATCTAGAAGATGTAGAAAAAGTGCGAGAACAGCTATCTACGCAAGAACCTCAAAATTCAGGGCGTATATTAGATTTGAAAACAGGCACCGTGAAAAAAGAAGGTCATCAATGTATGCCAAAAATATTAGTCAATTAGTAGTATATAAAAAATCATGCTTACATATTTTCATACTATAGCTTCAATGAGACTGTGTATGGGTTCTCGTCGTGGATTCATATGCCGAATGAAAATCGGTAATAGTGGTGGTATGATGGCTAGTATATCAGGGCATAATCTACATCAACGCCTCAAACAACGTAATACATTAGGACCAACGCGTGATGGCAATGAATTCGCTGTTATCCACTGCACTGGCTACATAAAGAACTGGCCTCCAACCGGTCAGTTTGATCATCCATTATCTGGTATGATGTCGATCTGTCGTCTTATCACCTCGATGACACTTACCGTTTATAATCATAAACTCTCATCTATATAGTTTGTGATTTAATCTTAACGTGTTATTTATTTAGGAGTCCAAATTGAACGAGCTGTTGAAGAAGATGGCACCCACTGTTGCTTGGTTGCTATTGGACGACTACAAGTTACTTCCATACCAAACACTACTGATTTAGCGGGATCTAGTAATGCTGGTATAACACTTTATACATTAATATTTTAATATACCTAGTATTTAATACAAAATATTTTTCTAGAATTTATATCAAGACATTCTATGGATGGTAAATTTACATTTGTTGACCAACGTGTAATACATATACTTGGATATAAGCCACAAGATCTTTTAAGCAATTCATGTTACGAGTTCTTTCATCCTGAAGACCAAACACACATGAAAGAGAGTTTTGAACAAGGTTAAATTTTATTTTAAAAACAATCATTTTTGTTTTTACATAATAACAATTATTGTTAGAATTTAATAATTTATTTTATAATTTCACAGTTTTAAAAATGAAAGGCCAAATGATGTCTGTGATGTATCGATTTCGAGGTAAAAATCATGACTGGATTTGGCTGAGAACAAATGCTTTTGCTTTCTTAAATCCATATACTGATGATATTGAATATATTGTGTGCACCAATTCAACTGCTAAGTAAGTTTTATTTAATCTAATTAATATATTATTAAATCATAACTTTTTATTTTGTATTACAATAGATCTTCAATGCATTCTCCGTCAGAAAGTGGAGTCAATATCAGCAATCCGTCCACTGAATCTGTTTACCAACAACAAGCACCTGGTTTAGATTATACAGTTCAAAGAAGGGATCATGTTGCGGCACCACCTTATCAAGCACATGCAATGATCACTGCTGCTCCAACACCAAATCAACATATGATACGTAAGTAATTTCATATCATTTTTTTTTTTTTTTTTTTAACAATCTTAATAATTTTTTTGTATAGCCAATAACACTGCGCAAAGACCAAATAGCACTCAAAATGTTTTTAACACTTATGAAACAAATGCGTCACCCATTAGCTACCACTCGCCTAATCAAGGGACTCAAAGCCAAGTGCAATCCCCATTAATCAATCGTCTTACGAAGTCAAGTCCAACGCCTGCACAAACTGCATGGACATTGCGTCAAGTAAAAAATATAACAGAATTTTCCTCGTAACATTTTTTTTTTTTAGTTATTAGATAATAATTCAATAAATTTATTTGTTTAGCCGGTCACTGAAGGTTATCAATACAGTCAAGAAATGAGTCCGTCCCGTTCACCATCAGGTCCAACATATACACAATTAAGTGGAGGCGCTAGGCAGACAACCTATCACAACCCATCCCCAGCCACTGCATCTCCTGGTAAAATTTAATTTATATTTTAAGAGAGTCCCATAAATTATAGACTTTTTATCAGCCAATAATTTAGCTGGGTTGGGCTGCTAATCCACACACTGAACTAATTAAATAGTCTTATTGGTGATGACTACATAGACCTGCCTACAGTCGGTCAATTACTCTTGACAATTTTGCTAGTTTGGTACGTTTCAAGAAATAATGACATACAGTGCCTTCCCATATCAATTTGAATCTATCGATTGATTCGGTCATCTTATGAATTGATATGTGTGCAAGTGGGAAAAAAGCGTCATACAAGGGCGATCTACAGTTAAAGAACTATGGATGAAGAGACCACTATTAGGGCTGAAATTGGATTATAAATGTATACCTTGTAACAAAAAAACAACTTTATCATATAATATTTGTTTTTGAGTTAATTTATAATTATCATTGAAAATATTAACGTTTGTTCTAATCTAGTATTAATTTCAACCTATAGTTGACACATTTAAGAAATGTAAGAAATCATTAAGAATCAAATTTTATTAATAAATATTAACTATGGATCAGCTGACCTGAACACCTGCCCTCCCCTAAACTTACCCCTAGAATCATACTGTATAAGCAGTCAAGCAATTTCAAATTGTTATAATGTGCGCTCTTCATAATAATAATAATAATAAGCCGACTAAACTGTAGGTCTATTATAAAAAGTCTGTAGGTAGCAGGTTAGGCTCTCTAATGCATTAACTTTTTAGTGTAGTTATACTTTTAATTCTTGGTACACATTTAATCATTTATTTAATAATAAATGTATTGCTATTTCTATTGTAAATAAAAATGTTCTAAATTGTATACTTGAAATTGGTTTAATTCCTTTAAGGAATGTGGGGTTGGCAAGCTGGAGCAACTGGAGCCACTGCTGTAGCAAACAATGTACCACCACATCCGCACAGTGGCCACCCGCAAGAACTGTCTGATATGATGATGCAAATGCTTGATCAAAGTGCAGCTGCTGCTTCATTTGAAGACCTGAACATGTTCAACACAAATTTTGAATAAGTCTTATCATAAAATAGTGTTTATAATTTGTATTTGAAATTTAATTAATGAAGCAATCTCACAAATTACCCGAATGTGTGCTATAAATAAAATGATCAATACCATCCATCAACATGTTATTAGTACTAGTCTATAGTTCTATTATATACTAGAAACTTTAATCATGATTTACATGTCTTATTCAATAACTGTTGTTGTTTTATTTATACGGATTCTTTGATTTCTGTATAAAGATAATTAGAATCTCATATCAAGTTTATTTGTATTAATAGATATAGTACTATGTCTCTTTATAACAAATAATATTTAGTTTATTAAACTAATATTTTTCAAAATTTATCAAATGATAATATAATACTGGTTTTATTTTAATTTTTGAACATTCAAAACATATTGCTTTTTACTTAATGCCAAATTATTATTTTATTATAGTGTTATCACCAACCATCATTAAAATTACAACCTCTATGCTACCTCCGTCGTATTCTTCAAAATGAAGTTTGCACATAGGTTAGCTCAGTGCCATAAAAACGAATAAAGAATTAGAATATTTTCAATTTATTAAAAATTTTAGTTTATTTAAATACTTTTTTTACCCTTTAATTGTATTAAATAGGAATTAATTATGTATTTATTCACATATTGACACATATCATTTTCAAAATGTCAAATTCTTCCGTAATTGTAACTTTATGTTTTGTCAAAACTGAATGAACTAAATCAATTTTTTTGAATGCTCTCAATTAAATTTGTAGTTGACTTTAATATAAATATATATATTTTATAATTATGCTATGAAATTTAAATAACATAAAAAATATCAGTGGTCAACTTCAAATAATAATAATCCCATGAAAACATTTTCTATTGTCCACATCATGTATACACAAATTGTATATATTGTAAGTTTAATATTATTATTTACTTAATACTGATATAAGTGTGTGAAATTTTTATAATTTAAATATAAATATTTCTAATTTATTTATTATTTTATCAAATCTAAAATAATACTATTTTATACAAAAATAAATGTATACAAATAAACATTTTTTCATAAATGGAATTATGTATAAAAAATTAATGATGATAATATTATATTATTTTAATTAACCACTACTTTCACTCTTATATCACTGCTACAAATTTTTCCATTTTTCTCTTTTGCGCAGTTAATCTAAAAAAATATAATTTGTAAATATGTATGACACTTTGTTTTAAGTTTATACATAATTTTTATTGTACATTATAATATAACAGTTTAATAGAAGTATTGTATAATTATATGAAATATATTTAGAGGTTTTTTTTTTAATAATCAAACTGTGAAGTTTTATTTATTTATTTTTTTAAACTATCTGTAACAATGTTAGAGTATTATGTTTTTATTTTGTATCCTGTGTATGAAAAATGACACTCCTAGATACCCTTTTTTTCAATAATTTATACTAATTTGTGTGTCTTAGTATGATAAAGCCCATTCAATTATTAGTTAAAATTCATGTTACAACTAATATTAATTCCATCATTAATTGTACTAATACAAACATATAAAGTATGCAATTGTTTTCTAAAATTTAAAAGAATTGAATACAAACTCATATATAGGGAACGGATTTATATGTAAATACATATTTTTATTAAAACAAGATATTTAAGATTCGATAAGTAATGTTCATGAATTAAATCATTCGTATTAATATGATGCTACTTTTATTTTACATATTTTTACATATTTCACTAATTAATAAATATTTTTAAACATATTTTATCATTTCATCATTCATAAATCTTCTTTGTATAAAAGTACAAGAAATTATTTCAAATTTAGATCCAGTTACTTCTAAGCTCAAAATATTATGCAAAATTAAACATTAAAAACTAATTTTATTTTCATCTCAGTGAATTTTAGTTTTATTGCACATACATTTACAAAATAAGAAACAGAAATATGTCCTCAAATGATAATATGCAAATTGTCGAATCAACGATTGCAAAATGAAAACTCGTAAACGGACCAATAGGAGATGTTGTAGAAAAGAAAACGCATGCTGTTACAGAAGAAAGTTCCAGGCTATTTTGATTTTAAATCAATCAATGATATAATGAGTGGTAGACACCCTTCTAAAAATTTGGAATTATTGCCTTTTGATATTATGCGCTTCAAATATGCTTTAATCAACCGATGTAGGTAGATGTGGAACGATCATTTAGCCGTTTTAAAAATATTTTCAGATCCAGTAGGTGACATTTAATATTTGATAAATTAAAAGATATAGTAATAATTCAATTCAACAAATCATTTGCATGCATTCATTATATGCACATTCAGATATATTTTAAAATAGTTGACTATTTGTATGACTATTTGGTCTTCCCTTCAATTATAGCAGTTATCCTTGTACCATTTCTAATGAGATTCAATCCATTTCATTCTTTCCTTCACGATTAACTCCTATATTGATATTTTTTTCATTCCTTTGAAGAAATTGTTTGTGTCTTTCACCAACACTGCATTTCAAAAGCATATATTTCTTCCATCTGTTTTTTAACTACTGTTTACGATTCACATTCAATAAAAATATTTTTAATTATGTATTTCTAACATTTATATTTATTGCATTTGTAGTTAGTAATTACTTATATTTGAAAACATCAGTCTGCTGTCAATACCAACTAAACTAATATTAACTTTATAACTTTCTATAATACAAATGTACGACGTACAATCCACATCATAATTATACATAATCTATGCTGATTAATAATTAAATGTTTATTTTCGTTTCACTAGATTTGGAACTATAATATTGTATCTATTTATTTTCTAATCAATTGAATAACAATTAGGCACTCACGGCTGGATATTGTAAATTGGTAATCATATATTTGCAGATCTAGAAATGTAAAAAGGAAGGGACTAGTAGTAAAGTGAGTTTCTGCCATTATTTCTTGTTTATTATTGTTTAATCAATTTAATCTTCAGTTATTTAGAAAATGTTTAAATACTTGTTTACTTTATAATAATTATTAATTACAATAACATGAAATAATAAAACTTTGATTGAGGTTGAGTAATTAAACTGAATATCATTAATTTAATTTATCATAATCTTATGTAATTAATCAATTTCTTTATGGTTAAATTAAATTTAAACATTCGTTAAAATAAAATTATTAATATAATTAGATTTTTTTTTCCATGTGAAAATCATTAGAAATAAAATCCCATCACTTTTATGGTAGAACCAAACCAGTATATTTTTTTAACTCGTTGATTGTAAATAATAGTTTATATAATAAATAGAAGAAATTTTACTTCTTACTAGTGTATTGTTCTAATTTTTAACATTCTTTTAATACCAAGTTCTATTTTTATCTTAGAATTAATACAGTTGTATAACACAAATATCATAGTTATTGTCATATCACTAAATTTAAAGTGGAAAATATGTGTTTGATAATTTTTTACAATTTTTTTAAATATATTTTCCTACAAAAAGTATACAATAGTACAAGAAAACTTAAAATGCTACTAAATATATTTTACACAACAGATAACATTATTTTGAAAACCAATTTTTCTTTAATTTTAGAATATTTTCAATTACTGTTGATTATAACAAATGAAAATCAAATAAAGTTGAATTGAAGTAATGAAGCTACTTAAAATTATCAAGATTTATACTTTACTGCACACATGTTTTGCATAGCAAGAAACTTACTATTTTAATGCAATCGTTGTCTAATTCTTTTATTGTACGCTTTACGATTTAAATGTATAAAATAACATTGAAATATATTAAAAATTTATAATTATTAAAAAAAAAAAAATAACTATAATTACAAGTTAAAATGTAAATAATGTAGTTTATATTATACTTGTTCATATTGTTAGTACAGAACAAGTATAAATACAAAGTGTAATCACACACAGTAAGTAACCTTGAACAGTTACAACTCGTACAAAAATGTTTTGTCAACAGAATTTACTTTTTACAAAAAAAAAACGTTTACCATATTGAGATTTTTATTTATTTATTTCTCCATATTAATAAAATTATTTTTACTTATATAAATAATATAGGTACAAAAAAAAATTATTTATTTATTCAAAATTCACCAGACTTATTAAATAATTTTATTGTTTATCTTTTTGCTTGTTTTTTTCTTTTTCTAAAGCTTCTTTTTCTGCTTCTATAACATTAACCATTTCTTCAAGAGATGCTGGATCTAACATTCTCATTTTTTCATTATTTTTCAAAACTACCAATTCTATATTTTTTTGGCCAGATTGAACAACTTCTAGTAATGCTCTAACTGCTAATTTGATAGTACCCTGTTCAGTGCTAACAGCTTCATCATTATAATTATCCTGTAACAAATCAACATAGTACTATAGTTGATAAGTTGAACAGTAAATGGTAAATTATAATCAAATTGTTGAATAATACATTGCTTTGTTTAAGTGAACAAGAGATATCTTACAACTGACACAAATATAAACTACTGTACAACGATAAAATCTTTTATATTAATACCTGTAAGAATTCTTTGACCAATTTGCAGTTACGCCCAGTGGCATTGGCCTTCCACTCATAGTATATGCCCGACGGCTCGGACTGAAACAGGTGCGGTGTGCCATCATTGTCGAACCCAGCAATCAAACATGATATACCAAACGGGCGACGACCATTGCTCTGGGTGTACTTCTGCTTGATAGACGCAACGAAACGGGTGATATACTCGGTTGTAACGGTCTCACCGAGTGTGAGGTACTGCGACTGACATTCCATTTGCGCCCGATTGATGATGACCCGTGCATCAGCCGTCAATCCGGCGAAAGCCATAACTATGTGCGAGTCCAACGGGCAAATCTTGCGCACGGTCCGTTCTTCCTGCAACATGGCAATCGATTTCTTTTCCACGCCGAGCACGACGCAGTCCTTTCCCAACACGCCTATGGCCGTGCATCCCTTGCGCACTGCTTCCTGAGCGTATTCCACTTGTAAAAGATGACCATCAGGTGAGAACACCGTGATCGCTCTATCGTAACCTCCGGACATGATTATCGCGATGTTCGGTAAGACTTTCGACTTATTACAGGAAAAAAAAAGCACAAAACTCAAAAACAATTACGTTTTTCGCGTCAAGCAATGACTAAGGATATTTAAAATTCTTCGGCATAGCGTATGCTATCAATGAGTGTTATCATTGATGCAACAGTGTCACCAACTGTTAGAAAACTGATAGTACAATGCAGTTTGTTTTTTCGCGTCAAATTGAAATGTTTGAATTCGGATTCAGCAGCAAGATAAAACTAGACATTTCAGTTCGATTAGATAAAAAGTTTAAACCTAAGAAAATAGAAAATATTTCGGCAGCTAAAACTTACTTGAATTCATTTTGGACCATTGATTAAAATAATGCCTTGGTCTCATGAACCAATTATATCAATATCCATACTATCCAAAATGTTTATTATAACAAAGCAATCATTGAATATAATTGTTGAAAAAGTTTTAAACAAGTCAAAATGAAATAATAATCAATAAAAAGTGTTTTTTGTTCAATTCAAGCATAGACGTTTTTCAATAAAAAGCTGTAATTATGTTCGTAAATACTTTACAGTTTCTTGGTAAAAATAATAGTATTACTTGTTTTTGAATCAATAACATACAGCACCATGAATTTTATATTATTAATATTTAACCTCTTGCTGAATTTCCACATATCTTTCTAAAATATCTCAAAACATTTGTTGATAACTCATGAATCATGATGTCTTCAATAAAATTATAATTTTTTTATGTAAACCTTGAAGGAATCGACTAAATATGTTATTCTAAATAAAATAAATCTGAAAAAGTTGCTTGAATAGAAGATGGTCATGTTAAATTTAATAAAAAATCAGTGGCAATCAAATAATAGTTTTATCAATTGAGGAGAAGTTTTGACATTTCAGAAGCAAGTATGATCCCTGGATATATAATTTAAATGAGACAAATTTAAAAAAATATTAATTCAATATTAAAGTGTCCACAAATTAATTTTATCACTTCATCAATCTATGTTTGATTGCAACCATAAAGTACCTACATCAACTATGTAATAAATGGAACTTGGCCATTTAACTAAACTGTAAAATTCCCAATTTAAAACAAAATACTAAGGATAAAATTATGAATTTTTTTTTTTAATATTTCATACATTAAAAATATCAATAAACTTTTAAGAGGCGTTAGTATCATAACTAGGGCTCGGATTTAAATGCCCTGAAAATATCAAAAAAATGCTGTTTCAAAAAATGCATTTATAAACTAAAAACTCTAAAAAATGTCCTAAAAATATCAAAAAATGCATAATTTATTAATAAATTCAAATTATTATTAAAAAATGAGTAAAAAATGAAATTTAATTTACATTACACTACAAAAAATAAAAGTAAATTAAAATCAAAAATTGAATTAAAAATTAAATTACATATTTGAATTGCACTGTACGATTAGTATTTCTTTTAAGTTTTGGAATTTTAATGATCGACGGTTGTTTACCAATATGTTCTTATATACTGAAAATGACCTCTCAACATCAACTGAAATGATAGGAGCATACTTGAAAAACGTCATATCGTTAGGTGTTAAGTCTTCTGAATTAATATCTATTTGACATATTATTTTTATTTGATTAAAGCCTTTATTTTTATTTAAAACGTTGTCAAATTTTAAATTTACATTTTTTCCAATTTGACTTGGTGATTTTTTTATAATATTTTTAATCGTAACTACAACATTTATAGACTCTGTTAATGCTAATCCTGATGTTTCTAGTTTAGTTATTGCAACTGGAAGGCTACTAAAATTTGATTTAATGTATATTAATTTATTCTTTAAAATACCTTCACTAAGTAATTGTTGACAATTGAAATTGCATCTTCTTTATCGAATTTGTTTATAACTGCTTGAATAATCGGAAAGTGCTCACAATAATATAATGCTACAGTTAACCATGTACCCCATCATGGCACTATAAGTTGAGAGGGTAAAGAAATACCAGAAACCATAGTTTTAAATGTATCCACTCTGGATGGCACTTTTAAGAAAATTTCCTTTACATTTGAAATTAACTGATAAACTTCGGAAAATTGATCCTGGATTTCTTCTGATATTCGAGTAAAACATGCGCCACACCAGTAACATGAATCATTTTAGAATACAAGGAATTTAAAGATTGTCCAGCCTTGACCATGTATGGAAATACATCAACCAAAAAAAGTAATACCATGTCATGTTTTATTCTTAATGGCCACAAAATTAAAAGAGATCTATAAAATAATTTCGCGATTGTACTATGGTTCGCTTTTCTAAAACATTGCTATTTAGTAAAAATACTTTTCTGGGCGTATCTAATTCTAAAGTTCTAACTACCACACTCCCTCGTTAACACGAAGCCAACGGGACCACAAAATAACCTGTTCGTGTTAAAAAAATTTGTGTACACCGATACGTTTAACACGAATTTGTTCGTATTATCAGAGAAGGTTAAATCTAATACGTTATTTTACGCTCAAATAAATTTTTTTTTTTATTTATGTAATCTTCAAAATATAAATGTACATTACTTTGGTACATACTACATATAAACAAATATTTTTAATACATTTTTTCAAAAAAAATTTTTTATTAATTAAAAACACACGTTGGTTTAAAAAAGTCAGTGATGAGTTTCTGGGTGAATATAACTTGATAGTTTTTTAGTCACTGTTTTCTGATGCTGTTCAACTGGTCATCGAATTTGCAACCTAACTCTGCACTGGTTTGGGAAAATTTGACGAGTGTATCAAAGGCTGCCAACACATCAGCTCGACAAGGTTTATCCACTGGAGGTTCTGTAGGTTCAATTTCTTGATCTGAGATTTTGGAGTTTTCATCATCTCTAGCATTTTCATCGCAGACCTTGAGATCATTATCCATTAGTATAAAACTTGAAAAAGTTTGAGCATTTTCATCAGAAGTTAAACCTAACAATGTATTCCAATCTTCGTCATCTAATATTTGTACATCCTCAATGTATATTTCAGGGTTAAGTTTGCGTCGTTTTAAATGTTCCAGGCTTTTTTAAAACAATTACTGATCGTTGTTGCAGTTACATCATTCCACGATACAGCCATTGCCCTCATCGCTTATAAAATATTCTATTTTACACATGGTTGATCAGAGTCAAGGCATAATAAAACGAAAATAGATACATATTGACATTTTTCTGTTCGTGTTAATCAACAAAACGACAATATGGTAAGTAAAATTCGTTCGAGTTTCGTGTTAACCGAAATAATTTGTATAAACCGAGGAAATAAAAAAAAACCCTATCTTATAGTATACATATACATAGAGCCTTTCTTGGGATCGAAAAACCGGTTCGCATTATCCAATAATTTGTGTTAACCGAGTTCGTGTTAACGAAAGAGTACTGTATAACGTTTGTTACGTAACGCCCCTCTACATCAGTTGTTTCGTCTAGAGAGATCCAAATATTTTTATTTTGTATATACTGCCTAATTTTTATAAGTGTGTTTTCATACATTTGACAAACGTAATTTTTTCTTAAAGTAGATTTGTCTGGTATATTTTTCTAAAAATTCTAAAAATTCTAAAAATAGGTCAAAAATGTCTTAAAATATAAAAAATGCATTAAAAACGTCAAAAAATACTCTAAAAAATATAAAATCCGCTGAAAAATGTTGGTGGGTAGAACACGGAGTACCTGAAACAAATTTATAGCTTGGAAAGCATCGCGTAAGACATCCCAAAAAAAAAAGATGCAAATGCATGGAAATCCGAGCCCTAATCATAACTAATGATTCAATCCAAAAAAATAACCAGTGAATATTACAAAATACATAGAACCAGAAAAAATGTAATTAAAATTAATAAACAATTATTATAATATTTCCTCTCAATCATTTATCATATGAAATTTCATTTTTTTTTTTTTTTTTACTTATATTTGTAAGTTATATAGGTAATACATATGTATATTGTTTTAAAGTATGTATTATCAGGGCCGACAAGAACTTCTGAGGGCCCCGGGGTTGCGGGGGTTCCGACCCCCTTCTCTTTGCAATTGTTTGACTAAGATGCACCAACCAAGACCACTTGTACAACAAAAACATTATGTACAATGCTGAAACGACGGGCCTTATCGGACGTACGGGCTCCGGGTCTCTCGTCCTCCCTACCCACCCTCTCGCCATTCCTGGGTATTATAATACTAACACTTTGAAAACTAATTTCAATGTATTGATGTATCCATAAAATGTGTTAAAATCTATAGGTAAAACATTGTACACTTTATTATATTATTAATGTATATTTTATTACTTTGCCCGTGTAAAATGAACTGTAAAATATATGACCAATAATAATAATGGTATGTTGTGAAAAACCTTAGATCATAAATATCATGTATCATATTTGATATAAGTGAAAAATTATATAAATTGTATTGTTTACTTTGTTTTATAATTATTCAGATATTCTATTATTTTATTAATACAAAACATACAGAATTTATCTTTATATCATGCTGTAAGAAACATTTTATTAATTGTATTGTAATATTTATGATGTTTGAAATCTCAATATATTGTAAAATAGTCAATATTAAAATAATAATGTTTTAAAACGAAATTAATAATGAAACTATAAAAATTACAATTAATGTTAATTAAGCCACTAGAGGTGCTATTATTATTAGTACAAAATCGCACTACAGGCTGCGCATAAAGCACATATAAAACGACAGAGTAGCTCTATATTATCTATATTATATGCAGTGGCACACGCAAGGGGGGGGGAGTTAAGGAGTTGTAACCCCCCCACCACTGAAATTTTCTCCGATGTCTAGGTTAAAATTTACAAATAAAAGTTGGTTTACAAAAAGTTTGAAATATGAAGAGCTTGTATTGAATACCTAGTATCATTGATTATAGAATAGTCTATTCTATTATCAATGCTATTATCTAAGTCAAAACATATAAAAGATTTGCATAATTTTATTAATTGTAAAATGTGTTATATTTTTACCTTGACCCCTCTCCGAAAAAAAAAATTCTGTGTGCGCCACTGATTATATGTATGCAGGGCCGGAACTATGGGGTGGAAGACGGGGATTCATCCCCGGGCGTAACATTTTAGAGGGTGTAATTTTCGTAATTATTTACAACTAATTTGATATTTTTAACTTCGTTAAATACTGATATTAGGTTAAAATTCAATAAGTACGATTGTATATTGATTATAAGAACACAATTTATTTGTTTATTAGTCTATGGATAGGGCGTAATTTTAACATTTTACCCGGGCATAATTATTCCTAGTTCCATCTCTGTATGTATGTTACTATTGGCTTTGGTTATTTGCCATGTGAAAATATTATATTATTACTACATACCTACTATCTATATATATAAAAATTTCGTGTCACGATGTATGTTCGCGATAATCTCCGAAACTACTGGACCGATTTTGATGAAATGTTTTACACCGTGTGTAATTTGGTCCAACTTAAAATATAGGATAGTTTTTTTTCAAATTTTTTAATATTTTAAATATTTTAATTAACTTTTTAATAAATGTGTATAATTGCATGGTGTATTTCGGTGTATTTCTATCACCGGAAACATCGATGAAAATTTAAACGCCAATGACATCGGAACTGCATGTATTTTACCTTCAAGCTACATCGGCAGTCCACGGAGCATGCAGGAATACATACAAGATGCGATGACTTATGTACGTCATTACGGTCGACCTGATTTGTTTGTTACATTTACGTGTAATCCAAATTGGGAAGAAATAAAAAGTTTGTTATTACCAGGCCAACAATCAATACATCGTCACGATATCGTTACACGTGTGTTTAAACAAAAGTTAAAATCTTAACCATAAACTTTTCGGTGGTACTGTTTTACTACTGTCCGGTGATTTCCGGCAGACTTTACCAGTTATTCCTCACTCTACTTTTGCCGATGAGATCAACGCATGCTTAAAACAATCGTTTTTATGGACAAGTGTTGAGACACTTCGACTGACTATGAATATGCGAGTACAATTGCAAAATGATCCAACAGCACAAGTATTTTCTAAACAATTGCTGGATATTGGAAATGGTGAAATTGAGTTGCATCAAAATACACAATACATAAAATTACCAGATATTTTCTGCACTGTTGTTGAAACGAGAAATGAACTAATTGAGAGTGTCTTTCCGGATATATTGAATTATTATTTAGATCACAATTGGCTCTGTAATCGTGCTATTTTGGCAGCAAGAAATGTTGATGTGAACGAAATTAACTTCCATATACAACAGATTTTGCCCGGTGATTTGATGTCTTTTAAATCAATCGACACAGTTATTGATGAAAACGAAATCGTAAACTTTCCAACTGAATTTTTGAATTCTCTGGATTTGCCAAGAATGCCACCACACAACCTTCAATTGAAAATTGGTTCACCAATTATTCTTCTACGTAATTTAAACCCACCTCAATTATGTAACGGTACACGTTTAGTCATAAAAAAATGACCGAAAATATTCTTGAAGCAACAATTTTGTCGGGAAAATTTAAAGGAGATATCGCCCTGTTGCCACGTATTCCACTGATAGCGTCGGAATCTTCAATACCGTTTAAAAGGCTCCAATTTTCGATTTGTTTAGCTTTTGCGATGACTATAAATAAATCTCAAGGCCAAACAATGTCTATTTGCGGTTTGGATGTGGAAAACACATGTTTCTCACATGGACAGCTATATGTTGCCTGCTCACGTGTAGGAAAACCATCAAATCTCTTCGTGTTAGCGAAAGATAGGTTAACCAGGAATGTTGTACACAAAGTAGTACTTAGATAATTTTTAGTTTTAATAATTTAATTTATTTTTGTATGTTTTTAATGTATATAGTATTTTTTGTAAGTAGGTCACTGATTACAAACAATAATTTAATATAAGATGAATAAAATGTAAATTCAGAAAATATATATTTTGGTTTGTACTTAATTTCAACTTTTAGATACTTTACCTATTACTTTTAAATTTTCTCATACATAATAACACTAATACATGGCCTACGAAAATGCTAAAAAACCAACTAATACGCGGGCAACGCCGTGTCGAGACAGCTAGTATACTATATTCTCACTCTATGATTATTACAGTATAGTATGAGTACATTCGTAACAATTGTTTTATACCTATGACTGAGTTTGAAGTAGGTATATAAATTATTAAACAAAGTAGGTACTTGTACAACTGTAAAATGTATGATTAACCTTTTTCTTCTTCTATGGTTAAAAAAGCCTTTCAAGACCATCCCATCTCAATATATATTATATGTATGATTAACCAGCTAAGGATAAACTGCATTAATGCATATTATTTAATAGATATACTTGTGTGACCAGTGGCGCACACTGGAGGGTTCATGGGTAGCAGCTGCTACCCCTGAAAAATTGGGTGGGTGGGTGGTCCTCCTGGCCCCAGGATTGTCAGGATACTCAAGACCAGTTAAAAAATGTTTCTTTCACCAAGCTGCCTTTAAATGAATGCAGTTTATCTACTGTATTGAAGGTAGTTAAAATAAGTAGATTGCAGTCTGTATTTCTTGTCTTAAGTATAGCTTTGAAAATTGCTGTAACATTACCGGTTGCTAGTTCTACACCCGAAAGAACGTTTTCTAAATTGACAATTATTAAAAACAAACTTCATACATGTGTGAAAGTCAATTAGAAAATTTAATGTTACTATCATGTGAAAATGATATTAAAATTGACACAGATACTGTAATTAATAAATTTGCAAATAATAGTAGCTTATTGCAAAAAGCTTTATTATATTAATTTAAGTTTGATGTTAACTCCAAGTGTGCATAATTATTAAGACTTACAATAATCAATAAAAACTAATAGCTACCGAGAACCTGTATTTTATTTTATTAACATTCAATACTTTATTATTAAATCTTGAACAAGTTTAGAGAATTCTAGTTAGGGGGGTGTGGGGGCGAAACCCCCGCGGGTCTGTTTTTGAAAGTGATTTAGTGGATGGGTGTTATTTTTCCATTCAATATGCTACCCCTATTCATTTTTGAGTGTGTGCCACTGTGTGTGACCCACTAAGATACAAAATTAATAAATAACATAAATAGTTAAGGACTGACAATTAATATGCCTGTTATAGATAGAGGAGTAAAAATTGGATCAAATATGTATAAATATAGTAAAAAGTAGGTAGTAGGTAGATATTTAAAGAAAGTAATAATACTTAATAAATATTTTTGGTAAATTATAATTTGTAAAAATTGCCAATTCTATAAAAATATAATTTTATTTTAAAAACAAATCACTGATTTAAAATTGACAAATTGCATTTAAATAATAGAATACAACCAAAATTAATAAATGGTTTATACTCGTAAATAAATATATATGTATAATATATATATAACATATATATATACTCTAGATTATGGATTTATTTATTTATTTCAATTTATAAACTATTTATTTATTTATTTATTTATTCCTTGAAGTTTTAAACAATTGTAAAGCCTTTCAGTTATTAGAGACATATGCTCCCCTTCCCCCATCTATAGCTACGACTGTAAATTATTACACTAAATAAATTATGAATTTAAATAAATAAAATATGTATTAAGGGGATCGGTGGTGGTGTATATTTAAGAAGTTGGGTATAGGTAAATTTTAAGTGCGTGCGTGCGTGACTTATGACTAGGCTTAAGGACTTCTAGCATTTGCATCCTTTTTTTAATTATTGTTAAATATAGCAGAGTGTGAAATAAATTCGTTTCTCGGTGCCATGATATCTGATCTAAAATTTGAATGTGCATATTTTTGCATATTTTATAGATTTTGCAGGAGAGTGCATATTTTAAAATGTTTATTCTTATTTTGCATATTTTGACAAATTTTCCAAATTTATAATTAAAAACTATGAATACATATTTCAACCTATCGAAAAAAAATATGTGAAGAGGACTTAATACTTCCAGTAATATGCTATCTGCAGCGGCAGATCTAGAATATTTTGACAGGGGGGCACAATAATCATTCTTGTAAAATTTATTTTTAAATTATAACAATCGAAAAAAAGCGGTAACACCGGCAGTCCGACGCATGGTGATATGCTGGGAGTTTCGGAGTCCGACAATAGAAAAATACGATATTAAAAGTAACTAGTAAAGACCGTAGAGTTATACTAAGATATTTACTAATGTCAAGTTCAAATTATTTAAATAATAGTGTACATATAAAAAAATTATTCAAATAAAACATTTATGAAAGCTATAAAAATATAAAAATTTTCCCTGTCATTTTTTTTAGATCCCACTTGACAGGAGGGGCACGTGCCCCTGTGCCCCCCCTGGATCCGCCACTGGCTATCTGCAATTTACCTCTCATATCTTGTTATAATTTTCGTGTAAGTATAAATACTACTATAAACCTGTATCAACCGTATAACCCGCTAGATATCGACCGGATGTCGATAAAGATAATAGTTGATATAGAATAATAAATTATTTGTTTAGTGTCCAGTTCAGTTGATTATTATCCAGGACCGTAGCTAGGGGGTGGAGAGAGGTGCCCCGGGCACAATTCCTGAGAGAACGCAAAAATGAAAATCTTGCGTTTAATGTTAAGAATTACAACGGTCAATGTCGTATATTTTGTTTACAAAATCTTTAACAGCCTTCATATTATAATCAAAAAAATCATCGAAAATAATATCTAATAAGCGTAATATTTTCAAATTGAAAATACGTAAGGGCGCATTTTGAAGTTTCGTCCTGGACGCAATGTTTGGTTGCTACGGCATTGTTATTATTCGTCGTTGTTTTTGCATCTCGCAACCACACAACATCGAATCATACGTAAAACGTCGTACGCGTATATTTTATAACATTGTGTAATGCCGAAAGTACAACAATCTATGAGTAGCCGACTACAAAGTTTTATTTCGGAGTTTAAAGATACATTTACATCCGATGAACACGTTTTATTTTGTGTACTATGTGATCATTTTTTTTTTTTTTAATGCAGATAAATGCATATTTTAATGATTTTAGAAGCATATTTGCATGCATATTTGTGTATTTTTTAGAGCTATAAGTCCCTAAGCCTACTTATGACTGTGCAGTGAATGTTATTAGTATGTGTACATGTCCCGAACTACACGTCTACACCATGTAATACCCGCTTTACTTCTCATCTGCTAATTTACAAATAACTACAAAAATGTATAGTAATACACTATAATAATTAGAGCGCGGATTTCTATGCAATGGCATATTTTTTTTCGTTTCAATATTTTTGGATTTTTGTCAGTTATCTCCACGAATCGTCATAATTTGAAGCTAATGGTGAATTTTTTTTTTTTGCATATTTCTGCATATTTAGAGATTATTGCATATTTTTACATATTTTGGCAAAATTCAAAATTTATTGCATATTGAAATGAAAATTTAAAAAAAAATGTATAAAATAATATTTTGTCAACTAGAAAAATTAAAAATAAATAATCGATTACAACGTAAACTTAATCGCTCTTGTTGTGTCAGTCGATTATCGACATACCACTTGCTTCAAATATGTCCCAATAACTTCGGTTGACATCGAGGGTTCGTTTTCAGTCTTTAAAAATATGTTAACCGATAAACGACACAGCTTTACAGAAGATAAACTTGAAATGCATACGATTATTTATTTTAATAATAAATAAAATTTTGAAAATAAATTAAGTTCAGAAAATTCCCTAAATTTTTTTGTATTAAGTATTTAAGTAATTAATTTTTTTAAGTTGAATTATAAATTTTAAATAAATAAAAAATTCTTGCATATTTTTTGCATATTTTCATGATTTTTACTGCATATTATATGGCATATTTCGATACTTTTAAGTGCATACAAATCCGCACTTATTATTATTATTATATATTATATATGTTATAATATATATATAATTATATTATTATTATATATATTATATATTATTAATAATCATTACGCATAAAATAACAATACGTACATAATTTTCTGCCTTCCACATTTTGTATTATGATCGTACACCGTCTATTCTACATTATTTCTATAACACTAATTCTACATTTCTTTACTCGTCAACATTTTGTTATTTTTCAATTTCACTGTTTTAATCTTTAAAAATTTGAATATTTATTATAAAAATACGAGTTTTCTATTTTAAAGTATAATGGGTTAAATATTATAATAATAAACGCTGTAGGTATTCATTTTATTAAAAAATTTGAATCACAATCAAGTGTTCAAAAATTAAATTTTAGTGTTTATATTTTCATATATTTTGAGATTTTTTAAAAAGATATGTATATATATATATATTAAAATAAAATTACATTTTACAGCATATTTTATTGTACTACAGTGTGTTATTTATTTTTTTTTTATTAAATTGTATAAATTTTTACTAAATTTTATGATAATGTCAGACTTTGAATACCTATATTTCAAAATTTATTTGTTGAAAAATATGGCA